TTTAGACCGTCTGTATATCCAGATTATCAGGAATAGACAGCTCAGCGCTCAGTTCCCTTTCCCATTGGTGCGATACATGTAAGTTCAAACGAATAAGCTTCATTAATATCAATTTTCTTCGAAATGCCGTTTGAAAATGACTATTTATTCGTGCGCGAATAGTCAGCCCAAGTGTCTACAATCGTTCATCATGGTAAGTGCGTATCATCGAAGTCATGTTAATTACCCTCCCCTCGACGGATCTCTGTTCCTCCCTGAATTGGTGGAATTCAATGCGCAACATAACTCGGACGCTACTTTCTATGTCTACGACAAACCTGACAGCAATGACCTAGTCTCTATCTCACACTCAGACTTCTATAGAGCTTGTCATCGGGCCGCCCAGGCAATTGGGCCAGCCTCCGCAGGCGCAGACAAAGAAGTGGTTGCCCTCATCGCGAACTCCGACACCCTTCTTTATCAGACAGTATTCATGGGTATAATATTCGCTGGGCTAATCGTGTGTACATATATTTTCCGAGTGAGCAGGTTTCTAATCACTGCTATTTCAAGCCATTTCCCATGTCCCCTCGTAATTCGGCAGCGGCAGTCACGAGCATGATGCAAAAAACAGGATGCTGTCGTTTAATTACGACTCAGCACTCTCTTACTTCCCTGATCGACGGAGTCAAAGCGGGTTTTGTGTCTGCCACTCAAACGAGCCAGCTGCAGATCGACGAGATTCCAGCGCTGAATCACCTGTACCCCGCGCTCGTTAGTGGTACTCCAAATGAGGCCATCGTCCCGTACTCTTCCCCAGGTTTACGGTCATCTGAGAACGATGTATTATTCTACCTGCACTCCTCTGGCAGCACTGGCTTCCCCAAACCCATTCCATTAACTAACCTAATTGCCATCCACTGGTGCATAACACGTAAGTTAGTAAAATAATCTGCACGGCGAACACTGCTAAGATGGAGTGGCGTTAGCATGTATTCTCGAACACATTAACGTTCCCGCTCCTATCCGCATCGGTACTGCGTCCTTACCATCATTCCATACATTTGGTGTATATTTTCAGCTGCTCGTCCCCATCGCCAGCCTGACCAGCGTGTCTATTTACCCGCCTACATCCCTCCTCGATCCCTTGGCGACCCCTGTAGTACCCAACTTGCAAAACATCTTGGACTCTGTACTCAAGACGAAATCGAACGCTTTGGCAGTCGTGCCTGCCTTTCTGGCACAATGGGCGTGTTTGCCGAGTGCAGTCGATGTTCTGAAGACCCTCGAATATGTTGTAAGTTTGTTATTGAAGCTGTGACAAGGAATGACTCGCGTTCATACCAATCATGATGCAGTTCCATGGTGGCGGTCCTCTTGCGCCTAAGATGGGAACTGCCCTGGTGAATGCAGGGGTCAAGCTTTCTTCCGGTTACGGCGCTACAGAATGTGGTATCATCACTTGTGTCTTCCGAAATTCGGTCGAGCAAAAGTTGTGGGACTGGGTGCGATTTGGACCAAATTCCAAGATCAAATGGGATCCACAGGACGACGGTACATATGAATGTCAAGTGTTGGTGCGTCTCCGAGTTGATATTTAAGCATCCTCTCAGCGTTGAACACTTTCTTGCAGACAATCCCGACGCATCAAGTGTCAGTAGAGAATCTTCCAGACGTCAAGGGTTATGCTACTTCGGATGTATTTATCAAGCACCCGACGATAGACGGTTTGTGGAAGATGTACGATTGAAATTTGTGCCACTCATATTCTCTGACATTTTCCTTGCAGTGTAGGAAGGATCGATGACGTTTTGATACTCTCGTCTGGGGAGAAGACAGTACCAGCTCCCATGGAAAGCATCATCTGCGCTAACCCCTACGTAGACGGCGCAGTCATCTTCGGCCGTGGACGCAATCAAGTTGGGATCCTCGTAGAGCCACGAGCAGGGAGTGAAATTGATGTTGATGACGGAAAAAAACTTGCTGAGTTCAGGAACAGAGTATGGTAAGTTCCCTAAAAGATCGTATGCTGCCGTTCAGTCTGAGGATGTTCTTGAAGGCCAGAGATAGAGGAAGCGAATAAAGAAGCTCCTGCCTTCAGCAGGATTTTCAAAGAGATGATTCTTGTGACACGCAGTAAGAAACCCATGCTTCGAGCCGGAAAAGGGACCGTCATGAAGAAAGCAACCGTCGAGCTGTATGAGGCGGAGATCAATGCACTGTGAGCATAGTACCCATTTGTCACTCTGTCAACTAGACTTCACGGCCGACAGATATGAAAAAGTGGAGGGCAGCACTAGAGCAGGTATCGATGTACCTTTACCTACAAGCTGGACCGCGGAAGACATCGAGAAATGGCTCAAGATCCACGCTGCTGCTGTAAACGCCGACAAGGCAGTTGATCCTGATACAGACCTTTTTGCTCAGGGCTTTGACAGGTGGGTCGAAAACGAGTCAAGGCTAGTGCTCTGCTTACTCCGTAAATCTAGTCTGTCTGCAACATTCCTCAAAAACCGCATTATTGGCTCTCTCAGCTCGTCCCCAGATCGCGACGTTCAGGCATCAGCATCGCGGATTGACCAGAACATCATATTTTCAAGTCCTTCGATTCGCCAGCTCGCGAGGAGCGTCATTAATGCAGTATTGCAGCAGAATGGTGCAGGCACCGTCGACCCCAAGGCTGATATCGAGAACATGATCGAGAGGTATTCAGTCGGATTGGCAAACTCTGTCACAGAAGCCAACATCACTCTGGTTAATGGGTGCAGCCAAAGCGATCATGTGGTTGCTCTGACTGGGTCTACTGGTGGTCTTGGATCATACCTACTTGCAGATCTACTCCAGCGCGAGGACGTATCTGTGGTATATGCCTTCAATCGCCCGTCAAAGGGGGCATCCATCCAACAGCGACAGGAAGATTCGTTCAAAGATCGGGGTTTAGATTTTACCCTGCTTCAGTCAGACAAGCTAGTGTACGTAGAGACCGATACATCCGATGATCACTTGGGTCTGGATGAGGAGTTATATCAGAAGGTTTGCGTCATTTCCAGCGCCATCTAATTAACTAAAGATGGCGCAGATCCGCACGTCTGTCACTGTCATCATCCACAACGCTTGGCGACTCGACTTTAACCTGGCGCTCTCGTCGTTCGACTCTCATGTGCGGGGAATGCCGAATCTTATAGACTTGGCTCTATCTTCTCCGCGTCATCCAAAGCCGCGTTTCATGTTCGCATCTTCCATCTCATCTGCTCAGAGTTGGAATAGCGTGAAAGGACCTTTCCCTGAGGAAGTAGAATACGACGCAAGGGTCGCAGTTGGTCTTGGCTATGGCGCGAGCAAATATGTTTCGGAAAGGGTAAGTCACGAGCTACGTTGGGGGGCATAGATTCTACAAACACTGATTCCAATAAGATTCTCGCGAACAGCAAGTTACCGGCAACATCATTCAGAATTGGACAAGTATCGGGAGGACCTCCGCGAGGAGCTTGGTCCACGACAAACTGGGTGCCGATCTTCGTCAAATCAAGTGTGAGTCTAGGCGCACTTCCGGAAGCTCAAGGAGTAAGTCCATCACTATCGAGGGTATCTATTCATGACGTACGCGGTTTAGTTTGTGTCTTGGATCCCTCCCCACGCGATATCAAATGCTATTCTTGATGTAGCTTTCGCGGAAGAAGAACCTCCCATCGTAGTGAATCTGGTGCATCCGAGACCGACCGCGTGGAAGACGTTGATGCAGCCCATTGCAGATGCAATGGTTGAGCATAAAATAACAAATCACCCGCTACCTTTTGTGCCATTCTCGGAGTGGGTCGAAAGGCTCGAATCGAGTGCCAAGGACGTGAGCAAAGAGACCATGAAGCGCATCGTAAGTGTATTTCGATAGCTTGCCAGAACGTTTTCTCATATAGTCTTCAATCGCAGCCTGCTATCAAGCTTCTCGACTTCATGCGTTCCATGGCTCGATCAGACATCGCGATCAGGGCGTCTGGAGAGATGGCCTCCGAAGCGGGTGGCATGAAGTCATTCGCCACCGCCGTAGCCGAGCGCGTCAGTCCAACGATGAAGGAGCTGAAGCCGTTGTCTTCGGGAGATGTGTCACAGTGGGTGGATTATTGGGTGGAAATGGGGATGTTTCAATGAACATATGAGTAAGTGGCGGTTATTTATTGTTACCTTGTCTTTAACATCATGGCCCGGGACGATCAGAACTTGGGAGATCGTGCTTGTAGTTGGAGCTTTTGAGAAATGCCGATGGGATGCAATTTCGGGACTTTCCAGGTTTCGCCTGTTTGCTCAGCCAGCTGTTTAAAATTCACAAGAAAATTTTGCACAACATGTCAACTTCTCCTAAATATATATCGATAACCCTGATGTGTTAGGACGAGGTGTCACTCAGTGAGCTAGCCAGTGACTCAAGTACTCATGATCATGATCATGCTGAGTAGTATCAAATTATGTCTGAACAGATCGCAGGATCGCTCTTCAAAGCTTCACTCTCCACCTCAAAAACTCAGTCGAACGCTATTAATGCTCTCCCAAATACATCAATATTTCTTTTGGCACTTCCTGACATCAGACCCGCAGCATCATCGCCTTCTCGTAGCTCAATCATGTCAAATATGAGGAATTCCTTACAGGTAAGGACGCTGTATTTCGAACAGATTTACTATCCTCCGCAACCAACCTGATTCTCAACTTGGTAGCGCTGATGGTGGATGCGAACATTAATTCCAGACATCAAGCACTGCGACACGCATGAACAGATCTAGGCGGATTTCTGGATTTGATGTAGGAGGCGATCAAGTGTTTTGAGGCATTGTTGAATGACATATTGTATTTCACAGTTGTGCTTGATCAGATTCGTGATTTGGCACGGTATTGGAGGAGTTGAGCAGGTGAGTGGTTGATACGCTATTTTTTTTGCCATGTGGATGTCGGAAGTGTTGTTGTACTTGTTACAGCTGTTTACATAGTTTCGAATATCGACTTATGCAAGCTCGTGTCACCGAATTATTGAAGCGCGAATCCGCTGAGATAGTTGGAACTCTTATTAATGGACGTACGACAACCTCATCAAAATCTAGAAAGCGCTCATACATGTACACAACTCATAATGATTAGAAACAGTGTGAAGGCACATCCTAATCAAAACCCGTACGGCTGGAGGCGCCTAATGCACCTTGGTTGGGGCAAGCTCCAATCCTCCACTGAGTATTTGGCTTGTCCGACTCGGTCAGCAAAATTTTGTGCTTCCGGGGAATTCGTGAGATTTTGTGAGTTCCGTGGAGATGGAAGTGGACGCTCTGGCCTTGGGGCATTGATGGGCCAAGTAGAGAGATAGCACATTTCCTGCAAGTGAACAATGGTCAATCCAGTCAGCTCGCAAAGACTTCTTTGAGATCCCACCTCTGGGTCGCAGGCAGGTCGACATTTGATCCATACACTCCAGTCTAACCAAGACATCAGCTTCTGGATGTCTTGTCTCCAGTCATTCATTATTTGAGTAGCATCAAGCTCCTCATTCGGTTCAATGGGGAAAAGAGTGTCGAGCCCGCTCATGACACCTACAGCCCACATTTTCGTAGTGACACGGCAGATCTCCCTCGTTGTGTCCTCAATCGCTTTCAGTAGCAGGCGTTCCGAAGACGTCATCAAGGGAATGAGGTTTGTAATCTGGGAAGTGTGTGTTCTGACGCATAGCCTAAAAATTGGGGACGCCCACTGCGATGAATATATGCCTAAAGTGCCTGCGCTGGGGATGACGGTGGAATGTAATAAGTACGGCGTGAGCATCACACTGAGCTGGGTCTGCGCGAGCTTCGCTCGCTCAAGGAGTTCTTGTGGATCTGATGAGGCAACGTTGAGGAGACGCTGCGTTAACTCGAGTCGATCCGCGTATCGATCGACGATGACGTGAATAAGGGTCTTCCAGTCAATGCCGCTGCCTATCGGGTGTGGTCGAGTGACAATTTTGATGAGATTTCTCATCACCCGCGATATGTCATCCGGTGATATTCCGAGTACGCGGTGGCCGCACCGTTCAAGACCCGTGCGAACCGAGACGAGGGATGGTGCTAGTGCAGTATCATACAATGAGATGAGACCAGTCAGGTCCAGCACAATGCGAGAATCTCCTGGGTAGCGATTGTGCCATGAGCCGGAGTGCATGAATTCGAACGAACGAATCCCTGCGCTCAAGAAGATATAGCATCAGTCATGTTCGAAATACTGGAAGACGATACTGACAAGTGTAGTAGTGATCGAGTGAAGTAGGGGCAGGGAATGATCGGTCGTCCCTTGGTAAGGTGAGATGTACGAAAGATACTACTTCGACGCCGGCTGTGAAATCACATAACATGACTTCACTAGATGCCTGTCAGTTGGAAGTGTGACGCGGAATCAAAAGTATGCGCACAAGTTCATTTCCATCCTAGAGATCTGGGAATTAGTGATATGACATGCAGTGTAGAATCACATCTAACCTCGCGAAACCGTCGATTTTGAACTCCTTTCCCCACGTACAAAGATCATCAATCCGATTTCTTTCATCGAAGAATCGGTCGGGTCGCGGTTCTCCCCAGGCTATTATGTCCTGCGTATCCATTGTACCCTCGGATAGCTTAGCAGCACTGTTTCCATCGAAGTACAATACTTTGAGAGGTCGCGTTGCTGCCAGCGTGAGGTGCCAGTCACTCCCATTTCCACGAGAGAAAAAAATAGAATGCTCCGGGTCCATAGCGGTCCACTCGGGCCCACTGGGTATCATATGCGAGCCATTGGTACTGTGATAGAGTAAAGTACCGGTTGGAATCACTCCTGGCACTATGTTGTGTCCTATGAAAAGTTAAATCGTTTTTCAAGCGTCAGCAACGCAGCGGAAACGCACCATTACGATACCTTGTATTTGGCCAGCGCTGTAGTAATGAATGGACAGTGTTGAAGACCAAGTTCCCTGTCGCATTCTCGGGTGGAGATTCATCAAACCTCCATTGCTCGCTGTTGGAGTTGACACTATTTATATGGCCAGGGTTCGAGTTGATGACATCCAAGGGTCCAACACTGGTTTCTCCAACAGTGTTGATCGGAAACTGGTTATGCAACGCCAGAGCTGCTGACCCTAATAGGCTCAGAGCTGCCGCAATGGACTGGGGTCGCATAAAGAGAACTGCCAAAAAAATCCTGGTGATGCGGTAGCTTGATCAAGGTACTGTGTGGCATTTGCTGAGGACCATTCTCGGTTCCTTTGAACGACTTCAAACCGAGTATCATGGTACTCTATTCGGACCTCTAAGTGGTTCCTTCGAACGACCTGAGCAAACAGCTTGACTGGGCCATCAGCAAAACCACTTCGGAAATGAACGCTTAGTTTAAGCGTGTTACGGACACTTACGAGCGCTTACGACTTCAGTAGCGCACTCATGCGATTGGTGGAGATATTTAATGGCACTTGGACACACTTACGTAATTCATAACGCAAATAAGACTCTACTCGCTTCCATTCTGTAAATGAGAGAGCTCGTCTCGAAGATTTTTTTTCCAGGTTTTCCTGCATACGGATCAGCCAGTCGTTCAGCAATTATATATGTCAAACTTCTTGCAAGCCCCTCCGTTGACGTGTGATCAGTCCTTCATCTCATCTTTTGATACTTCCCTTATTGAACGCCAAGCTTCCGCTCTGTCATTTGATTCCTATTCACGGAAGTATCTCGTCGGCGTCGTCGCCTTTACCCGTATATGACACCAGTGGATCTGGTTTGCTATTGGTACGTCTCAGTGTCTTCCATTTATTGAAGATTTACGCATCTGAGTCTGCAGTGTGCGCCATTCCAAGGATGCCTAGCAACAAGTTTGTTTCAAGAAATCCCGGCTCTCGTGCAGATGATATCGCTGCCTTCCAAACTTCGCTCTCTCAATGCAGTGCCTCCGACATCACCTGCTTCCCCAAATCCTACTCCTTTGTCAGCGCCTAATATCAGGCGTTCATTGAGGTCGCAGCATCATCGCCTGTTCTCAGATGACGCCCCATTTCGAACAGATCGCTGGATCGTGCTCCAAAGCTCTACTTAGTTGGGTATTTGTTGTTTATATTAATGTTCTCCGAGAAACGTCACCAAGGTATTAATCACTGAAATTGGAGTCACAGCGTCATTACCTCTGATAGTCTCTAGACGTCTGTTCTAGATATTCTTAAGTTGGCTTCGCTGCGTTTCGAGCAGATCACAGAGATGCTCTTCAAAGTTTCACTCTCCAGGTTCGTACCTTGTACTTATTGAATACTCGTTGTTAATGTTCTCCCAGAATTATGCCTTTCCTTTCGGTAGTGCCCGAAATCGGCGTCGCAACGTCATCACCTCCCGGAATTTCAGACGATTGAAATGTAGGAAGTTCTGGCAGATGGCAGCGCTGCGTTCCGAACAGATCGCAGGGTCGCTCTTCAAAGCTTCACTCTCCGGGTTCGCACCTCAAAGACACGGTCGAACGTTGTTAATACTCTCCAGACACATCAATATTCCTATCGGCAGTTCCTGACATCGGACCCACGGCGTCATCACCTGCTCTTAGTTGTATCATGTCAAATATGAGGAATTTCTTGCAGGTGGCGGTGCTGCGTTTCGAACAGATCGTAGAGTTGTTCTTCAAAGCTCCACTCTCCAGGTTCGGTTAGTACCTTGGCTTGGTTGGATGATCGTTTGAACACTGTTGATATTCTCCCAGAAACATCAATATTGCAAGTGTCTCAAATTGGAGTTGCAGCGTCATCACCTGCTTGGAGCTTCGACATTTTATATGTGGGGAGATCCTCGCAGTTGGCGGGGCTGCGTTTCGAGCAGACTAGTTGTTCTCCAAAGCTTCACCCTTTAGGTCTTCATTTTCGGAATTGTCATGGTCTGACAACGGAGTGCTTCGCCTGGGTCTTTTCGAGCGCGCCATGAGCAGGTAAGAGTTTTTTTTTTCGGAGTTGAACTTGATATCTTTCTCATTTTCAATACCAGAGTCATACTCGAGGCTGTAAAAGGAGTCGATTGCGTTATTTTTCATGACTCTAGGCGCTATTTTAATGACCGGCCAAATTTTGGGGTCACAAGGATTGTTATCGCCAGCTCAAATGAGGTTTTGTTCGTCTTCAAATAGTTTAATCATGCGTAAGGCGTGGTTACTGAGGTCTTTCAGAAAGTTGTGGGGAAGCTAACCATAGTTGTCGATTTTGCATGTCCGGACAGTCCGCACTCAGGTAGTAAAACCGCGTGCAACCAGTGTCCAAATGGGGTTTGCTAGCTCGAAGCTGGCATCCCTTAAGACAACCATTCACACTATGATATGGGGCATTGCACGCTCTCCTTTGGGTGAGATACGCACACCCTCCTGTTCATGACATTACGCTCTCTGCTCTACATGGCGACGACTTTGAAAAGGGAACTCCAGGATATCATTCAGTACCGCAATGCCTACTTTCTTGCGTTCTCAGGGTCCATGGGATTCGTCTGCTTTGGTTGGGAGCTTGGTCTAATGGGCGGCGTGCTCGCATTGCCATCATTTCAAGAATATTTCGGTCTGTCATCGGAATCAGCCTCTGCACGCGCTAGCTCGATCGCGAATATAATTTCGGTCCTGCAAGGGGGCGGATTGTGAGTGCAGTTCAGTTTCTCGCTTACCACAATCAGACTCATATATTTAGCTTTGGGGCATTATTTTCGAGTTACTTTGCAAGTAGATTTGGGAGAAAGCCTGTTCTATTGGCTTCGGGAGTCATCTACCTCATTGGAAGCATCATCCAATCAACAGCTGGAATTGGAATGTCCCCGGCTGTCGGATTGAAAGTTTTTTATTTCTCCCGTTTCTTCGGCGGTATGGGAGTGGGTTTGATGACAGCTTTGGCGCCAACGTACGTATCTGAATGTGCCCCGAGAGCCATACGCGGTCGATGCACCGGCAGCAACGAGGTTGCTATAGAACTTGGAAATATGCTGGCTTGTGGGTGTCACTTCCAGACCTGTGACAATTTGCCTGATCGATAGTGTATAGTTTGGATCAACTACAGCGTTTCCTTCAATATCTCACCAGGACAAATGCAGTGGCGGTTGCCCCTTATCTCCCAGATTGTACCTGGGGCACTCTTACTGTTTTTTATGCCTTTTCAACCCGAGTCTCCCCGTTGGCTTGTGGAACGCGGCCGCTATGAGGAGGCGGCTGCAGCCCTCGCATATATTGCTAGGAAGGATCAGGATGATGATGCTGTCGTGCTGACTCTCAGCAAGATTCGCGCCGATTTCATCGGGAAGCGCAGACTGCCGCTGCTCACACAATTCCGCAAGATGGGAGAGTCGAAAATCATATTTCTGCGTTGCATTATCCCATCTCTTGCCACCTTCTTCCTGCAGTGGTCTGGCACGAGCGCAATTAATTACTATGCCCCTGAAATATTTGCCGGCCTCGGTTTCTCATCTACTTCTTCAACGCTATTTGCTACTGGCATATATGGTGTCGTAAAATTTGTCACGGCATGGATAACTCTTGCTTTCGTCATCGAAAGTTGGGGTAGGAAGAGGTCCCTGATTTATAGTGGTCTGGGGCAGAGCTTGACGATGCTATGGATTGGCGGGTACGCTGGTGCTCACCCCAACCAGGGCATTGTGCCAGGGACGTACGTTTCCATTGTCGCCATATATCTCTTCGGCGTCTTCTTCTGCATGGGCTGGGGTATCACTCCCGTTGTCCTCGGCTCTGAAGTTGCCCCAGGCCATCTCCGTACAGCCGCCATGTCCCTCGCAACTGCGACTACCTGGTTGTTTACCTACGTCATCGCCCAAATCATGCCTATCATGCTGAACCGCATAACCTATGGGACTTATCTCGTGTTCGGTGTTGCTTCATTTATAATGGCAGCATGGGTATATATCTTCATACCCGAGACGACTGGGTATCCACTGGAAGACATCAAATATCTCTTCGAGAAGGATATCATTGTTCGCTCGTTGGAGGACGCACCTTGGGGCAGGATCTTTATTGGGAAACGCCGTGCTGTCTCCATGAAGGAGCTTAAAGCCGTTGATACCCCTCCGACGGATAGTCCCAAGGATATTTCGGAGGAGTTGAGGTTGGAGGAAGCATCCGCGCAAGGTCATTCCCTTCGGAATTCAAATTCAGAAAAGCGGGAAGATCCTCTTATCATATGAACGCAGCGAACTGCGGAAGTTAAATGAGTCTGTGTATGTACCTTGTTTATTGTTACACACCTGTAAGATGATCGTAGCGGCGCAAGCGCCAATCCCCGACTCCGCAAGAAGACAGACAAAATATGATTTGCAGATATTTGTAAGACAACAATGTAGGTTCGTGAGAATAATCTAATCATCTCACCCAAAAATGGGATTAATTGATTCTACATTGCTACTTACACACCGGGGGTTTCGACGTTTTACTACATTTTGCCACTAGTGAAATCACATTCTAAATGCAATCTAGAGCGCTCCAGAGCGTTCCAGGCTAGGTCTAGAATGCTCTAACCAGGTCTAGATATGCTTTTGATTGAAATTTTGCAAGAGGTAAAATGTCCAAACCTCCGATGTGTTAACAAGGTTTAGATAAGAGTTGGACCTGCTGAGGGTTATGAATGACGAGGTTTGGGAGAATTAAGCGCTGAGCAGCCCTTTCCGCACGATCATGATAAGGACGACTAGTATAGCCTATCGTGTCAATATTAGGTAATACGTAAACATCACCCGATGGTCCGTGCGCAATCAGCCCAGTATATAACTCAACCACTCATGTATTTAATTCTTCATACTTACCTTGATGGCATGGGCCTCTTCATGTCTCAGGTTCTTGGGCTGTAGGGACCTTTCATAGCACGGCGACCCTGTCCTCAGAGGGTACCTGCAGTTTGTGTGAGCTTCGGCTCATGCACTGTCTCAATATTTTCCTGTCCCGCCACGGCCACTCTGGCTGGGTGGGCCTTGTTTTTTGCTGGTTTGGTGTCCTAACCCTAACCCTAGTGTGTGTCTTCAGAAATGGAAAACTGCCATGATGCTCAATGCAAATTTCAACAGTACGTCATTAGAATGTGGCTGTGCACACCCCTAATGCTTTTGTTTCTTGTTTGCACTCTTTATGACCCCACATTCAACAATGAACCAGTCATTCACAACTTACTTCGTATTTACTTACGCTTGTGAGCTATACGCTGGATTGGCAGCGCTCGCTTTTGGCCCTGTCGGAATCATGTCTCCATTCATGCTCGGCATAACTTTCTTATCCTTCTTACTTGCACTGCTTCATGTTCGCCTGGTGCAAACAGTGTTGTCACCACACAAGACTGACCCCCCTGCCCATGATTGCATTTTGTTTCATGCAGGAATGGGTGCAGCATCTCTGGCGATCTCAATCGAATGTCACTATCTCAACAGTGAGTATCAATCGAGCTTCCTAGTATCTGGATGACGCTAATTACCATGGTATTATGCACTGCCACGCAAAGGACAATTGGTATTTATGATATTGCCAATGTTTGCCTGCCTATTCCTTTGCATGATCATCTTCTATCGTTGGTTTCTAGGCTGCTGCGCTGACAGGCAAGATTTGGGGTCACTGGGGAATGTTTATGACGACTTGCTTTCATGGCGCCCATCATGTATTGCAACCCATACTGACACTCCAGAAACCCTCCCTCAAACACTCTCCAAGTCATCCACTGAACGTCGCTTTATGTCACCTGTAAATCAGACAGCCTCAGGGGGTACTCACGTACTTCCCCAACCTTATTATCTGGTACATTGTTAATCTTCTTGCTGATTTGAAACTAAACTCATTCTCCTAGCTTTCAGACCAAGACCGCAGAGAGAGAAAATCGGATGAAGAATCTTGCATTGGTCTCCATGCGTAGAACTTGTACAACTACGCAGGAAAGCGTCATTGGCTAACAATTCAATGCTGTTTGTGATCATGCCTGCTGTGGATGTCAATGAGCGCTTGATAGTTGTATTGTTCGATGTGTGACCACACCACAGCAGAAGGCGAGAGCAATGTCTTTTCAAGTCTCCATCTCCTAATCCTGTCATATCCCGTATTCTGGACCTACGTCCGATGATGTTCCCACGCCTTCCGGACGCCTTCCGGATGCACATCCGGACCTCCATACCCTTATCCATGACTCCATACCCTTATCCATGCCTGCAGTCCTCCAGTCCACTATCGGTTCGGATCCGTACACCTTCGTACATCCATATATCCATACCTTCGGACCTCCGCAGCTAAGCCTGCTTCATCCACCCTTGATCCCATCAGATCCGAGCTCATCCTACCTGAGACTTTACCTTCCCTAGACTACCGGATGATATCCATGATCTATATCCTAGTCTCGTCTTCACCTAGATCTCCGGATCCGCTCATCCGATATCCAGACGCCTCATCCGATATCTCTAGACCTCCGGATCCGACCTATACTCATATCCGAAGCTCAAACCTTAAATCAGCGTCTATCTCCTTATGGTAATCCTCTTGACTCCGGACTTCGGTTATCTGTGTTTCCGTCTTGCTTATTGATCCTTGTACTTTGTTCATCTCCGAGTTCATTTGTTTATGTTCCGTTCATACTTACCAATATGTTTCCACATGCTCGTACATAGCATTTGTCTTCAGCTTACTGATCCTCTCGGATCCCGTCCAGTATATAAACCTCTGTACAACTCCTGTAAAGTTTCCTCAGTTCGAATATCATCTTAGATTCTGCTCAACATAGACTTGCTCTCTCGCATCCTAGACTTCACTCATTCTGATCTCGGACTTCGGTCCATCTTAGTATTGCCTTTCCTTAGGCCTAGGGAAGGATTCCCTAGGCCAACCTTCCGGTCCTCCGGATTTATCCTTCCGTCTATATCCATGCTTAGGGATTGACTCCCTAAGCCGAAGCTTTGCCTTTCCGGCATTTCCTGTCTTTCCGAGACTTCTGTCTAAACCCCGTCTATCCGACTCTACCATAGTGTAGTCTACCTCCGTCTGTTTCTACTCCGGACCTTGTCCGTTGTAGCCCTTCTTCTCTTGTCCTAGAATCCTGTCCGCTCCTCCGGTCCTCCGGACGTCGTAACCTTCGGACGTCGCAACCTTCGGACGTCGTAACCTTCGGACGACGCAACCTTCGGACCTCCGGACGTCCTGTCCTTCGGACCACTCCTCCTACCCTATCCTGCTTTGGACTCTGTCCCTTGCAGCCTATCTTCTATGTGTTTCCATCTAGGGAGCTTACCTTCGGATCTAATGCAGCGGGTGAAACTCTTCCAGAGTTTCCTATACTCATCCGAAAGTTTCCCGCGCTCATCCGGAAGTCCTCCAGCACTCAACCAGAGTAGCCAGCCTCCGGAAGTCCTTCGGACTTCGTCGGATTCCATCTGGACTTCATTCTGAAATTAAGGGCACGTACTCGGGTAAGGGGCACAGCGCATGAGCTGAGGCCAAGCCCTTCGGATCCGTCTACCCTTGAGCTACGGTCTTAACAAATCCCTACTCTGGTCTTGGTATCATTAAGTAGATCCACTTTCACCAAGGTGGTTAAGTGTAAATAACTCTGTTTAAGGGCAAAATAAGAATGTGTGAATTTCCTGATGGCCATGCGCACAACAATCAGTTCGAAGACAGATTCAAGAATCCCGCAAGTCCTTGAACCGTGGACTGTCGGACCAATGGTTCAGTTCCTCCTGTTGGAACTTCGAATCAGACTTTGGTCAGGTTCAAACCACGATTCATAACTGGACCTGGTCACCACTACTGGCATGGTGCACGCAGGAACTTGCGCGAGGAAAAAGAGATGCGAGGACTGGAAGCAGCTGTGGTGGAATGGAACGAGTTATACATTGTGAAAGCTCAGAGTGCTTTTGATCACGAGCAAAAACTCGTTGCTCATACAGCTGATGATCTCGCAAATACTTGATTGTCGAGCCCAGTTTCGAAGATTTCTAGCCGTCCAGTTTACTAGAACAAGTTGAAGTAGCTACAAAAATGACGGATTGTATCGTGGACTCAATGCATCAGTAAATTACAATGTTCTGTGTAGAGCTGTACAGAGCTGTACAGTGTCACAGTGCCACAGCTTGGTCCTGTCATATACCATATATCCGGTTACAGATCCGATGATCTGGATCTCAGATCCGATCCAGATCCGATGAACATATCCGTCGTCCGGTCCACAGATCCGCTTTGATTCTTATTTCATTTCCTGTTCATATAACTCTAACTATCGTTCATCTCCTTTCGGTATTCCTGTACACCGGTATACCGGTTATCCTTTACTTCCGCTACGCTTACTGATCCGCTATGCTTACTGATCCGCTATGCTTACTGATCCGCTACACTTACGAATCCGCTTTTACTTGTACTTCATTCCCGGTTCATGATTCGTGATCCATCCAACTTACCAATACGCTCCACTTAGACTTTGCTTATACTTTCGTACATAGCCTCGCACCTTTGCTTATTGATCATTCCGTTAGCTATCCGTAGTATATAAACCTTTGTATATGCGCTGTAGTAGATCAGTTCGAATATCATCTTAGATTGCACTCATTCCGTCTGGACTCTGAGTCCCTCCGTTATCCATCCGGACTTGAGTACGCTACTAAAGTCAACTCCGAGACTTAGGATAGATTCCTATAGTCTACATATCCGCCTCTGTCTTCGGACAGTCCTCACCCGTTAGTTTCTAGTCCGGATCCGATCCGGATTGGCCGTTACTCTATACACGCGATACTTTAGCTCTCTGAAATAAGGGGCAAGACTCGGGAAAGGGGCACAGCGCACGAGCTGAGGCCGAAGCCCTTCGGATCCGATACTACTTGAGTACGGTCTTAACAGGTCCCTTCTGTCCAGCTACATCTCTTCTGTGCAGCTCTGTACAGAACCTCCCAGCAGAGCCACAGAACTCACAGTGACAAAGCATTGCCTAGTAAATAGAACAAAATAAATTCGCATTTTTGACATTTTCAAGTGTCATTGGCAGGAATTGAACTTGAGGCTTCACAAAGTTCAGCAACAACAATAACACAAACTTACCATTACACCATAGTGTCTTTACTTTTCCTCTCTCACAATGATATATATACCAATGATTCTCAAGCCTCATAATATTGTCAAGTTGAAATCTATAGTCAAACCCCATTATAACTTGCTCTTATTGAAATCTATAGTCAAACCTCAACATAACTTGCCCTTATTGAAATCTTCAAAAAAACTAATCCTTATTTTTGACTAGAAAACTTCAAGTTGGAGGTTTACTAGTACAAAGTGTAAAATTTGTGAATTCCAACAAGTTTTAATTAGTCAATAGGTTTAGCACCTTTTGTCCTAACAATGAATTTTAATAAGCTTTAGTTTACAATAAGGCTTAGTGTTGATGTTTAACTAAAGAAAAGACTTAGTGAAAATTTTGTCATTTATTCTGTGGATTCTGTGAGTCTGTAGCACACTGTGAGAATCTGTAAGTCTGTGGCTCTGGGATCCTGGGATTCTGTGATGTCTGTCACACTGTGAGAATCTGTGTGAAAAGCCAAAGTCTGTGAAGGTTTAGTGATTTACTGATGTGGTGTATCGCACAATTTATTAAAGTGGCTTTGGAGCGTCATACACAAACAACTAGACATCGCACTGTCGAAAGTATGATGTCGGCGCGCCATTTGAACATTATTTGAAAGTGATGAACGGATTGCTTGTTCACGATACTTGGTGGTGGCATGTCACATTCGTGACCAAGTGACGGGACCGTTCGATTTCGGACTTGAGCGCAGGGCGGCGAGCATGGTCTCACATTGACTTGCACGTATGGCCCCTATCTTCTGGTATTTGAGTCGAGCGGTATGGCTTACTGCAGCTTGTCCCAACCCACCATCAGCGTTGATCGTTAATCTCATTTGCTCTCACATTACGATTCACCTGTGCTGGCTCACTCAAGCAATATCATGCCAAACGATCCTTTCTATATCCAAATTTACTTCTTCATTATGTATACAATACATCCGCTTGCATTTCTGGCCATACCGCTGCTGCCAAGTGGTTCGATCGTTCCGTGGCTATGCGCCCTTTCCGCATCTCCTTTACTTTTTTCTTTATTTCATACTTATATTGTGAAAGCTGGGCGGTCGGAACTTGGAGCCATCGACCATTTTGGCTCAAGGCATCTTCTCATGTTTCACGCTGCTATGAGTGCGGTGTCACCCACCACCATAATCCAAATATTTCGTGAGTAGTTGTCAATGCTCTATCGGATTGCCTAGTCACCGCTAATCACTACGCACAAAGTCCAAAACTGGCTGGGTCCGTGGCAGGCGCCACTGGTGTACCTGTGTCTATTGTGCGCTGTCACAATGGTATATTGGCATGCATGCTGGTTAGCTGCAGGAGACAGCCGTGCACTTGGGTTCCTGGGTGATCTAGTACATTCTGTTCTCGGACTCAATACTACCCACACATCACATTCGCAACCGTCTTCTGGTGACCCGACCCTCCCCCCACACACTCCTAGTGCTACCAGTGGTAATCAAACACTGCCCACTCCCACCGACAGCCTGGGTACATCCCCACCCGTCTACGCTCCAGGAAGCTCAACCCCCCACACTCCCTCAACTCACCATAATGGCACCGCTTCCACTCCCCAACCCGCCCAAGCCCTATTCATTTGACTCCCATTGCGACAAGTTCCACACTTTCAAAGTCAAACTCGGGTCAGTAATACTCTTGCAGGCTCATTACTTGGTATGTCGTCAGTCGTTTCATCAGTCCGAAACTACTAAGCTCCTTCTAGTTCTCAGGCAACTTTACAGGACGTATGATATGAGATCCGGTATGTCACCACAAGTTGTCTGTATTACGAGTGCAAAATTAAGTTTTGCTGCCCTATTATCCAGATCAAAGTAGCGAAGGATGCTGGTGTCTTCTTTCTGCTCCTCAAGCTGCTAGACAGCCTCCTCCGTTCTTTTCCATTTATTTCATGACTCCCTTTTCATCTACATTTTATCTTGTACGGTGTCAACCCCCTCGTGCACTCGATTCATTTGGGTTCATGCAGCTGCCAGCCACTGCCCACCATCGTACTACTGTGTCTGGACTCTAGACTACCATGTCATATCAATGCAATACAACAGGATATTTAGCAGACAGGTTTAATGTATTAAAATGGATTTTCGTGCTTTCATTCCCATCTTCGCTCTTCCGAGACCAGTATTCAGCACCCGAACACCACTTATGCAATTCTGTGGTCGGACTGTGACGTTTCCCTTCTTGTAGCATTGTGAAGCTTCCTCCGCTGACCAAAATCGAGTCAAAGAACTTGAAGGCTAATACATGTAGAAATGAGTAACTTGGGAAGTTCGCGCACGGTAGACCAACATCAGATCATAAATGGAAGCAGAGGAAAAGGCGTCGCGAATGTCTTGGTGACCTTTCATGCCCGTAGTACTGAAAATTGGCTAGAGAATTGACGGGTTGTAAATATAAACAGTGCAATGCATAAGTTCCAGATATGCACGAGAGTGAGGATGTCGTAGCAGTTTTACATTGGCAGTAAGCGCGAACCTGAGCAGCGAACATGAATACCGACGAGACCCTGTCGGAGGCGAGATCAGATATAACGAATGAAAGCCCAGTCTGTGATCGTCGAGGATAGTGTTCAACAACACCGACAAAAATACTAGGCGTGAATAACTGACGCAGAAATGGCTTCGCGACGAAAAGTACGAGACAAATCAGGTGGGTGAAAATCGGCTTCAGCGGGTTCGTCGCCACTCTCAGTCCTTTCCTTCTGGTAGGGTATCTCCACCGTCTTTCGTCTCGAATGACATTCGCGATGAGCTCCGAGCAATGCAGCCCAAGTAGGGTAACTGCCATGTTGACAAAGGGTAGGATCCACGCCTCAAGATTGACACATAGCCCATCATACACGATATAATTGGACTGCGTGACCTGCAAATTGGGGATGAACGACCACCTTTGTGTGGTCAGCGCATCGGGGGATATTGAACCCGTACCGGCGTACTTGTCCTAGATATACATGATGAGTGCGGCCCATTCAGTGCATGCTGCAACGATCACCCAAAGAGAAATGACAACTTTCCGGATGCTAGGGTGAACATGCCACGCAGAGGGCTGTGTCTCTGGTGGCTCCGCTGGACCTCCATCCGTGTCTAGGTCAGACACACAACGCATGTACCGCAAAGTAGCAGGGGTCATTTGCGTGTGGTGGACAAGTGCAGCGGTCAAGTCGAAAGGTGAGGAGCTCCACGTCAATATTTTGATAGCCCGCATCCCTGACAATGCGATCATCACCTGGAGGAGTGTGACGCCTAAAAAGAAGAGAGGTAAGCAATACCCTGCTCCACATATGTGTGACGTCGTTTGAAGGTCGACACATACGACGAATGAGGCTGAGTTGTAGGATATAATGAAGAGGATAACCGAGACACCATTAAGCAAGGCGCAGATTGGTATTGAAACGAAGCCGAAACTCTGAGGCTAGCGCAGAGCGCAATGAGATACCGTATACGAAGCTTATGGACTCGGTGCATAACGTGACGATTAAGTTGAGTGTCAGGGCCAATATTTCCCCCTGCAAGTGCAACTGAGTCCCTTCATATGGGTTCGGCTGTGGTGACGGTTACTCCCGGGATTCCGTGATTGGCTAAAGTGACGATGCCTGCAAAAATGCATGAGCAGCTGAAGATACTTGAGCATGCCACTCCGACATATCTGCGACTCGTCAGACTGCGGTCATAGAAATCGTTAGTGGACTTCGCATCAGATAATATCGAGTCAAAGTCCTTGTACTGCACACGTATCCATGCAAGATGCACAGACCGGTCATTGTCTGCCAATTAAGCAAGGCCAGCGAGAAACAGGATCAGAAGTCAAGCGAGTCTGCAGGTATGAATCATCGAGAAGTAGCAGTGATATCCGGCATAACTAGACTGCACGTAAGTAAATTGCGCAAATGCGACTTCAAAAATACTCACCTCAAGGTGGTAGAATGTCAAACTAATCAATTGATGCATCACAGGGGTGATAAATTTGTTTCTCTTCAGCAAACTTTCAGAATATTAAGATTCCATGGTTAGGTCGAGCTGGCTTTGAACGACATTGATAATCATTGAGCCGTCACCCACATGCCAGTGCACTGATAACCGCGGCCGATCACTTGTTCTCATCAATACCTAGTCTGTGATGTTAGTCAACCCTTGCTTGAATAATCTGCAAACTCACGTGGGATGACTACTGGCATTCAATGAGCCCTAAAGCGCAGCTGGTACACGATTTCCCGACACGTTCATCTCCTTATCGCTCAGCGCTTCTGCCTGGTACCAAATCAGAAGTGCTGAAATGGTATGATACTCGCTGCGTCATATTAAAGAAGCTGGGGAGCCATGCTATTAGACTGCATTGGATTCGGCAGTCCATTACAGTAAGGGGGGGAATACGGTAAGCATACAAGATCCTCACTTCACGAGCGCATTACCCCTGCACGATGGCCGCCTCATGTGTCAATGAGAGTTACCCGACGTTGATGTTGCACATACCTATTGACCACAGTTTGTTTGTGTGCCAGCTCTTTGTCAGTATTAGCTTTGCTGTCTCCGTTAACAACAGCAATAATTTCTCGTGTTAAACGCTCCTCCACCATCCTCCCACTCTTGTTTTTGCTGGTTACTAGTACAGCATGAACAATTGCCCTTATATGCTGTTTTTCTGGAAGCACAGCAGGTCTCACGTCGTTCTTTCCTGAGCGCTTCTGTGATATATACCTGACAGCGGGAGAAGCAGTGATGAGAGCGTGGGGAAGGATAGGTAGCGGCGGCGCGCGGGTGAGAGCGTGAATATAAGGGAGGGGACGGGGACGATGCGCTCTGCCCTTGCACGCTTTTCTTGGTTAAGCAGGAAAGATCCGAGGAAATAAAGAAGGGGATCGGATGCTGGCGGAATGAGCATTTGTGAAGCGTCTGGAGTTGAATTCTGAATTGGGGGCGTGGGGGGAGGTAATATATCTGATAGCGATGAAGTCTTCAAGTCGAGGCCTGATAAAGACCCTACTAGAGAGTCAAGTAACGCTGCACTCTGGATAATTGCTCGTTCATCGGCAGTAGAACTATTAGCACGGCGAGCAAGAACTGGGAGCGTGCGTCTCAGCGTGACAATGGATAGAGGTATGCGTTGAGGACATGATAGAAACAAGTGTCTCAACGCGTTAAATGTTGCTAGACGCATTGTCACTAACGATCACGAAGAGAGCCGAAAGCAAAGAATGTAACACAAATCTGACCGACGCAAACAAATAGGACACTAGGAAAATGCTGCGCCACTGCTGCAGTATTTGCCGCGACGTTGATCAAGCTCAATGAAAGAATTTATTGCATCACCAAACTTTCCTAATCGGAACTGGGACACGGCGTGAAGGACGCGAATGTGGGTTCGTTGATGGTCCTTCAGCTGCAGAAGGTAGATGGCGTTATGTCTGTCACTCAATGCATGATTGAAAACAAACTTTGTTTGGTAAAAGAGCTTTGTCTAAAGTATCAAGCAGTGATAGTGCGTCGGAATAGAGACAGCGCTGAACAAGTTCATCGATCTGGTCTCCTCATGACTTGCCATATCGAGCTGCCCTAGGAAATAGCTACTGTGCGGACGCTCGGAGTAACCACAAAGAAGAGGGGTGCCTTGGCGGCAGGAGAAGACGTCTAATTGTGCAAGTGGCGGCAGTGGACACTGATATGATGTGGGTGGGAAGGGAAGAGTTTGGACGGATTGCGTTGTCAGTGACGATAGGACTTGCACAACTTGAGAAGGGATGAGGGATGGGGCAGCTGGAGCATTCCCAGATGGAAATAAAGCACCTTCGTTATCCAGTGTACCAGGAGGAAGTATTGAGAAGATATATGGATTGACAAAAGCTAGAAAAGACGATGACTGGGGCAGATTGAAATGTGGACCAACTTCAAACAATAAACAAGACGCGACAAGGCGTGTTATTTACGTTTGTTGATTCCACATTCGTTTCAACACAAACCTCCTCCTCATACCTATTACCCGGCCCATCGATAAACCCTAGCTAATGGGCCATTCCAACGAACCAGGGATTCTTTCAAATGTTCTCAGTTTTGTCTCGCGAGAGATTGGCGAGTTTGTGATAAATGCTACCGGTATATCTGAGGTACGTTCTGTTTTCTCTGATTTTAAACGAATTAAACTGAATTGATCACTGATACAGTCTGGTCCATCCAAACGGAGACAGGGACGTGATGCGAAGTCTAAAGAGCGGGGCAGACAACGAAAAGGTTATGATGGGGGAATGATCGAGCAGTGGAGAGAGGCTAGCGGTAGCGAGAAGCACCAAGATCGAGTCTACGCCGGTGAGTCTTATCCATGGCGCCTCATCCAACACCACCTTCGATACGATACTGATTCAATTATCTACAGAAATAATGCCTAGCATGACCTCCCGCTTACCATCTCCACGCCATACCAGCCATTCAAGAGGCAGAAAAGTCCACCCTCGTCCTCAAGATGATGCACCCCTCCCTTCATCACACTCTGAAACAACATACCCCCAACTCCGCAAAAAACCCTCCATCACAATGCCTGGCTCACTTTTCCCTCGATCAGATTCGCTCCAACCTGATTCCGTACCTCATAGTCCTCAGTCAGCTCTCGACATTGACGCACAAGACTCGGAACCCGGCCCCTCCAATTCTCAACACGAAACCCCCGCAGACCGATCTGGCCCTTCCCCCTGGCGCACCCGCCCCATCGCCTCCGTTCATGATGCAGTTCAACGATTCACCGCGAGTGGAGGGGAAGAGAGAGACTTTTCGCTATTGGTCGTCGCTAGTCCTACGGGTCCTGTAGATCCGGAGAGCCCAGGCGCCGTACTAGAAACGCCGCATTCGCCCCTAGGTGGTGTTTCCCGGAAGGGAAAAGAACGCGCTGTTAATGATGGAGACGAGGATTTAGCATTTATACTCGATCATCACCGCGTGCAGGATAAGGAAAAACAGCTTGATGCTATACGAAGGGAGAAGGGAGCGAAGAATAACACTATAGGTGATGGAGAGCGGGATACGGACAAGGAGCGCATTAGAATGTTGGAGGAAGAAGTTAGGATGTTGAAGGAAGAGGTACGTTGCGCGTCGCACCATTTATTTATCTTTATTTTAGTTTTTGGTATATGCTGACATTTTCTATCACAGCTCTCCCGTCGCCGCCGTTCGCCACCCCCCCAAACCCAAGTCCCAATACCACCCCCACCACCCCCACTTCCTCCTCCTCCCGGCGTCCGCATCCCCCTCCCTCTTCATCTAAGCGAAAGCAGGGCCCTTTTCGCAAGTGCACGCGCTGCCTTACGCTCAACTGAAGCCAGTACGATCGGGAGCACAAACGATCTGGCAAGGTCAGCAAGTGGTAAGGTGAGACAGCCAACCGTCAACGTTCCCAGCGATAAAATGGCTGCGTTCCTGAACGAGATGAGGACGGTGCGGTTGAGGAAAGTGGGGTCTGTACCTGGATCTATACCTGGACCTGGGGGGCTGAGTAGGAGTGTTAGTGATCGACCTGGGCCGAGTGGATTAAGCCGCAGTGTGAGTTCGAGTGCTACTGGAGTAGATGGGCGGAGAGAGGATATGGCGAGGCGCAAGTCGACGGGCGTGAGAGCACCTGTTGGTTCAGCCGCTTCCGGTCTTGCTTCTGCGTCGAACAGCTCTTCGAGACCAGCTTCTTCCAGCGGGACTAAAGCAGCGTCGACCTCAAAATTACCTTCCGCCTCGAGCATTCCCAAACCGAAATATACTTCAACCGCCTCGAAACCATCATCCTCATCAAGCACGACCCGCCCAGCCATAAATAACAAACGCAAAGCGGACGTCCTAGGCGACTCAGAAGGAGGATCTACTTCTAAACGACGTTCAGGCACCCGTGTGCAAGCCCAATCAGACACGAGCTCTTCATCGTCATCCTCCAGAACACAAGAATTCTCCTCCGGTTCCACACACTCAAATCTCTCACTCACACGTCCATCGCATACGAACCACTCCTCACTATCGAACGAAACGGACATCACCACTCCCTCTTTATGCTCTGATAACGAACTTGGAGGGGACGCAGATGGTAGAATGCCATCGACGCCGCCTGGACCGAGGTCTGCAGTTCAGAGTGCGCATGATGAGGTTATAGAGATTATCGATGTGGATATGGAGGACAACAATATCGATATCGAGCCTGCACATAAACCTATCACGCCCTCCCGCCCACAAAGTGATATGTTCAGGAAACGCCCGCCGATGTCGCCGCTGCCTGTACCGACGCCAACGAGGATGCGAGCGCCTGCGCGTGCCAAGGGGAGGAGGTCCCTGCCGACGCCTGAGAGGACAAAGAGGGGTGCGACACCGAAGCCGAAGAGTATCATGCTGCTCGACGAAGATGACGACGACGACGACGAGGATGAGCCCGATGAGTTGGCGTTACCTCCGAAGTTGAAATGGCGGCGCGAGGCTCAGCCCAGAGTCGCGGAGAAATCGACCGCGGCAAATAGCAAGGGAAAACGGCGACTGACGTTAGATGAAGAGCTTGCCCGGGCAAGGTCGTCTGATCGGCTTGTGGAGCTTGGATTAGAGAGTGGGGAGCTGTTTGGGACGGGTACTGGGAGTAAACGACGGGGATTTTTGGCTGGGGGTGGTGCGGGTGGTGCGCCTGTGTTTATGGGCGCAGGATATGTTCGGGGTGTCGAGGAAAATGGACTGAGCCTGCCAGCGTCGAGAATACCACGGCGGAGAGGCTAGCATGCTAATATTTATTGTTATCTTTATCGTATTCCCTTGACTCTCGTGTTATTTCTTGTATAGCTAGCTATGATACCTGGTCTCTTCGCTGCAGAGGATGTCATAAGCTAATTAGGGAGAACTAACATGAAAAAGATACACTTGGAACAAGAGTCAGGAGCTACAATAAATTACTATAGTAAGTCTTTACGACACCGGCTCGTTGACCGAGCCGACGTCTTTTCCTGAGAGTCTACTACCACCACCAATATTGTTGCCCAATCCATCTATTTCGATCGAGCAACCAAACATCCACAACATAAGGTACATACTACAAACTAACAACCATCCACCCCCACCAATATTGTTCTCCAACATGCCTCATTCACGAAACGCGAGTGGCATCAGCGAAAGCGACTTGAGCGAGACCATCAGCGAACCTGAATCCGTCATCAGCTTCAACGAGAACGTATATTTAACCATGCAAAATACTGTCATATCCACTGCAATTTACGTGGGGCAAGCTAGACAAATAATAGAGCAGCTAGCGACGAATCAAGACAGATGGATAACAACTCCACCAGGCGTACATGACGTGGACGCATCCAGGATTCTAGACGCGATGCTGAGCAACGCTCACAGGACCGGTGGCGAAAGCTCCGAGCGTTATACCGCCTGTGCTATTTGCGCATGTAAGGAGATCCACGAACAGGTCAACCTCGCGAGGACTTGGTTCATGTATCTGCTATGGCCGTGTAAGTTAGAACTTTGAGATGTCAGCCATGGATACTGACGCAATTTCTCCCCTTGGTAGTCACAGCCAGAACCTACCAATCATCAGACTTGGTTTCTGGTGATGCCACGCCGACTATTAACAACACCTATGACAGCCTTGTAAGTGCCAGTCGGGAACGGAGTAGCAGATTTAGGACCGATGTACGTCCTACCAATTAAAAAAATGACTTTGGCGTTAAACTTCCAACAGGTTAACCGACGAGACGGTTATAGATGCGTTGTTTCAGGTCTCTGGGATGGAGCACACAGGCCTGCCGATGTTGATCAGGGTTGGGTAACCTTGGTAGGAACGCGCATCCTGAAACGTGCTGTCGGTGTTTTCACCATGGACCGGGTAAGGATTTCTCTACTAGGTTAGCGTTAATTATCACCTTCAGGTTGGATTTTGCAGACACATAACGCGGCTGCAACATGGAATATCATTTGGCGTTACTCAGGAATGTCCGAAGAAAATATTCAGAATATGGAAAGGCTGGTAGACGATCCTTCCAATGGTATGATGCTTCATCACGCTGTTCATCATGTTTTTGACAAGCTGAACGTATACCTCGAGCAGACGGAGGTGAGCCTGCAGTTTTGCATCCTCGCAATGCCTCATATTGATCAGTGCTCCAGCGAGAAAACGAGTACATAGTCAAGGAGGTTGGGGACAGGCTGTGGATACACCCTCGTGAGCTCCTTGGTAAAACTATCACCTTCCGGAATCACGATGCCCCTACGCGAGACTTGCCATTACCTAACCCTCATTTCATCGCACTACACGCAGGCATCTCCCGAATTTTGCATATGAGCGGCGCATCCGAGGTATTCGCACAGATCCTAGACAAATACGACGAGGCAGCAGGAGGCTGTAAGGATAGTATATCCTCTACGCCCCGACCAAGGCTTCAAAATTTCAAATGAATACGCTCGAACTGGACTATGCCGTCCACGTGACTCATTGATTCACTTTTCGCATCTGAATCACCCAAGGACCCCTACCGTTTCGCGAGTATAAGTATCTCATGTACAGTCCTTATTGAGGACAGCAGAATCTCATACGCTGATTCCCCACTCAAAAACACGTCCAAACGCCCCAACGAAAGTCTCCGCCTCTCTAAACGTCTCGTCTTGTTATCATCTCGCTTTCTAACTATACTTCTCGCAACTATGTCTATTTGTTCTCAATCCCCTTCGAACTCACTATCAGCCTTACAAGGCAATGCCGGAAGTCTGAAAAGCAATGGAGACCCGGTGCATCAACTGACTTCAATGATGTCTGCCCTGTTTATAGGCGCCTCGTTGATTGCTTGGTGTCTCATAATCACATGGAGTTCGGTGCATCCCCGACTCTCACGAGGGCCCTGTCGAATACAAAAGAATTCCCATGCGTCAGTCAAAGCTGTGCCTATTCTCCTGGCTTTCTCTGACTGATGGACTTTTCTTTTAACACCTACTGTGAACAGCCGAATTGAATCGCTCTGTCGTTCTGAGTTACCTTATTAAATATGAAGGAACAACTATATGTCATTATGTAATTGGGGCCGTTTCTGCATCGGTGAGGCGGACCTTGTCACGTAAGTTGTAAAGGGACCTCACCAAGTAAGCCTTACTAGCAATTATCAGCTTTATCTTGGAGTGTCTCTTTGTTAATGACGTCTCGCAGCACCTCCATCATGGATATATGGCCTCGTCATACTCGACTTCATTGCAAATGAAGGATTATCTAATATCGATCACAGCATCAGTTGACAGTAGCATTGAGGCCGCAACAGCGCCGAATTCTGGTCTGGTTCTACTAGACAACTCTCTATTAAGCTATCACGTCGCAACTCTGGCCCATACTCAATGATAAGAGGGTGGTTGATTTGGTATCATTGGATGGACGCAAGAAGAACTTCTACTTTACAGCAACAACACAGCTTGATCTTAGCTTCAACGCCAGAGAGTCACGGTTATCTCCGACTTCAAACTGACGACGAAGGTTTCGCACATCATCCGATACAGCATCAAGTCCTCATATCCAGGTATAATTTCAAACATTGTACGTTCTTCAATAGGCACTTTCCACTCCTTCGACTCCAGAAACCTGGAGCACTACTCCTCGTTTCTTATATTATATATAGATCGAACTGGGACCTTGAATGCAGCTCAGCTGGTTATCTGAATCAGTGCCGATGGAAGAGAATATTATCCATCAAAATAATATTAAATTTGATGGCACAATTTTGAATTTAAGCCAGAACCTCTATACTCTGTACATGTGCATATCAGGTGACTGACACATTGCATTATCAATTATCTTCCAACATGACCTTGCTCCGCAAGGACACATAGCTAGGTACATATGCGACCCGGCCCATCATTTCCGTTCGTGATGCGGCCAAGTGGCGAATTTCTAATAATCACATGATAACGTCGTTGTCCAACCTTCCTCTTTGGGAAAAAACAGTCCAAATTTCAAGCTGCTTCAGTCGATGCGCCACCGAGCGAGTGTTCCAGCCCATCGGATAGTTTGTACTCGTTTTGTGTTTCTCTTTCCCGATTCCCCGTTTATTCAAATATTCACAGCTCGCACTGCTTGATTGTAATGGCGCAAGGCCGCACAGAAAATGCGTCGTTGCGAGGGGCCGACCGTTTCGCAGACAACTCCCTCTATACCTCGTGTTCGCAACAAGGTGTGCTTTACAACGATAAACGATAAAACGAAGAGCGATAATAGTAGTACGGGGAAAGGGTCCTAGGACTAAAAATAGAAAATGGGTGATGTAGTTTTGCACCCGTTCGCACCCGGCAGTAAATGATTTATAAATCAGATGTGCATCGAACGTTGAACGTTCTGAACTCTCAGAGCTGAGCGCTGAGCAGCGAGCTTTGCGCAACGCTCAAGCACCAGCCAAAAAAAACGCGCACTGCGACAGCAGCTCTTGATTCAGAGATGCGCGCATGCCGCGGAACGGACAAATAACCGTTCCAATGCATTTCAAATGCTGTGTAGCTCAAATCAAAAAATGAATCATAAATGAAGCCGATTCCAGAATCTCACTTTCCATAAAAGTGAGTTTGAACTTTGAACTCGGGACATTGTTCCGTCCTAAGATCTGAGATAGGAAATTATGCAGTCGACCGTCCTAAGATCTGAGATAGGAAATTATGCAGTCCAGCTTTGATGCGCGTTCACAATATAAAGTACGTGTTAAATCGTCAAAACTGCCAATAGCTCCACCTCCAGCCTCGTACGAGAGATGGATGCGCAATTGGTAGACCATCATAGTAAGGCAACACTTCTGGGCATCGTTTCTTCTCCCAGTACGGCCAACTGCAGCCTGAGTGCATGGCATCATAGTTCTCTCCCGTTGTCAGCGCAACATCCTCGACAGGAATATAGTGTATCTGGAAAGGAATCATCCACCCCAAACCTTCGAAGATTTACCGGTCCTCTCACACATCAAACATCCCCACTTACCGCTCCAAATATTACCTCCTTTAACCACCCGATCCCCCTAATCCTTGTCCCCGACTTGACTACGCTCATTACCCGACCCGACCCCTACTCAATTTCCGGAGGCGCATGCGGAGATATCTACAAATGCGTATACCACGGTCCAGATGGCGATGTGGAAGTTCGTGCAGACGTTACAGGTCTTCCACATTTACTAACATATCACGCACCCACAGGTCGCTGTGAAAGCAATTCGACCACACTTCATTGATGATAAGGTAAGGTTCTATTCGAGGGAACTGATAGACCTCACCAACCTTTGTTAGGTGTTTCGGAGAGAGCTCGGGATTTGGAAGAGATTGCGACATCGTAATATCTTGGAGCTCATGGGTACTACTCAACACTTCAGTCGATCTGTGGCTCTGGTTGCTCCGTGGATAGTCAACGGCAATCTGTCATCGTTCCTTGGCCAGAATAACGAGATTCTCGGGCCACGTGATCGGCTACTTCTGGTGAGAACTTCAAGAACATTTCTAGTTTGTACCCTCGAGCTCATCGTTCCATGCACAAGCTCCGTGACATCACCGCTGGCCTCAACTATCGTGAGTGGACACATGTACATGGCAAAAATAAATAAAAATAACTGTCTCCCTCAGTTCATACGTTTAGCTTCACTGTAGATGGACACACGTACTTTAATCCTGTCATTCACGGAGATCTCACTGGAGTAAGGTCACTCATTCATATAATCTCCTATGCTAATGATAAATTTTAAGAACAATATCCTCATCAGTAGTGATAGAACCGCATGCATTGCAGATTTTGGCCTTTCAGGAACTTTAACACGATTGCCCGGAATGACGTACCTTGCAATGATGAACGGTCATCCAGGAGCACTGAGGTGGTCAGCTCCTGAACTTTTTTCTGCGGAAGAATCAGCCGCTGTGGTTACCATTCAGAGTGACATTTACTCGTTTGGTAGCGTCATGCTTCAAGTAAGTTGTTCCCTCTTGCCAGTGCAGCTCACTAACCTGTCCTGCAGGTTTTGACAGGAAATTTGCCCTGGTGTCACTTGACCCGAGAATTCCAGATGTACCAAGTGATTTTTCATCGGAAAAAGCATCCTCGTCCAGCTGACGGCCGCATCATCGACCAGCACTGGAATTTTATAACCTCCTGCTGGTCAAATGCACCTATCGATCGCCCTTCTGCTGAAGAAGCACTTCAGTTTATTGATGATGAGCTCGTTTTGTACGACCGGGGCAGTGTTGACGGTGGACAGCACCCTACCTTGGTTCCTGTTCCTGGATATACACCCCCGGTTATTGGTTCTGTAGGCCAGCGTCCATCATCTACACCATCTCCTTCCCCACCTTCTATGCGATCCACTCAAATTTGTGCACAACCGCTCCAGCCTGTCCGCTTATTGCCCCACCTTCCACTCCACCCTCTACAACTACTCCAGCCTGTCCGCTTATTGCTCCACCTGCTATTCCACCCTCTACAACTGCTCCAGCATGTCCGCTTATTGCTCTACCCTCTACTCTATCCTCTACAACTACGCCAGCCTTTCCGTTTATTGCTCCACCTTCCACTTTACCCTCTCAAACATATTCGCAATCAACAGTATGGGACGATCCAAGACGACATTGAGTGAGATGCTCAATATTCATTCATGCACAAACGCGATACTTTACGTAGAACATAGTTACCAAACCAAGAATACCCTACACAATTATACCACTAACACGAAACCTACCACTCCAACATCGAAGGAAAAGACTTCGTTGGTCTAGAGTTCGTCACCGAATGTACCATAGACAGCTGGGAGTAAGCCTCCCCGCACTTGAATAGGACTAACTTTGTGTTTGCTGTGGTGCAGCGGTCTTAGTAGTAGTAGCAAGAACAAAAAGGAAATGTGAAAGGGCGACCCGGCTCCGATAGCGGCCCCAACCTGTGCAAGAGAGAGCCAAGGTGAGCTTCGATTCCCATGGCAGTAGGAGTAAGAGCGACGCAGCGAATTGAACTTCGGATCCCAAATTGTAGGAGCCGCAGAGCGACGCTCTGAGATAATGAAAACGAGAGATAGCAGGTTGAAGGCATCTGTATGAGCAAAAGTGCGGGCAAGAGCAATAGGAGGGATAAGGTTAAAAAACACATGCCGAGCGGCCTACAGTACTACTCCACATCAACGTGAGTGAGCAGTTGGTTCAACTATGTACTCACTCACGTTGATGTGGAGACTCGTAGTTCCCTCTCCTTATCAGGTTCCCTGCCCAGATGGGAGAAAAACCTGACGAGAGTTTGTAACAGCAAACTTCCTGCATGAGTAAACTTGCGGATGTGTGCAAGGATCTAGATCCTCAGAGCCCACCGAGTTGTCAAGCAGCTCAAGATAGCTTAAAAATAGAAATCGGGCATATACGAATTTTGGGAGTCACATCAAGTTCATCTCTGACCTTGGCATTTGGTCTCAGCTGTAGTAGTACTTTGGTGACTCCGCACGAGCCGACGGTGTTTGTCCTCCACGGGGTTTTCGCGTGCATTCTCGGGGTCAAGGATGGCCCAGAGGTGTGGATCGGTCGCAAAACAGCTGGGAAGTACAGGTGCGAGAGATGTCTACTGGAGGTGCAAATGGTACCATCGCCTGATTCCGGGCCTCCTACAGAGAGTTAAATAAACATCGAGTAAATTACATTCAAAAAAGCGAGAATAACAGCATAATGAAACCCCGACCGATTGAACCGGCCCGAGCGGTTTGCACGCCCCCAGATATTCCCCACAGTCCCCAGACTGGACCCCAGAGTTCACGACAGACTTGCCTCTGGACTGTCCATTAGCCAGACTTTCTGCTTTGACACCACTGAGTACCGAGTACTTATACAACTCACCACACGCGTACGGTAGCGGGAACACAAACCGCAACATTCATGGCAAAACCTCTATTTATCGCAGAGATCCTCCGCGTCATCATTGCTGAACTTGCTGCAGATGACAAGCAATCCCTTGCTCGCCTTGCGCAGACGTCCAAAATATTTGCAGATCCATGCCTGGACGGCCTATGGCATACCATGGGCTCGTTCATCCCATTTATCCCTCTACTTCCTAGAAGTGTACGTTCCGCGCTTGTTGGAGAGAACTCAGAGAAGAGATCATCGATGTTGTATCACTATGAAAATTTAAAATCTCACTGGTCAACACTAACCCAGCGCCTCAAGACACTTAGTCGCCCCGGGGTTCGCATTCAACGTACTGGAGAATGGGAGTCTTTTGACAAATACGCTCGCCGCGTTCGGGTATACCGTCAGACAGATGACGTTAGTTACCCAAAAGCGTATCAAGTGGCCTCTTGCATGCGCGAGAAACACCTATTTCCCAATTTACGTGACCTTGGCTGGCGCAATACTGGTGGTTGTTCCTTGGAGTCTTGGTCCCTCCCTTCATCATTGCGGTCCCTCACTATCTTCGAAAACCCTATGGTTGGCATCGAGCTTTTCCTACATCAGGTAGCACATGATGCTCCTGAGCTCGAAACACTACAGATCAATTGTAGTTTTCCCGTAGGGTCGGCACCATGTAGTACTGTGGCCCCTTTGCCCTTCAACCGCCTCGAATATGTTACCCTCATATTTCCTGATCTTGCTAGAATTGACATCTGTCACACTCTCTCCTTGGCCCCGATCACGGACCTTGCAGTCATGCTCAGCAGCTCGAAGAGGATGTGGCAGCCGGGTTCTTTGTTTCATGGTCTGGAGAGATTGACCATCTTTGGGGACCCTGCGTTGGCGAGCTTATTCGTCAAGTGTGTTGGCAGCACGCGTCTACGCACCATGTATCTGGTGCTACTAGGTGAAGACGCCACTCTCTCGCACTGTCAGGAGCTTCTTGCGGTCTTGTTCAAGACGCATGGACAGTCACTACAGTGTCTTTATCTCAACATCGATGGAGAGAGCCTATCCCTGGAAGATCCCTCCGTCATAGATCAACTTATGAACAAATTTTTGAGCGAATTGCGTCTTCGTGTGCACGGAAGCGGCGTGGAAAGGGTCCACGTCGTCTTACAAGGCCTACCAGACCACATTGTACAGGGGGGTTCGGTTGTAGTAACCCAATTTATAAATGCCGCATGGACTCAGAGGGCCCTGCTGCAAATCCCATTATTCCGAGATGCTAAAGCAAGTGCTTACAACTTAGACTATTTTCATCTCCCTAACAAGTTGAACTACTAGAATGGCCACAAGCTCCTGCGCTAGGACATGCATGTCCGAGAAAGAGAGGGAGAGAATTTCTGTATTTGTATACCGCAAAACGCAAAAGAAATTGTTAGACGCGGTGCCCTATGGGCTGTGTTGTGATGAGTATGGGGTGCAGGTATTGTAACAATAGCGGAGGAGTCCGCGTTTGAGATAATGCATTGGTGCTCGTGTTTCATCGATGCAAAGAGCTCTACTCTTCGCATCCGAAGTAAGTATTTACATCCCCTCCTCATGCCTCACACCCTTTCACATTTCATATCTATATCTCTACTCTTCTGTATTATGCACATCGTACTTGGCACACATTTTGTCTTTACACGATATCAACAGCGCCTTCATTTATTCCCTTTGTCTCTTATGGTTCCTCTATCTTCATACCTATGTGCTCGAGTCACTCGCTACAATACTTAGGATGGAAATGCGACTATATCAGTCTGTACATTGTCGAATGCAGTATGATTCACCCCACATTTCTGTAAGCTTGCCAAAGGTTTAGTGAATGATTTTATTACTGCCCATGAACAGCTACAGAGTACGACATCTAATTCTGTTAGGACGAAAGAAGACACTGGGGGGAAATCAATTATTATGACAGGTTTAAAACATACCTAAGTTACACTGAGAGTTTAAGTGCTGACACGCAGGATGGGGTTTGACACGGCATGTAGTAGGTGTGATCCGGCTGTGACGAGGCACTGACGAGGTATTGCTGCGGCACAATTTACTTGACGGGGCATAGGTAAGTGTAGAGGTCGACATTAGTATGGAGGCTGCGAAGATGTTAGGGAGAACTTGTCGTGGCATGCGTGGTGCCGGACCTAGTCTGAATGAGGCTTGACATAGTAGTACAGAGTACAGAGGCTGCATCGGACTTGACATGGTGAGACAATGCTTCACACTGCGTCTGAAAATATCAATGATTAGAGGCAATACAACAAACACAAGATGCGCGATACATTCCCGAGCAGGACGGACGCGCAGGATAAACACTGTAAATATCGTGAGAAGTGAATGCAGCACTCCAGGGCCTGTACGCAGATGGGTACTCATATATTGATCATTAACGGGGATTCAAAGTGTTCGGAATTCATTTCAAGCGACATAAGATGGTGTTTGAACATGATCTGTACCTAGGATTTGTGACAGTGCCACGTCAATTTCACCTGGCCCAGCACTGAATGGGTAACATTAACCATTCGTTCCACCTGCATGAATAGATAGTCAGCTCGATTGAAATAAAGGTGAAACAAGGCACACGCATAGTTATTCTTGAAAGCTTTAAAAGAAGTGCGGAAAGGTACTGTCAACGGCTCGTTATCCGGCAGGAGCTGGCAGGAGACAGAGGTTTGAAAGAGACCTGGCAGTTGCATCAGCATAGAGAAGTTACATATCAAAGAGAAATCCACGAAGATTGTGCACCGTGAAACCTGAGTTCTGGGTTCTAGAGTAGCTCTGAAATAGCCGGTTGTGGTATTGATCCTCAAACTGAAGACTACGGTTCTGAGTGTAGGGAAATGGCCCATAGAATGAGTAGTAGTGTGTACATGCGGAAAGCGACAGATCAGAGACCTTCGCAAATGTGAATGGAAGACAAAGTTAGTAAGTAGTAGAGGTCAACGTACCATACGGCTGCAAAATGAAATAAAAACAAAGTAATAGATGATAGTGATAAATTCCCTAGGTGAGGGACTCTCGAGTGGTGACCAGCCCAGAGCCATCGCCTGGCAGCTTGAGACATCCGATCCCGGGCCACTCGAGAGGGAAGTAGGGAAGGGAATCGACTATACGACGGCAACACATCTGTTCAGTGTTTCCGCAAGAACTACAGACTCAAATATTCGTGGGAACGACATTCCCTTTCGGTTTACTTGACTGATATCTACTGACATACGCCGCATGGTGCGGAAGTGTACGATGGACTTGTCCTAAACATTTCAGAGGATGTATCTGCAGGACCCACAAAGCTAGCGTAAAAAATCTGGTTGCTGGACGGACAGGTGAGCAGAAGCTTGATCTCATGTATGCAGCTAATCATCATAGCGTAGGTTGAAGGCTAAACGAGTCCAGAAATGAAACCATCATCCTGGTAGCGATGATGATGAACATTCTCGTCCCGCAAAGCGGATGCGACCTGGCGTACCCTTGCCTGCTACCAAAGTAGCTTCTGCAGCGGACCGTCCGGCACTTCCAGCTAAGCCTCCGACTCAGATAATCTCCTCTCTGTTCTCGTACAACCATAAAGTTGAAGCTCCTATACCCTTAGCTGCATAGACTCCGTCGATTTTCACTGGCGCCTGCTAGGTGATTCATCTATGTACGGCGGAAAGATGGAAAGTTCTGGGTCTAGCAAAGACACGAGTGACCACCTCTCGACTTCAACGACATCGTAAACCGTCTCAAAACCCAGGCAGTGACAACACGGAGCGTATTGCAATGTTTTCAGGGCATCGTGCTGCACGTGTGGATGACCTCCCGTTCATGTCCAGTGATTTAGTGATGGGGATCTCATTGCATTTATTCCTAGAAGTGAGTCGCTACTTTCAATCACAAAAGTTCCTCCTCGCTCAGTCATCAATTGGTCACGGTTCAACAGCTGCACAGCACACACCATCACTTCAAGTTGGCTTTGAAGGATGTCAAGTTATCAGCATTCCAGAGCTTACTCGGTTTCGACGCGTTTTGGCCCACCCCATTCTGTCTCGCGTATGGTAATAAAGTCTTGTCTCAGCTTGTTGGTGCGTCGAATGACGTTAAATATCCCCTTTATCACTCACGCCCAGCAGATGTCTCTGTATTCTGTTTGACCCCCCCTTCTTCAAGCCATCAAAACGTGTCTGTCCACCCTGCAGACTCCACATGTCTGCATTCATGTGAACCGACTTACTATATCCTCCTACCATTGCGGCAAACACCCATCAGTATCGGGCATTCCTCCTTCCGGTCTCTAGCGTCTGTCTAGAATCAGCCGATAAAGACGGCCCCATGAGTAGTGGGTTTAACTTATTGTCATTAGAGCTCGGCTTATGTTTTCACGATCGTTATCGTTTTCGCCTTGCCATCCCCTTAGAAGTTTTTCCCAGCAGTGTCGTCTCGTCAAATACGAGGTCTCTCTACTTCAACACGCTATGCATGGTTTATTAGGTGACATGTTTGTTCGTGCGCAGTTCATAACACCCTCTTTGACCGATGCATTTGATGACTGCATACCACGCACTCATACAACAGACTAGCGCATACTCGATCGGACAGGACAGGATGCGCACTACACAGTCATACTACTTTTTGTGCTAGATTGCAAATAACCTGATGCAGTGCCTGCAGAACAAGTTATAAGCAAATCATGCTCCCGGCAATCTACGACGCAGCCATAGATATATTCCAGGGAGTTGATGTTGTTCCAACCTCCCTGCAGACTTGCCTGTGAATGATGCCTGCAGCAACAGTCAGAACTTCAAGCCAACGGTAACTCAATATTGCGTCAATACTGCGAGGCGTCGTGCCAGCTGGCGAAATGTGTAAAGAGCCATCATAGAGGCATTATCCTCAGTTTGTCATGATACTGACGTGCAGCACGCTGGAGTTTCTTCAATCACTGCTGATGATCTCGTCAGATGTTAGACGTGGGAATGAGCCGATCAGCACGTCCTTGTGTCTCTGAACGTGCGAGGTTGTAGCCACCGAATACATACACTTCGAACAAAAGACTGCGGCTGCCATGAGTTTTCGGTATGTGCTCTCATGAATCAGCAGCAACATGTGAATTTCACTCAGTCTGCTTTTCAGCAACCAAAACGTCCAAGCTCGCAGCTGTGCTTTTTCTGCTATATCATGAGCAAGCTGGAGAGCTCAGGGTGTTACTGGCAACACGATCCAAGTGGTTGCGTGCACATCCAGAACATACAGTGTTACCTGGTGGGACAGCAAACGACGGAGATGAGAGTTTATCCGCACATGCAACTCGGCATTGCGAAGCCAATGAAGAAGCCGGTCGCCTTCGGAATTGGAAGAGTTGAAACGAACGCCACACGAACGCGACACAATTCGAATGACTAAGATGTGCTTCGATGCAATGGAGAGCATTTTACTTACCTTTTACATCGTGTCTGGTGTGTTCACAGCGTTCAAGTTATGTAAACACAGCCCGCACCCACGTCACGCCACGAAGTCTGATCAGCAATATTATAGGTGTGTCTTCTCACGTGCAATTTGATTTGATCGCTATGATACGAACGCTTCATTGAAGGAATGCTCGAAGACTCGCTGCATCCTGACCTCAAGGCGGAAACGAGCGAGTGCGACCTCCAGGTACGTAGCGCAATCCAATGGTTGTATTTTGTATCTTCATCCACGACCAAAATTCTTATCTATACACGCACCGTTGCCAGGAGCGTGAGCTGACAGCTGGGAGCCCTGCTGTGCACTGTCATACAGTGGATTGCTGTATACTGAATATTGATGTATTCTATATATTAATATCGTGATTCTATGTAGAAGCTTGAACTGCGCTCCCACACAGCATGATACTGCCAGGTACATTTACTACTTAATCTCGTTTGTCAAATCGTATTCCCTCGTCTTAGAGAGAATTTCGTCGAGGACTTTCCTGCTAATCTCCTGCAACTGCCCTCGTTCGCACACAGATGGGCATCGTTCATTCCTCCAGTGCGACCAACTTCGGTGCACTGCATCCTTCCGCTCAGCCGATCCCCCCACTCCTTATCCCAGACTTAACTAGGCTCATCACCCGATGCTACCAATACCCGGTTTCCGGTGGCGCATACGGTGATATCTACAAATGTGTATACCACGGACCAGATGGCGATGTAGAGGTTCGTGCCCGTTTTACAGCTCTTCCATGTTTGGTGACGTTTTACTTACACACAGGTCGCCGTCAAAGCAATCCGACCATTCTTCAGTGCTGAGGTAATGTTCTGTGACCTGTAGCAGACAGATATAATAATCAAGCATTCTTAGGTGCTCCGGAGAGAACTTGGGATCTGGAAGAGGTTGCGACATTCTAATATCTTAAAGTTCATGGGTACTACCCAAGACTTTGGCCCGTCTGAGGCTTTGGTCGCTCCGTGGTTAGTCAACGGCAATCTTACGTCGTTCCTCAACGAGAACGAAACTCTTGGGCTGCATGACCGTCTGCTTCTGGTAAGAACTCAAGTATGCACCCAGTATGCACAGTCGAGCTCATCGTTTCATGCAAAAGCTTCGTGGTATCGCCGCTGGCCTCCACTATCGTGAGTGAGTGCATGTACATGGCGAAAAAAAATAACCGTCTCCCTCAGTTCATACGTTCAGCATCAAAGTCGATGGGAACACGTCCCTGAATGCAGTCGTTCACGGAGACCTCACTGGTGTAAGATCACTCTATCATATAATCCCCTATACTCATGATGAACTTGAAGAACAATGTCCTCATCGGCAGGGATAGAACCCCATACCTTGCAGATTTTGGCCTCTCGGGAACTCTGACACAATTGCCCGGGATGACGTACCTTGCGATGATGAGCTGTCACCCAGGAGCATTGAGGTGGTCAGCTCCTGAACTTTTTTCTGCGGAAGAATCAGCCTCCTCGGTTACCACTCAAAGTGACATTTACTCGTTTGGTAGCATCATGCTTCAAGTAAGTCGTTCCCTCTTGCCAGTGCAACTCACTAGCTTGTCCTGCAGGTTTTGACGGGAAATTTGCCCTGGTCACACTTAACCCGAGAATTCCAGATGTACCAAGTGATTATGAAGCAGAAAAAACATCCTCGTCCGGCCAATGATCATATTACTGATGGGCGCTGGAATTTTATGACCTCCTGCTGGTCGAAGACGGTAATAAATCGCCCCTCTGCTGAAGAAGCACTTCAGTTCATTGATGGCGAGCTCGTTTTGTACGATCGTAGCGACGTCGACGGTGGATAGCACCCTGCCACCTTGATTCTCGTTCCTGGATATACGCCCCAGTCATTGGCCCAGTAGTCCACCTACCATCTGTTTGTGGATGTTGCGCACTTGGCTGACATTACTAATTATTTACATAATATACAGCACAGCAACCAGACATACAGCAGCGGCACCTTGAGGAATACCACCGCAATCCTCAGGAGTGCCAAAAGCGGTTGGGAGGTTCTTCAACATTCAATGGGGCTCATGCCGGACAGCAAAATGCTTGAAATGTAGGTGACCGTTGAGTATTTCTAGCGCGAACAGTACGTCATCGAACAGCCTTTGTGGTTTGGTACTCATTTCTGAGGCAGGCACACGGATACATGGCCTTCATTATTTCAAAGAGAAGACCGAAAGACCGCACGAAATTACAGCCATGACTTCAGAAACTTACCAGCGCCCTGCCGCGACGGTCCAGTTGGAGCCCAAAACACAGGACATCGAACCACATCCTTCACAATGTGTTGATGAATACTATGGCGAAACATGAACAGTGAGTGTTCCCTCCCTAACATTTCCTGACAGTTAGACTTCCCTCTGGACTGAGCCAGCCAATGTTGCGGCGTCCGGAGGGGCTAGCATGTTTTATCTTTATCATGTCGCTTTGGTTCTCGTGTTATTCCCTGTACAGCTATAAAAAGTATCTGGTCTTCTATCGCCTTCGCCGCGGAGGAAGTCATAAGTTAGGAGAACTTGCGTGACGAAAATATCGTGGCTTGAAGCCTTTCCGAGTCGTTCTCTTGAATAGGAGGAATCTGAATGACTGCGACTAAGTCGTGGAGAATGTCGGTTCCCTAGTCCGGTTCTTTATAATTCTTCATGCATCTTGTCCCACCCAATTGTTGTACAACCATGTGCTCTTCGTTATTCAATGCGCTATCGGTATCACTTGGTCTAACGGTGGTACTACTGTATTTCAAGGCGACCCCGGCATACGTTATGGCTCTCTCCTCTGTCATCTCAAAGCCTACACAATCTGATTCTGAGAAATGTTTACGGGACATCCCAACGCATGTGCTTAAGCGCCTCACTCCAAAGTCTAGAGCATGCGTCGAGCATCTGAAGACATGTCAATTGGATAGACCTGACCTGTAAGTCTCTTCGCACGCTTATTGCTCATCACCACCACCCATGAATGCGCATGCAGTTCTCGCCAACCAACCTCCAAACTTGCAGCTGTGCTTGTTCTACTATATGAGCAAGCTGACGAGCTCAGGGTGTTACATATTAACGACACGGTCCAAGTCACTGCGTGCACATCCAGAACAGACAGCGTTACCGGGCGGGAAAGCGGATGAGGGAGATGAGAGTTTAGTCTGGACTGCTGTAAGTGCTGCGGTCACGACGCTTTCACCGATTAAATGCTTTCATGCAACTGAGCTTCGCGAAGCAAATGAAGAAGCCGGTCTACCTGTTCCGCCCACATCGTCAAATATACATTTTATCACGACACTCCCGCCTTTTCTCTCTGCATCGCAGTTGTTGGTGACGCCTGTCGTTGTGCTTTTATCTTCGCCGCCTCCACTCGTCCCTTCGTCGTTGTCATCATCGACTTTGGATAGCTCTTCGAATGCAACCAACACGCCACCCAACTCCTCTTCCCACCCAATCCTCACTTCCCTAACTCCCTCTATCACAGCAGTAGACTGGATATTCGATCATCCACTCTAAGCGACGCTAGACCCTCGTCTTTTGTTGAACAAGGGGGAGTCGCTCGTGGATGTTGGAGAGGACTGGCCATATAATGCTGGGGATGTGTATGTGAGTTGTCGGCCTTTTACTGTGTGCTTTTGTTTTCAGTGTTGTATTTTCATTCCGCGTTGTATTTCTGTGACGAAAACCTCGCTGCTGTCTTGTTACCCTCCCACCCTTTCTACCTCATTTCAGGCTAATACCTCTTATCACGCAGAACCCATCCGACATCCGCCTCGACGCATTCGACGGACTCATGTATAGGATGCACCGGTTCAGAACATGCGCATCTCCTATCAAGGGGCTTGTTAATATCTTGGTACGTCTCTCGACTGTCTTCCTTCTATCCAATGCGTCTGCGTACGGGTGACTACCTGTCGGAGTGGTTAGCATTTTAAATTGATCGTCGTCCCTGAATCTCAACCGCGCACTCATCAAATCATCTCCCACATCTCCCACCAAGTCACTCACCCTGCCTGGATCTACGATACGTATCGTTAATATTGTCCACCTTACCTGCTCGATAGAGGACGACAGTCAACGATTAATCAACGTTCAACGCCTACCGTGGTCGTCTCGATGCCCCTTCGCCACAATAATCATGGTACAAGGAGCCCGTCTGTCGGACGCATTGCTCAGTTTCTTATGTATGGTGGACGATAGGTTACGGTTCGATTTGCCGATTTGCCGCGACTTATTTGAAAGTCCGCGCGGTGTTTATTCTAGTATTACATCAGGGAAGTGACGTGAAAATGGTAAAGTTTTGTCAAGCTTTACCTGATTTAAAATTTGTATAATATCTATCAAAATGATAGTTCACTAGAAAATGCTTTATATACCCGGAGTAAGTTGGATGAAAACTCCCAAAAGCACAATCATGATAGTCTACCTGCAATTACTTGCCATTTCTCACCAAACCGGCAAATGTTGCCAACACTTGGCAGCCATGACAAAGTTTGATAATGTTGGGTGGCTTCAAACAAAAGCTAATTTTTCGACCTTTGTACACACATTTTATTCCAAAAAAAATTCATTTTGTAATTAAACAAACAAGATGTAAGTACATATATACATATATAACACTACAAAAGACAGAAAACGAGTATAAGAGGGAGGAGGGTCCACAAAGGAGGGTCCGGGAGGGAGGGTCCGCAAAGGAGGGTCCGGGAAGTAGGGTCCATGAAGGAGGATCCAGGAAGGAGGGTCCAAGAAGGAGGGTCCACGAAGTAGGGTCCAGGAAGGAGGGTCCAGGAAGGAGGGTCCGCGAAGGAGGAACCAAGGAGGAACCGCGGAGGAGGGACCACCAGGGAGGAGGGACCACGAAGGAGGAGGAACCAAGGAGGAGGAACCATAAGGGAGGGACCAAGAGGGAGGGACCAAGAGGGAAGGCCAAAGAGAGTGAGAGTTCGAGATTCGGAGAGTAATTAAGTGGTGGTGGTAGCATTGAGAGAAGGAACTAGTAAGAAGACTCTAAGGTTGAACTTTGAAAAAATTTCGGACTTACATAAGCATCCCATAGGGCCGAGCCTCTTGATCCCAAGTGGTCACTGGTGACCATAGGTGACCATGCAGTCGAGAAATGCTGGTACACTTGCCTATTTTCATCAGAATTATACATTTTTTGCCATATCTTATCCTTCACTACCAATTTGCTTATCTTATATATTATTTTGTCTACTTTTGTCATTACATATAATCGCGTGAATTTTTGATCTGGTCTTACCAACTACAACTACAAAAACCGTCGCCTCGGCGATTTCCTGATGTACAAGCATACCTAGGCATACATACAAACTTGTGTCACATTAATGCAACGTGCATTACCTTACTTGCAGACCGCTGCCCAAACTTGAGATGGGACCCTGGCCTGATGAAAGAGTGATAACAGGGAGCAGCAGCTATACCTGATCTTTCTCTGGGCTATACTAATACTAGTATCATACTAGTAGTGACTCAGATGCCGCAGAGGCAAATCAAATCGAGGCGACGATTATTTGTAAGTTACTAGTACACGACCAGCAGATATCTACAATTGTAAGAACAGACTCGGAGCGTTTGATCCCGCGGAACCAATTCGCGTCGACGCCATGCAATGCGCGCTCCATCCGAACCCCTCTTCTGCTCCACTTTGGCTCAGGCATGTACTCCACTTCAGCTCCTTTGTGTCAATGATTATAGTCAGCATCTGTCACGAGCTCGACGTGGGCGCCGTTTAAACCTGTGTTGGGTCAACGAACCACATGGTTTTATCGATGGGTCGAGGCTGAACGTTGCATCGCACACTGGACACTGTGGCGAGAATACTTCGGAGATTGCACGGGCACCGCGCCCAAATCATATGCAGCATTCAAAAATTCTTCGCGAGTCACTGCGTTGCAATCTCACCAACAACTTTTACCTCGATCCCATTAGTATCCCTGGATGCACATTGTCTTTGCACTGGAATTTGGGCTGAAACACTTCGATCAATCAGATATCATTCCTCAAATCTCACTTTGGCAATGTAATCACTGTATTGTGGTATATCAAGCACGAATGCGGTCCACCAAGTTCCTCCGCTCGATCTTCTAATAGCATGGTAGTATGGTCCTAATCTCAAATGATCCCAGTTGGTGGCCACTTATCAATGCGAGTCTTATTGACAGCTATTTTGTAGGTTCGTGGAGAGTCAGCCGCATGATGACGGTGACGATTCAATTCACCTTGACTCTAATTTCGTCACACAGGATGTACATGCTGGGTGTGTATCCTCGCATAGACTCTGTTTCTTTCTTGTGATGGGCAGCATACAGTCAGTGTTCCAACAATTTCGGCGACTGGCGCGGCAGTGAGCATTCCGACACCGATATCTTCCATTCTTGTCCAACAACTGAAACTACCATGCAGGGGTGAGTGAAATTCTCGAACAAAACTCGTTGATTCAACATAACGACTCCCACAGTTGTGAGTTTGTTTCAGAGTCTGTGATCTTCCGAAACTGATAACCAATGTTACTGGATTTGTCAGGCCTTATCATCTACGACACACTTAATTGGATGGGTGAGGTTGTAAATGTAATACTGGGCGGTGAGCTATACACCTCCATGACATTTGACTTGACTGAAATATCATGCAAGTCATCATGATCGCTCGGTTGCATGCCATGTATCAGAGATCTAGAAAGGTGCTGACATTGCGAGGTGAGCTCATAATGTCAATGTGGTTTCTCTTTTTCTGCCAAGGTTTTCGCATGCTAGTTTTTTGGTTATCTCTTGCCTCCAGATCGGTTTCTTCTTTTCGACACTCTCAGCGGTATGCCGATCCGTTGACGACCTCTACATGCGACCATGATTCATCATTTCTATAGGACATATATTCCCTGGACCCTCAGATTTATCTTGGTCTCGCTGAGATATTCCAGGTCGTGCAGATGTTTGTGCTAGGACCACGCCTCATCCTCGGTGTTGGAGAATATCACGCTGAGCTCGTGGCCAACTCTAATACAGCAACCGCAATGACTTCAATTGCTTTTCAGGAGCGCGTCCATCAGATGGTCCATGTATCAAATAGCAGTAGTGTGTAGCGCAGGAGATGCTCGATATGATTTATTTGCGGGTGCAGGGAGCGGGAAAATGCACATTTACTGTGAGGTTGTTCATTCAAAGCGGCTTGCCACTTCAGGAACGAGAACAACGGACATGGATGAGGGTGATGGAGGTTAAATTGACAAAACCCATCAAAAACGAGGTGCCACAGCACCCTCCGGTTCATCAATGACCATAGTACCAACTACGAGTGAGACGAACGAATGGCATCGGTATCATATGCATGCTTAATGCGGCAAGCATAGTTCTTTGGCCCAGCCTGTCACGGTCCGCCTCAGAATCCAGAAAACCGAAGCCTGAAATTTCAATCCGAAGGAACGAGAAGACAAATCTCACCACATATTAGCCTTCAGTGCTGCAGTTCAAAATACCAAGTACCGAGTGAGCTAGCTCATCATGTGAAGTTGTTCAATGCTTTCAACTTTGATAAATGCATCATATACGCAGATGGCAGCAACAAAGCAAGTGCATAGTAAGTTAGTGTAAATACACCTCACGTCGCAGCAGCTACCGCGACAGTTGCAACATTTTCACGATGCCCGCGTCCAAGCTAATCGCATTGGCAAAGACTCGACGGTTAGGCGGCTTACTACGGCCTTGCAAGGGTGTGACAGTCTCACAGGTGCTTGTTTCCGCATGCTGCACTTGCAAGAGGCGAGAGGTCAGCGAGAGGTTGTGGGAGTTGCGTGAGGCGCTTGCAGGTCAACCGGTCATCTGCAGCGGTCTGCAAGCAAGGAATGCACTGAGTGTGACACGAATTTACTGGTATACCTAGGTATATTTGTAATACTAGAATAAACATCGATCGGACTTCCAAATAAGTCGCGGCAAATCGGCAAATCAAACCGTAACCTATCGTCCACCATACTTATGTACTCCCACTGCTGATCCTCTTCTTCCTCTCCGCAGATCTCAACTTTCATCGGCTCCTCTGGCGTTCGGTCCAAATGAATGACACCTCGACAAGTCTATGGCTCCATCCACGATCCTGCTATGACTCCCGATACCAGCTTTCTGTGGACAATCCCCCATGCATATCTGAATAGCCCATGAAGGCGACATGATCGAATTTCGAGCTCGATCCCCCAATCAGTAGCAAGTAGCACTGACGAATGAGAAGTGAATGCTGTCTTCTCGTGCCCAGAGGATAGTGTTGACTTTTGTATGCTTGTCATAGAAATTTCTCCTCAATCCACCGATTGGCACGTCTGTGCACTGGAGATATACATGAATCTTGCTAGCTCATGATCGATTCTTCAATGATGTCTGCCCTGTTTATAGGCGCCTCGTTGATTTCTTAGTGTCTCATAATTACATGGAGTTCGGTTCAGTAAGTGGTATAAGTTCAAAAGTGTCCTGTCTCTTTCATCTCGCGTCTAAGGTGTCCGTGCGAGTCGGACCGGCACTAAGCCATGGACACGTTTGCAACAATGTTAGAATGTTGCTCCCCCTCCCTGCTGTAGTTTCGGTTCAGCACCGCTAATGAAGACTAATTCTGCCCAACAGAGCTGCTAAGGATGTCCATACATACGGTGACTTATATATGGTGGCCTTGACAGTACTAGTACGATGTCTTACTATCAGTGTGGTCTACTTTGCTACGAACTATATAATTTGTTTGATTCGCATCGGTGAACCAGACCTTGTTGTCTGGCGTCGAGTAGTAGTGACTAAGAGGACATGAATGTTAGCGGCGTCACCTGTCACTTCGTTAATTATACGTTGCTCTTGGAAAGACGTCGAGATGGGAACAAAGCCGTTGAAGGGATGTTTGTTTGTTTAGATTACCAGTCAACTGGTTTCAACGGCATTACTATGTGGCATAGATCGTCATGTTTTTGGTACCTGTGACGGAAAAGACAACGGAGTAAAACTTGGAAGGAGTGCACGAACCGTAATATGCATACAGCATTCCCACCTATAACCAACCTTGACAGGTAAGTCCAAAACAAAGAGAGAAGCGACATCATGTCTGTAGGGTGTGCTTAGTACAGTATAACAGACTGTGGACACTGGTGTCGACAACGTCACGACCAAGTTAACCATGTCCCGAGGAGGCATTGGAGCAATCTTAACCTTGACAGCGTCCGAATAGGCATCGGACCAATCAATGTGCGAACCTAGAGGATGAAGCTTTGGAGAACAACAAGCCTGCTCGAAACGCAGCCCCGCCAACTGCGAGGATCTCCTCACATGTAAAATGTCGAAGCTCCAAGCAGGTGATGACGCTGTAACTCCAATTTGAGACACTTCCAACATTGATGTTCTGGATGCATCTAACCAAGCCAAGGTCCGAACGAGAGTGGAGCTTTGAAAAACAACTCTACAATCGCAGCGCCGCCACCTATAAGGAATCCCTCATATTTGACACAATTAAACTATGAGCAGGTGATGACGCTGCGGGTCCGATGTCAGAAACTGTCAAAAGGATTCATATTGATGTGCCTGGGAGAGCGTTAATAGCGTTCGACCGAGTCTTTGAGGTGCGAACCTGGAGAGTGAAGCTCTGAAGAGCGATCCTGCGATCTGTTCGGAACGCAGCGCTGCCACCTGCCAGGACTTCCTACATTTCAATCGTCCGAAGTTCCGGCAGGTGATGACGTTGCGACGCCGATTTCCGAAGGGCACGACCGAAAGGAAAGGTATAATCCCGGGAGAACATTAACAATGAGCATCTAAAAAGTATAAGGTACGAACTTAGAGAGTGAAGAGCAACCCTGTGATCTGCTCGAAACACAGCGAAGCCAACTTCTATGTGTAGCTGCCGATTTTTGTGATGGCAGGAAGAAGGTCAGCTATATTAACCGGTTAATGCTATCTGACTTGTACAAATAGTAGCAAAGATATTTGTGGAGCTATTTGGGCTTAAAACCCGCAGGGTTTTACGACCCGAAACACCGTTTCGAACCTGTGGAGAAAGTCCAGGATGAGCCGTGAGGGCGGGTGGGACACCGCAGCTCGATATACAGGATTCGCAGAATTCTGCTGTGTTCGAAATCAGTGCGTCGAGTTGGTTTTTTAACAAAGGAGAGATCAATGAACTGTTTTTGAATGAGACACAAGCTGCTAAAAAGGGAGTGGCGGGTGGGAGCGACGAAACGAGAGTGTCGTCGAGGAGTGGATGAGTTGCAAGTACTAACGTGGTAGTACGAAGCAAGAAGGTGGGAAACACGAAAAATCGTGTCGCCACATAGACCTAATTCTATCTCGAACTCATATAGAATACAAGCAAGAATATCTAGAACAGCCTTCTACTAGAGACTAACTTCGGAGGTGATGACGCTGCAATACCAATTTCAGTTATTGCCTCGGTGAACAGGTACGAACCTGAAGAGTGAGCACGATTCAGCGATCTGCGATCAGCTAGTTATCAGGTCGACACGGTGACATAAGAATATAAAGGTCCGGCATAATGGAACGACTACAGGAACCTTACTAATTATCATATATTCCTTGGACTGCCTCTAAGTTGTTAACGACATCTCGCAGCGCCTCCATCATGAAAATTTGCATGTTCGATTAATCAGGCAGAGGAGATAATCGAGCGTGTAACGACCACACATATGGCCTCATTGTACTCGACTTTTTCGCAAGTGTCACAGCATCAGTCGTGGTTGATGCATCGAGGCGGCCGACTTCTAGCCTGGTTTTACTACACAATTCTCCATTGCTGGAGTGTGCCTGATGTAAGTTGCTGGTATCAACGCCCAAGAAGAAACAACACAGCTCAAGCTTGATCTTTCACGCCGGAGAGTTATCTCCGACTTCCATCAAACCAACATCGAAGTTTCGCACGTCATCTGACAGACACAGCATCAAGTCCTCATATAATTTCAAACATTGTACGTCGCAGACGTTTGGCTAGCAACGACAATAAAACGTCCACTCATTAATCCCCCCGCTCAATCATCTGCAGCCAACATGCCTCTCCATAATCATACCACCACCACCTCCAACAATGACAACAATATTAATAACCACCCCCCAACACATTGTATCCGCCTAGTCCCCCACCTCGATGTCCGCCGCATCCTCCATTTCGAACCCATCTCCCGCAACCTCAGAGACGGCGACACTCCCCTCCGCATCGGTCGCTGCACAGATCGCTCAAGCATCAGTCTCACACCCTTAAACACCTTAAACACAAACAAACTTGTTTTCAGAAGCAGGGTCGTCTCTCGCTACCATGCAGAGATTTGGTCAAATAACGACAAGTTCTACATTAAAGACACCAAATCTTCAACGGGCACTTTCCTCAATAATCTTCGTCTAAGTCCCGCAGACTCTGAGAGCAAACCACATCAGCTTAAACATGGGGATATCGTTCAGCTTGGAGTCGACTATCGTGGCGGTGTTGAGGATATCCACAAATCTATAAATATAAGGATCGAGCTCGAACGTGCATTATCTAACGGAGAGCTGACCGGTCGGCCTTGGACCCATCACATAACTACGGAGGCTACATGCGTCGAAAATTTTCCCGATAGAGAACCCGTGAGTGGAAATCATGTTGGGATAGGGCTCTGGTCTATGAAGGACATACTCGAGCAGTACACGACGGAGGAAACGACAAAGGACAATGAAAAAGCACAGCGGCAGCACCACCTTGCTCTCAGTGACACACAGGTATGCTCTCACCCATGATTGCTCCACATTCTATTTAACTATGTTGTGCTGCGTGGTGACAGCTGCCCTATCATGACAGTCGAAGCAATCATCCCTCAGAATCTGATGAAGCTTTAGTGACCTGTCCGGGATGCACGCATTGCGGGAGATGTGCATTCCGCTAATGAGCTGCTGGCCCAAGAGATCCACGAAGATGGCAACAACCATCATTGCTATGCTATTCGCTCAATTTCAAGGGCGCGAATCTTTGAGTGGGACGATGCGCTCCAATACGCAATCAAGGTCAGACAATCTGCTTATAAATAACACTGTTCACAACAGCTTTATTGGATAGTCAATTGCTGTAAAGCCCTCGTTATGGGGGTACATTTCTAAGGGCATCGCCCTCTCTGGCAACCAGCAGCTTTCAGACGCGATGGAAGCTTTCGATATTGCTTTCATATTTTCGGAAAATGACTCGAATCCGGTGACCATCGATCTTTTACTGTTGATCAAGGTATTCTGGCTGCGATTTTAATAGTCAGTTTGTCATACTCAGAATTTGGTGTTATTTTGTTCAGGCTGTTGCACTCTTCAGTGCCGGACATCATGACCAGGCGATGCGGCGAGTTCAAGATCTCACCACCGCTTTCCAACATTCAGATTACACTTCCATGCAGCGTGGTCAACGTGAGCTTTATGTCGAATCCCATGAATTTTCTCATTTTGAAATACACTCCTCAGTCGTATCTACATGTGCGACTTGCAATGATTGCTTTTGAAAATGAGCAGTACAGCGAAGCCGCTGACCAACTCACAACCAGTTTGACCACCATAGCCGGCTTGTTCTCACTGCATACCCCTTTGGAACCTAAATTGGAGATCTTTACGCTGGTGTGTCCCTATGGATCCGTTGAGGAGACTTCCACTTATACATTGATGATATGCGCCTGTACAGCTATTCGGCTGGGACTTCAACTCCATACAGCAAACTACCCATAAAAAACGGTGCGAAGCGTTCCTTCGTGCAGATCGACTCCCCGAAGCAGCCGAATCTCTTCGATATATGATGAGCATGCTTGACGGATCTACGCAGGACAGCTACCTCGAATGGTCTACAGGTGAGGCCCTGGAAATTTGAATAACTTGCATATGATACTTATTTTGGTGCCGATTAGCCTTCAAGGAAGACTGTACTGCGCGGTGTGTCGCGAAGGCAGACGAGGCCATTGCAGCGGACAATTATGAGATAGCTTTTGAGTTGTATTCTGCAGCGATCGGGCTGGATTCTTCATCCTATCTGCTTTTTGCGAACCGTAGTAAGGCGAAGTTGGGACGAAACCTCTATGTGGAGGCCCTTCACGATGCAGACAAGGTGTGTGCAATATCCTTCATCTGTTCGAGCAATCGAGCCAATGATGCCTATGCATAGGTTATTGAGCTCAACCCTTCATCTTCTCTTGGGTATGAACTGAAGTATGCAGCGCTTCACCGGGCACAACGTCACGATGAAGCAAGCGAGCTCATCAAAACCATGCTTGCCAAGTTGAACGATACCCCCAGTGAACGTATTCAAAGTAAGGCCCAGATAACTCATGCGTTGACTTGAAGGTGATCAACTCTTCATCCAGAACTGTGTCAGTCATACTTTCCGTCTGAAGCCGTGGACACTATTCGAAGAGCTATCCAGGCTCAGCTGGAAACTGCCCCCCTTCGTCTACTCAACACCTCCACCGGGCGTTTGTGCGATCGAGAGGCTCAGATAAATGCCTTCATGGAAAGCGCAGAGTACAAGAAGCTTTTATCTTCATCGATGATGCATGCGGACCTCCAAGAGGAGTCCATTGGAGACGCAGTCACGAAGTACTTCAGTTGGGTCATGTTGTCGCATCGGTGGGAAAGCAATGAGATGTTGCTGCCTGACATCAAGGACAAAGTCGTGTACGATTTGGATCCCGTCGGAACTACTGTAAAGTTGCAGATGTTCTGCAAAATTGCTCGCGATAGGGGCTATCGCTGGGCATGGGTTGATACCTGCTGCATCGACCAAAATAACAACGTTGAGCTCCAACGGTCTGTCAACTCTATGTTTGTCTGGTATCGCCAGTCAGCTCTTACGATTGTCTACTTATCGGATGTTCCGCCTTGGGCAAACTCGGGCGCACTAGCAAGCAGTGCTTGGAACACGCGAGGATGGACCGTTCAGGAATTCCTCGCTCCTAACATCGTTCTCTTCTATAACGCAAATTGGACCTTATATCTCAACGACCGCTCTCCCAACCACAAGGAGTCTACAATAATCAGGCAGGAGTTAGAGGCTTCGACAGGCATAGATGCTCAGGCCCTAGTAGCCTTTCGTCCGGGCATGACAAACGCCCGAGAGAAATTCCAATGGGCGTCTACGCGGGTCACGACGTTGCAGGAAGACATTGCATACTCGTTGTTTGGTATTTTTGGCGTCCATCTACCCGTAATCTACGGCGAGATGAAGCAAAATGCACTTGGTCGGCTCTTACAAGAGATCATCGCTCGGTCGGGCGACATTACTGCCCTGGACTGGGTGGGAAAATCATCCGAGTTCAATAGCTGTCTCCCAGCTGACATTACCTCGTACAAAGCCCCCCCATGCCTGCTGTCATCTCTATCTGAAGACATGATGCAGACAATGGTTTCCACACTGCGACACACTGTTGCTGTGGAGTCAGCATCGAGTCTTTACACCCTCCTTGACAACCTCAGCTCTCCTCGTTTCGCGAACTTTAGACTGCAACTGCCATGCATCGCATTTTCCGTCACAGAAGTCAGACGAAGGAATGGACAAGCTCAGGGGACATGTTTCACTTATAATATCAAAGCAGACGGGCTTCAAGACTTGTTGATCAACACAGAAGATAGACTGTTTCAATTCTCACGGACAAGGCCCATAGAGCAGACGTTGCTACTCGTCCGCCCATGGAATCGTTGTGACCTTGGGTTGCCTGACTTTGCCGACGATAAAACCATGGAGGCTTGGTCTTCGCGCTGGTCTACACCATGGTCTATGCCCTTGTCCACACACTTGTCTCAACCAGAGCTGTGTGGATCGCCTAAACAATATGGGCCGGTTGATTCGGAGTCGCACTCGCGAGCATTGAAGTTGATCGTTCGCCTTGCACAGCCTTTTGGTGCACTCCTACTGGCGCAGCAGCGTGGTGGGGAGTACAAGAGAATCGCCTCCGATCACAATATCATCGTACAAGTCAAGGACATGACTGCTGTTCATGACATGATGGGCGTCAGGAAGCTAGAAATACTGTAGCTGCATTGTCGTCGAAAATCGGGGGTCTCCAACGCGTCTTTATCTAGATTTTAACATTACTTACATGCATGGAATAATATCCTTTGGCATTTCCAAGTTCTCGACGCTCACTCTTGCACTTTCAAAGTTGCAGTGTGCGTAGCTCGCGGAAATTACTTATAGCAGCTCCTGCCCCCTTTGCTACCAGCGGTCAGAATAACACAGAAGGCGCTTCATGCATGTCCCCCACAGTATGTGAGTCTACACTGCGATTTGTGCAGACTTCCTGCTCCCCCTCCCCTACCTTTTCCTCCACTAGAATCCTTCTATACTTTTGAGGTTTGCGACTAAGTGCTTTGCATGACGAAAATATCGTAGCTTGAAGCCTTTCCCGACATCCGCCTCGATGCATTGGACGGACTCATATATAGGATACACCGGCTCAGAACATGCGCATCCCCTATCTGAGAGTTTAGCCTGGACTGCTGTAAGTGCTGTGGTTCCGAATTTCGCTCATTCTTCACCGACTACGTGCTTTCACGCAACTCGGCTTTGCGAAGTAAACGAAGAAGCCGGTCGCCGACTCGAGCTTGGGAATTAGAAGAGGTCGTAACATTCTTATCGTTCTGATATCTCGAACGCGACATAATTCGAATGACCAAAATAAAATTTTCAGTGCCTCGATGCAATGGTGAGCATTTTGGTTGCCCTTTTCACCACGTTCGGCGTGTTCACCGTGTTTGAGTCGAACACAGCCCACGCCCACGTCACGCCGTAATCACGAAGGACGAGTTTGATCAGCAACAAGGTGTCTTCTCACGTGCAAGCTGATCTGATCGTTATGATACGAGCGCTTCGAGGAATGTTCGAAGACTCGCTGGATCCTGACCTCACGACTGAAATAAGCGAGTGCGACCTCCAGGTACGTAGCTAGTGCAATCCAATGGTTGTGTGTTGTATCTTCATCCTAAATTTCTTATCTATACACGCACCGTTGCCAGGAGCGTGAGCTAACAGCTGGGAGCCATTCTGTGTACTGCCATACAGTATATTGCTGTATACTGATGCTGTATTCGATATATCAATATCATGATTCTACAAAGATTCTATGTAGAAACTTGAACTGCGCTCCCACATGGCATGATACTACTGTCAGGTACATTTACATCTCAGCACTACTTAAGACTTCTGACAGACCACTAATACTAATCTCCTACAACTGCCCTCGTTCGCACACAGCAGGAGATGGACGTGCAACTATGCTCTAGTCTTCTGGACATCGTTAATTCCTCCAGTGCCACCAACTTCGGTGCACGGCATCCTTCCGCTCAGCCAATTCCCCCAATCATCATCCCAGACTTAACTAGACTCATCACCCGATGCTGCCAATACCCAGTTTCCGGTGGCGCATACGGTGATATCTACAGATGTGTATACCACGGACCAGGTGGCGATGTAGATGTTGGTGCCAGTATCACAACTCTTCCATGTTTGATGACGTTTCACTTATCCGCAGGTCGCCGTCAAAGCAATCTGACCATTCTTTAGTGATGAGGTGATGTTCCATGTAATCTGTAACAGACAAATCTCATTAATCATTCTTAGGTGCTCCGGAAAGAGCTTGGGATATGGAAGAGGTTGCAGCATTTCAATATCTTGAAGTTCATGGGTACTACCCGAGACTTTGGCCCATCTGAGGCTTTGGTTGCTCCGTGGATAGTCAACGGAAATCTGACGTCATTCCTCAGCCAGAACAACGAGAACCTCGGGCTACGTGATCGTCTGCTCCTGGTGAGAACTTCAGGGATGTTTCTAGTTTGAACCCTCGAGCTCATCATTTTGTGCACAAGCTCCGTGATATCGCCGCTGGCCTCAACTATCGTGAGTGAACACATGTACATGGCAAATATAAATATAAATAACTGTCTCCCTCAGTTCATACATTCACTGTCGATATAGACGGATACAACTTGAATGCAGTCATTCATGGAGACCTCACTGGTGTAAGGTCACTCATTTATATCTATATATATATTGTACTAATGACAAATTACAAGACCAACGTCCTCGTCGATGGCGATAGAAGGGCATACCTTGCAGATTTTGGCCTTTCCGGAACTTTGACACAATTTCCCGGCATGACGTACCTCGCAAAGACGAGCTGCCATCCGGGAGCTTTGAGGTGGACAGCTCCTGAACTTCTCTCTGCGGAAGAAGTCACATCAGCCTCTGCGGTTACCACTCAAAGTGACATTTACTCGTTTGGTAGTATTGTACTTCAAGTAAGCCGTTCCCTCTTTCTAGTGTAACTTATTAACTTGTCCTCAGGTTTTGACGGGAAACATTCCTTGGCCTCACTTGATCAATGTGGCTGCAATCTTGCGTAAAGTGATCTTTGAGGAGGAAACTCATCCTCGTCCAGACGACAATCGTGTCACTGACCAGCACTGGAAGTTCATAACCTTGTGCTGGTCTAAGGAACCAGATGCTCGTCCTTCTGCTGAAAAAGCACTTCAGTTCATTGGCAGTGAGCTCGTTTTGTACGACCGGGGCAGCATCGATGGTGGACAGCACCCTGCCTTGGTTCCCGTTCCTGGATATGCGCCTCTGGTAATTGGTCCAGTACGCCAGAATCCACCTTTTGTCTCAACATCTGCATGTGGACGTTGCGCACTTTATGGGTGAACTATGCGTCACCGAGTCTGTTCTAGTCCCAGAGGGTAAAACGGCCCGTTTTTCAAACTCCGCTCGCCCAATCGTTTACGTTACTAAATACTAATACCAACAGAGTGCAATGTTGAATGCATCATTAATAGTGAGTTTCACCTTCAATGTGGCTCATGCCGGACAAAATGTAGGTGGCCGTTGGGCATTCTAAGGACGAACTGTACGTCATCGAACAGTCTTTGTGGTTTAGTACTCATTAACATTCTTGAGGCAGGCACACGGATACATATCTCAAAAAAAGACCGAAAGACCGCACGAAATTACAGTTACGGCTTCGGAAACACTAGTACTCTGCCGCGATGGCTCAGTTCGAGCTAAAACACATAACGTCCTTCACAATGCATTGATGAACACCATGGTGAAAACAAACAGTAAGTGTTTCCTCCCTAACACTTCCTGACAGTTAGATTTCCCTCTGGACTGGGCCAGCCAATGTTGCGGCGGAGGTGTTAGCATGTATCATCTATTGTTATCTTTATGTAACATGTCGCTTTCATTCTCGTGTTATTCCTTGTACAGCTATCAAAAGTATCTGGTCTCCTGTCGTCTTCGCCGCGGAGGAAGCCGTAAGTTAGGAGAACTTGCATCATGACTTGAGGCCTTTCCGACTCGTTCACAGGAATGGTCTGCGACTAAGTCGTGGAGAATGTTCGGTTCCCTGGTCCGGTTCTTTATAATTCTTCATGTCCCACCCAATTATTGTACCACTATGTACTCTTCGTTATTCGAAGTCAATACGCTATCGGTGTCACTTGGTATAATGGCAGTGCTAGCAGTTGTGTTGTGTTTCAAGGCGACCCCAGCATACGCTATGGCTCTCTCCTCTACCATCCCAGGTCACAAGCCTACGCAATCTGACTCTGAGAAATACTTACGGGACATCCCAACGCATGTGCTGAAACGTCTCACTCCAAAGTCTAGAGCATGTGTCGAGCGTCTGAGGACATGTCAATTGGATAGACCTGACCTGTAAGTCACCTCGCACGCTTATTGCTCACCACCACCACCCATGAATGCACATGCAGTTCTCGACAACCAACCTCCAAACTTGCAGCTGTGCTTGTTCTACTATATGAACAAGCTGGAGAGCTCAGAGTGTTATTAACGACACGGTCCAAGTCACTACGTGCACATCCAGGACAGACAGCGTTACCTGGCGGGAAAGCAGACGAGGAAGATGAAAGTTTAGTCTGGACTGCTGTAAGTGCTGCTGTCACGAGTTCACGCACGCTTTCACCGACTAAATGCTTTCATGCAACTTAGCTTCGCGAGGCAAATGAAGAAGTCGGTCTTCCTCTTCCGCCCACATCGTCAAATATACATTTTATCACGACACTCCCGCCTTTTCTCTCTGCATCGCAGTTGTTGGTGACGCCCGTCGTTGTGCTTTTATCTTCGCCGCCTCCACTCGTCCCTCTTTCATTGCCATCATCGACTTTGGATAGCTCCTCAAATGCAAGCCCCAACACACCACCCAACGCTTCTTCCCACCCAATCCTCACTTCCCTAACTCCCTCACTCACAGAAGTAGACAGGATATTCGACCATCCACTCGAAGCGATGCTGGACCCCCGCGTCTTGTTGAACAAAGGGGAGTCGCTCGTGGATGTAGGAGAGGACTGGCCATATGGTGCTGGGGATGTGTATGTGAGTTATTGGCTTCCTTATCGTGCGCTTTCATCTTCGATGTGCCTTCATTCTAAGCGACATTTCTGCGACGAATCGCGCTGGTTCCTCGGTCTTGTTACTTATTACCTATTTCCCACCCTTTCCTTCTTTTCACATTCTGTTCTGATCCCTCTTGCACGCAGAACCCATCTGATGTCCGCCTCGACGCATTCGATGGACTCATATATAGGATGCACCGGTTCCGAACATGCGCATCTCCTATCAAGGGGCTTACAGCTGATATCTTGGTACGTTTTTTTCGTCTTTCTTTTTCTCTTTTGCCACATCCTCCACTCTTCCGACCAGTCACATCTGACGCTAGCCCACCCACAGATTTCCGTCGCCGAACTCGCATACGGGCGCAAACCCGTCTACGGACGATACCCATCCGATTCAAGTTCTGGGTCATCACCCGAAGATACAGACTTGGAAGGGGAGACATATCGGGCGTTGGTGAGGAGGCGCATGGAAGAGAACGAGAGGGCTTTTGCGGTTGCCGTAGAGGAAGGCGAGCAAACACGATTGACTGGAAAGGTGGATGGAGGCGTTGGGGCTAATGGGAGCGCACTTCTGGCAGGTGCATGATCTGATTCTCTCCGTCATAGACTGACCGTAGAATACTTATATGCAACCCACCATAGACATAGGTACCATAGTATGTGCTGTACACAGCACAATCACTAGTCCCATGCGTGCTATATGCACGTATGTTATGGATCACGTAGCTGCCCATTCTCCTTCTGAAGCATTGTTCTTGAGCTCCCCTCAATAACAGTCACGTTACTTTCCAAAGTCATTCTTATAATGTCGCTGACGTCTTTAAGCTTCGAACAGATCATCAGGCTAGTTAGAGGGGCAGATATCTCGTACCACACGATGATGTTGTATATACATCATGTATTAGCAAATATTGTCCAATCTACAAAAATCTCATCCTTCTTAAAAGAGTTTTGGTATTGAGTACACGGTTCATAACTCACTGCACTAGCTCATCGCCAGCGACGCCCGCAGAGCAACATGCGTATCCGCATACTGCATCATCCCGCTCACTGTCGACGCCCAAGGGTCTGACGAAGGTGGCGCATACAGTGTCGATACGCCTCCAGATGACCGAGGTGAGCATCATAAACCTGTCCGTGTAGTCATTGGAAATGACGCTAGTGGATATCTGGGATCCACGAGGGTGTTACGCCTCCCGCCTCTCAAGCAGAAGTAACATGATGGGTCGTCATCGAAGGCGATGCGCTGAAGGGAGAGGAGAATGGGAGGGGGAATAGGACAGCCCAATCAGACTATAAGTCAGTGGAAGTGAAACGCACCATCTACGATTCCAGCAACTTGCAAAGAAGAAAGCGTTTTCGTGGTAGTGAGCATATCCGTAGACCTGCTCGTAGGTCCGGGTGTAAGCTGCGAGTCCACGAAGCCATAGAACTACAAGAACTATCAGAGATAGCCATGGCGAGACACTCGTGGTGTCTACGCGAGGTGTGGCTGGTGAAGACAACAGAACTTACTCTTTTGGAGATCGTCTGGAAAACGGATCGTCTCTATGAAATTTTGATGCAAGTTTGACACCAGCAAGTTCTCATGAAGCCACGTCTAGAGATATCGCGTTGCCACGGCGCATTATGTTTCTCCGTCGGACAGCACAGCAGATGCATGTTTTTGGGCTGACCCCACATTACTGTCTGTGTATAAAGCGAAGTGATGAATTTCAGTTCAATAGCAAAGAACATCATCCGGCCATAACCCGCAGCGCAACAATGAAGTTCATCTCGCTCACCACTATGATTATGTCTGCCGCAGTACTAGCGGGTATCGTCACAGCACAAAACCCCAACGGCATGCCATGCGACCAGGCTGGTGAATATCTTCAGCGTACCCGTGTTTTGATCTCAGACCGCATACTTACGGGTGCTTGCAGGAATGTATGAGTGCGGGTGGGTCCTGGGTTATAACAGTGGCAATGCATATTTGTTTTTCTGTTTGGAAAACAGCACTATCCAGGTCGTTGAAGATTGCACTTGTGTGGGCTGCTGTAACGTCGTCAGCGGAAGGTGAAGGTCCCGGCGGGTCCTACACCTGCACATAAGAGGAAAAGGCGAGCCCCCTTCTTGCTTGCCGTGTTAATGATGTCATAGTGATAAATTACAGCTGTCTGGGTAACGGGAATTTATTGGGGCATAGAATATGTCGTCGAGGCAATTCAAATAAATGTGTGATTCCAGCTAGCTGTGATATATACATCAGTCAGACCTTGGGCTGCAACGTGAAAATCTCACCAGACGTGATGCATCGTCACCGTCATCTTCATCGATTGCTTTGGCTTCCACATATATACCTTCGATCATCTACCACTGCCAGCACAATGATGATGACACAGAATGCTCTGAGGAAACTGAATTGTGAACTTCAAGATACAGTGAATATTTGAATTCCGGTCCGACCCCAGAGTAGCGCCACACTGCCGGCAACTACCGCGACCCCTTCCAAAACGGTGAGTACGCATCACTTAAGCCTCTGCCTGTAAGCAGCGAGTCAGTCTCCTATCATCCGAGTCACTACCATGGCCCCAACTACATCATACAGATTCGATAGGACTATTCGCAATTTTTTTACCACTGAAAGAAAAGGCAAAGAGGTTGCCTTGGATCCACTCACAATTCCCCAACTGCCTGATGCATCTCCCGAATCGAACCTCCAGGAAGCACTCGAGAAGGACATAACTGTCAGCAAATCTGGAAGAACACTCAGGGAAATTCTTTCTTTGTCTTGCCAGAATTTGAAATCATATACGATAGACAAAGTGAGGCCCAGTGCGTGGGGACGCCCTATAAATGTGAAGTACCATTCACAAGCCAAGACCCTCGAAGTAAGTTTTAATATATTTAAAAGTGCGTAATCAATTTGGTGGGCTCAGGACTTTCAAAATGAATTAGAGTTGATGAAGAAACACCAAGCTGGCGAACAAAGGGCACTAGAGGCACGATTAGAACGTTTGGAAGCCGAGCAGGAGGCCCAAAAAGAAACCATGGCGAGATGGCAAGCCGCAAACGAAGTATTTCAAGGTACGTTCATATTTCTGCCTACCACTGGTAACCATGCTAATTGCTATCAGCGCTTGGAGAAATAGGTTGGAGTCAAATATCCGGGGAGAGGAAGTATGATCTTGCGAACACAAAAGGGATACACAACTGTATGTTCTATATCACCACACTCAAAAATTTACTTTCTAACTCGTGTTATACTATCTAGTTACAGAACTCTACTACAACAAGGCTTCCGATACTACTACCATGGACGCATACCAGTCAGTCAACGCTCAAATCCGCGGATTCGTCGATGCTGCCATAGCATTGAACAGGGAGGTCAAGGGAGATCGAGGTCATGTCGCACACCCAAACGTTACTGTGACGCGCTTGCAGGACGTGCTTGACAGGCTGCGTATCAAGGGCCCACTTAGGGATCGATTGATTTTCGACGTGTATACAGAAGCATATTTGATTTCCGTCGACAGTGTAGTTTAGGTTCCTTGATATCGCAGTTTGTATCATACTAGTAGCAGCCTCAATGGCACGCTCGATGTCGTCGAGACGGTTGGCTGTTGCTCCTTTAAGCACGATTGTCGCTGTACACGTCTTCTCTGTGTGGCTCTGATACCTGTCCTCGCCGGGAGTGAGCTGATGAAGGATGGTGACACGGTCTTCACCAATCTCCGTCATCTCAAAGATGTTGACATACCCAGCTTCCTCCGGGGTGGGTGTGCCAATGCAGGCGAGAGGTGTGGCATTGACAACATGAGCTACATGGCAGAGGTCGGATTTGGAGAGGACTTTGAGAATGGCGATGTTGAAGCAATTGAAGTGGTATAGGGCAAGGTCGCCGATGGATGAGCGTGCGATGATGACTCTGATGCCTGAATCAGCGATTTATTTGAAGATCTGTTTATCGAGTGATGGTTAGTAGATGTAGCAGGTAATGGGATGGAGAACGTACCCTTTCGAGTTGTGAGCCCAAGCCAGCCAAAAGCCGTGGCTGGAGTCGGACTAGGCCGCGACCGGTGCACGCATACACATTTTTCCTTTGTCAGACCGCTGATAGTCCACTCGTCGAAGCCGGGAGAGGCGTCTATGGCAGTTGAATGTGCGTCCCCGACGAATAGCTCGTTGATAGGAGGGATGATAGCCGTGACCCTAGGAGAGAAAGTCGTCGCGATATGTGACAAGAACGCAGCCGTGACAATCAAGGAGAAGATATGATAGTAGAAGGGACAGGACTTGGACCGAAGGGACCGAGATCTCGATGTCGATAAACGTCGTGACAGAGTCCGGGACTACGATGACCGTGATCGGCGCAGTGTGGAGCTGTCGGGAGGCAGCGTGGTTAGCGAGCAAACAGGCTCGGTTGTAAATGAAATTACCTCGCACTCCATGGTAAAGCGCTTTCCTTGATGCGGGAGGCTTTATTTGTACCCGAACGCCTAGTTGTCAGCGTATATATCGTACCATGAAGGTGCACGTATACGCATTTTTCTTTTATGAGACCGCTGATAGTCCACTCGTCGAAGACGGGAGGAGCGTCTATGGCAGTTGCATTTGCATTCCCGACGAATGGCTCGCTGTTGATTGTTGATGTTCACGGTGAATCCTTAGCAAGTTCGCGATTGTGTTTGAGGCGGCCGGGAGCGCTGTGGTTGCATGCGAATGAGATGATAGGCGGGTAGTTCGTGAACTATGGGAAGAGGTTATTGGACCGATGAAGATACATGTTTTTGTGTGTTGCTCGCTGTGTTAAACCAACTGGTGGATGCAAGCTAGGTAAGTATGCAAAGTGCGTTAGATAACAGAAGTGTGTCTTGCCTGAACAGTGCCTGGGTCTTTACACCTTCCTAGCTGATCGTGGATACGAATGCGATACGATGCGTGAAATCAAAAGCTTGTAGATATCACTGTCGATCGCGATCATGATTGCAGCTGAACAACAGGTCGAGGAGTACTACGTACGCCTTGTCTGCTTCTGCTGCAGAGGTTCATGAATTACCGAAAACAATGCACAGCACAGCAACTCACTATGATTTCTCTGACATATCTTGTGGTACGATGGACTAAGAAGCTGATACTGACTCCAGAGAGCATCAGTAAACTACAACTTTCTCACAGAGGTCACACACTTGGAGCCTCGTTGAAAGCAGCGTATATCATGCCAGCCACCGCCATGAGTCACGATCCGGGGTTACTGAGATGCAACGAGCCAAGAGTCCTTTCAAATTTGTTCAGTTTGGTCCGGATGCCTGGACTCGCGAGATATTGGTGAGTTCGATTTCGTGCTACCGTGACACCGAGGAACCTGTTCCGCTTTCTCTGATTCAAATTCTTGACTCGTGAAGCGGATTAAGAATCATCGCCCCGTCCATTTACACGAAAACACAACAGGTGGCCAAATGAACGCGAGAGAAAGGGGTGGAAGAACGAAGGAGGCTATGCTGGGCTTCACAGTATGACACAGCCTGCAAGCGTTCGGATACAGCTGAACGCCAGGCACAGGATATCAATAATATTCCGCTTTTACGACTACAATCCAGTCACCGTCATCCTTGTTGATTTCGAGAAGAGGAACATCAGTCGAGCGAGTCACTACAGTCAAAATAGATGCTGGATGTACACACTGGGATGTGCATACCTGTCTTCATTTTGAATGTAGACTCAGAGAACATCGGAGGATGATTAGGCCAATATCCTACGAACCTATAGATACAACACATGTACTAATGTCCAACATAGGGCTCCCGCCCCAACGGGCAATAAACTAGGATACAAAAAAATCATCAGGGGATATGAGGACGGGTCAAATAATCATGATGTGCAACGAGTCCTTCAGGAACACAGAATTTTGGTTCTAATATTATACGCGGAATCTCGTGTTTCGGTGGAAAGGGAAAAAGTAAAGACAGCGCACCAACACAGTACTAAAACTATACACAGCATATGTCCACTTCTGAGTGTCGAAGAGGCTCATGTTATCGCAGTAACTGCCACGTAGGGTTTTAGATATCGGCTGATTGCAGTCAGCAGAAAGATCGAAATATCATCATGAGTCGTTTGGGTACATCCATGGGAAGCCTACGATGAGAGTGGTCAGCAAACTTCTAGTGCATCAGCGTGATGTGTACCAGGGACTACAGTATCCTGCCGCCAAGAATCAATTCTAGATGGCCATAGATTAGAATCTGCGGAGCGATCTTGCGATGGGGCTCCCGGAAAGTATTCCGTGTAGGCATTTGGGTAAGAATGAGATGGAGATGGAGAAGGAGCCCCGGAGCGGGCGGAGGGCAGAGAAGGAGAATCAGGGCGGGAAGAACATGGAGATATACCACGGTCATCGCAAGCAGGGGTATCTGTAAATAGACAGCCATTCAACTGCAGAAAGCTCAGTTCGTGATCAACAAACTGAAGTGCTTCTGTGGCAGAAGGCCGATCGGTGGGTACTATAGACCAGCAACAGGTCATAAAATCCCAGAAGTGGTCGGCGACACGACCGTCATCTGGACGAGGATGCAGTTCCTGCTCAAGGATCACTTTGCGCAAGATTGCGGCTTCACGAGTTAAGTGAGGCCAGGGTACATTTCCCGTCAAAACCTCCAGGACGAGTTAGTACATTATATTAGCAAGAAGGAACAGCTTACTTGGAGAAAAATGTTACCGAATGAGTAAATGTCGCTCTGAGTAGTAATTGCAGAGGCTGGTTCTTCCCCAGCAAGAAGTTCAGGAGCTGTCCACCTCACTGCTCCTGGACGGCAGCTCGACTTTGCGAGGTACGTCATGCCGGGTTGTCGTGTTAAAGTTCCAGAAAGACCAAAATCTGCGAGATATGCCTTTCTATTACTATCGACGAGAACGTTGGTCTTGCAGTCGATCATCATTAATACTATGAAGGATTGAATTAATGAAGTGTCTTACGCCAGTGAGATCTCCGTGAACGACTGGATTGCATTCTGGGTATCCATCTTCAGTCAAGCTAAATGTATGGACTAGGGGAGAAAATTATTCATTTTCCTTTATACATGCGCATTTTCACTCACGATAGTCGAGACCAGCGGCGATGTCCCGGAGCTTGTGCATAAAACGTCAGCTCGAGTCCGCCTGAGCTGGGAACGTACTTGAGGTCCTCACCAGACACATACGATCGAGTAGCGTAAGAATGTCACTGTTCTGCTTGAGAAACGATGTCAGAGTGCCGTTGGCGACCCACGGAGCAACCAAAGCTACTGAAGGACCAAAGTCTGAAGTTGTACCCATGAACTTCAAAATATTAGAATGTCGCAGCCTCCTCCAAATTTCGAGCTCTCTCTGAAACATCTAAGGAAGCTCGGTTAGATCTGTCCGTTCACTACTACATATAAAATATTACCTGATCACTGATAAATTGCGGCCGAATTGCCTTGACAGCAACCTGTGGGTGATGGAAACGTCACTAAATGTGGAAAGAATGTGAAATCCGCACGAACAACTACATCGCCATCTGGCCCGTGGTATATACATTTGTAGATATTTCCGTATGTGCCGCCGCAAACGGGATCTGGGCTGCATCGGGTGATGAGCCCAGTTAAGTCTGGGATGAGGATTGTGGGGACCACTTGGGTGGAGGGAGTGACATTGGGAACGACAAGTAGGGATACTTGATGTGCGAGAGTATCACTGGTAAGCGCAGCACCCGTTTGTTGCGATGCGGTAGCGGCATCTGGATGAGGGAAGGCTGCTTGACGTGCGGTGGACATACCCGGCTGCTCATCCAAGGCCACAGGATTGGGACTTCGCTGATCTACCATCGAAGGAGCACCAAACCCAGGGCTTGTTCTAAATCTTAAAGTGGGATAGGCTGACTGCAACCAAGGTTGCTTGGCTGCTCTTCCACGCAGCACAACACGTGTTTGACCAGCGGGGGACATTGAATGACTAGAATGCACGTCAATAGGAAGCATCAACGACACGCCGACATGACTTGCATATATGCTAGACTCCCTCCGAGCCTGTCACTTGGGTTTGACGTTTGCTGGATGCCTCTATGGGAGGGATCATTGTATCGATAAGGTTCAACACAGATTTCTTCCTCTTCTGCACTAGACGCGTCGTCTGAGAAGCCGCCCGTTTGCGTATGTATGGGTTGGATAGCGTGCTCGGTGTTGTTCATGGGGGATTGCGACGAAGTGCTCCGCCGCATTATTTCTTGGAGGGTGGGTGTCTTCTGGGCCGGTGACCTCCCAGGAGTGATGTATAGATGTCGACGACGTTGTGCCGCCGGACGGTGATGATCGCCAAGATGCCGTGCATTGGCAAAGTCCGTCGCACCAGAAGAAGAATGCGTGTCGGGATGGAAAGCCTGGGTAGAGTCCCTCTTTCGCTTCATGAGTACCACTAGGGCTGTTATGATAGTAGTTCGAGTGGTGCTTGTTTTATAAATTGGAAGCGCGGTACACAGGCCTCGAGGACAGTACTTAGACCCTTCTGGTGAAGCGAGGTTCGCAACACCGACTGTGCTATTTAATCAAGAAAGGACTACAAAAATGCCGGGAACAAAAGCTGATTGTTCAAATGGTGAGCAAGAGATTTTCAAGGTCGACGTGATAAATCATGCGCGACTTACGAGAAAGAGGAAGAGATGTCAAGACTTGGGGATTTGGAGGGGAAACCGACGAGAATGTTTTTATAGTGACTTAATTAGAAGCCAGGCTTGACTATTTCGAGCCAAGTCAGATCATCACAGGCTGAGCAACACGTTTCCGCAAGGATGGATTTGCAAGGATGGGGCTACCGCAAGGACGGGTTCGCCGCAAAGCATGTACTAAAATGACATAATATTGCTGTTCAACATGTTCCTGAAGGAACGAGATAAGCTCAGCGCATACGTAAGCGAAGACAAGTTACGTACTCGAACCCTGACTGAATCGCCATCGCCACAACTACCCAAATGTTGAGGCTCGTGACCAGCCTGGCTTACTATTACTAATATCACGGACAAGTCGAGTGGCGAAGCCATAACATCTCAAAGACGTAGTCCAGACTGGTTATGAGTCTACTTTTCTGGCTGAACTTGTGCTGTGACAGGCATCGATGGGATGGGGCTTTGAATCAGCGACTGGAGAGGACAGTGACCGATGCATATTCTCGGGCATCATCAGCCCAGTTGAAAGTGCTATCACATTAGAAGCCATGGCCAGCTGACATTTTGGGCAAGTCGCATGATGCATCAATGCATGATGCATCAATGCACTATGCATCAATGCATGATGCATCAATGCATCATGAGTCGCACAGGCTGAGCAATACATACCTTTCCGACGTTCCGTATGGGTGCGTACTACAATCGTGAACGTCTGTGACAGCGGTCACCTGTTAATTGCCGTAATGATTTGGAAATGAATGCTAAATGCGGATCCAGTTGTCCGTCATGTCCATCCTCACAATCCAATCACCAACGCTCATCCTGCCCGCTCCCGAAGTTGCACTGGGGGTTGTCTCACCCCTTAGCACGCCTGCCCATTTACTACTATTACTAGTAAGCTGAAGCGAACATAGATATCATATCTTCTTTTGAAATTACCCTCCCAACCAGACGGGGTCATCTCGATGGGTTCGAATCATTTTGGGGCACAAAACAAGCTACGGCAACTCCGGCAACCGTTTCGTTTGATCACCTCACTGTTGAGGGATGCCCTATCAATTCCAGTGAGCTCGTTGTGGAGTCCACTGTTACAGGACCTCGTCATGTCGTACTTCATGTATGAGCCGTTCTCAATAACGAGCATATACTCATTAACTGGGGTTTGGTCAACTAGGGGATACAAAGATCGTGAACTATGACCGCCTTCATATTATTTCTCTCGATATATCTCCAGATCCGGTGCAAACATGTTCTCTCGGCCTCCAACACACCATCGTCGTGCTACCAATCAGGGCGGACAACAGCCTTTGGATCTAACAAGTAAGGACAACTCCATAGGATGCATTCTTGGGGGCGTATTCGACAGGTTGGGTGCACATGGAATGGGTCATACCTTCTGAGAGACGACGATGACAATACCCTTCTATCGATAGGAAGTAATGCCCATGGTCAACTAGGTTGGGAGTCGCAAGTCGAGGAGAACGGAATTACTGTCGGGCCTGTCGAATTTACATTATCCCACGATGGCAAATTGCCTCCACTGAGGTCCTTTGCTTGTGGCAGCGAACATGATCTCTCCCCTCTGGCCCGTCGGACATAGAAGTTTGGGGGTAGGGGTGGAACGAGCACGGTAACTTTGGGTTGGACCATATGGATGATGTGCTGAAGCCCGTCAAGATTTGGCCAGTGGCAGGAGGACACGCGCTGGCCGGAAGAATTGCTCGAGTATGGGCTGGAAATGGGACCGGTTGGATATTGTTACAAACATAATATAGAGCTATGCTGAAATACGACGTATGCAGGACAGAAAAGATAGCCAACTATTGGAGATACAGGGCAGGGCAGGGGCAGAGCTCACTGATCATCCAAGAGGTCCATGTTATTATGAATGTGTCGGACGGTGGCTTCCTTCGAAGCGGCGAGCTGTAACAACATATGGACATCTCCTAGAAGCAGCAGAGGACCTCGTAGAGTTTGATGCTCTTCCTATCAATAACTTTGATGCAGAATGTTAGCTTGCAGTATACCAGAACATGGACTGTCATGGAGGCCAAACTTGAGTAGCGTCCTTGGCTTCGTTTTAACAGTGCAACAGGTTTATGTGTTGATACGATAGTCTCATCCTCACTGTAGATTATCTCAAGGGGTCAGCGCTTTTCATCGAAGTCGATTATCTGCTATCCTCTTCTGCAGGACATCAATTTCAAATTTTGCATGAAGTTTATCGATGTATTCCTTTTGCTTCTATACATAAGTTTGAACACACCTGTACGAGCACGAATTGAAAATCCGACATACTTTGGCAGATGTCGCGGCATGCTTGATAGTCTGTTCTCCTACAAAATCAACACCAGAAGTGAACGTTTGAACTACTAGTGACGGCGCGAATGCAACGCGTTGTTGACTGTTGTTTGTGCATCCAGGTCTAGGTTCTTCAACTCCTGCAGCTCCTGGCGCATGCCGTGCCCTGCTCTACCCTGCGTGCCAGCGCTACAACAGTTTCTCTAGCATTCAGGTATGTTGGGAATCACTCAAATTCTTTCCGCGGAACCACACGTTCATTTTGAAGACATACACGACTCACGAGGCTAGTGCTCATAATGAACCTTCGTACTCCACATCAGCTCGCTCTGCAGACGCCCAATCTTTGCATGCACAAGCTCCAGTGAGCCCATGCCCGTATGCATGTTCACGAGGCCTGGAATTCCCTCTTGGATACCCTTGTGTACGTCTTCATCGTCCATCCGCGTCACCGACCAAATGCGCTTCGTCACCGACTCAACGTCAGCCAGCGCATCGCTCTTCATGAATGCATCAAATCCAGCACGCAACTTCGTTGTTACGGCTGTTGGTTCCGATGCATACAGTGCTGGAGGCTCGAGCATCTCACTCGATACAATGGGCGTGCGCGTCCAACCTGGGTGGACATTCACAAACTGTATGTCCACTCAGTATTCAGCGCTCCGTAACTGCTATCTGTCATTCTTCAGCTACTCACCCGGATGTTCCAAGCGGGAAGGACTTCCTGTGCCAAGACTTCGGTGAACGAATCCAAAGCTGAACGGTGGTGAGTCAAAGTCGCACAGTCTGCCACAAGTAACATCACCTGCTTTCCTATGAACACAAAACGCCTTAGCAACACTTGACAAAAATAGCACCATCCCACTTACGTAGCGCTATAGAACCCGATCAGCGGGCTCCCCTTGGTCGCAGCCGAGCTCGATACCTGGACCAGCATTCCCCCAGCGCCCTTCGGATTCACTTCTCTAAAGAATCTCACTGCTTCGAAGCTTACTGTCACTGCGCCCCAGAAATTGACATCCATCAGCGCCCTGGCACGGTCAATTGGTATCCCCTCTAGCTCCTGGTAGAATCCCTGCCCCGCGTTGTTATACACGACGTCGACATGTCCAAAGGCGTCCTTGGCCTGTGTGAAAACGGATTTGACCTGCGCCTCGTTAGTCACGTCCAGCGGGAGTACTAGCAGCTGGGTGCGCGGATATTTGGCGGCAAGGTCGTCGAGGACGGAAGGCTTGCGCAGAGTTGCGACCGCAATCTCGCCATTGAGCAGGACCTGTTCCACCATCGCCCTGCCGAACCCAGAGGAAGAACCGGTAACTGGGTGTGGTCAGTGACCTGCACGCTGAGAGTTACATGTCAACTCACTCAGCCAAACTCGAGGAGTAGATTGTGCCATAACTGTTCTGCCTGTTTGCTCGTTGAGAGCTGGTGAAGTATCCCCGACCCCCGAAGTGGAGGGGGGTTTTGTCAGCTAGAAACATACCCATCTTCAACCTGTCTCTGTCAACAAGTTTGTGGGTTTTTATTTCCTTAACAAGTGGTTGCTTGTCACCACGTCAATTGTTCTCCCTTGTCACCACTCTACCGCCAACTCCGGAGTAGCTATCATACATCAAAGTACGACCAGCAGATTACTCAGGGCCTCGATCCAAAGTTACCCAAGGTACACGAAATCCTGTTGCTTGTTATCGAGAACGAGAGGGTCGCGGCTGCTCCTGAGGAACACGAGCAAATACGATCGACGTTGAATGGAAAGGTGGACGGAAGCGTTGGGCTAATGGGAGCGCATTTCTGGCAGGTGCATGTCCTCATTCTCTCCGTTATAGACCGTAGAAGATATGCTACCATAGATATAGGATCGGTACCGTAGTATGTGCTGTACATAGCATAATCACTAGTTCTATACGTGATCTTTGCATACATGTTATGGATGGTATAGTCTGATTTGAAACGTATCACTCCCACCAAAAGATAATCGATAATCCCCCAAGCTTCACTATAGTTTCAAAATAGATGTAATGCAAATGGTCCATGTATAATACACAGTCACGTTATCAAGCCTAAATTATAAGCGCTAACGAGGATAGCAATTGTAAGCGTGTTGCGAGGTATGATTCCGCATAAACGTCAACCACAACACCATATACATAAATATCACCAGTTTAATCCACCACACGATACGGCGTACACTATCGGTACCCGGTATACGGCTCATAACTAGATTTCGTCGGAGCTGGCGCACCCGTACTCGACGCCAGCGACGCCCGCACAGCAGCATACGGGTCCGCATACTGCATCGTCCTACTCACCTTCTGCGCCCCAGACCCAGACTCTGAGGTAGCGGGTGCATACGACGCCGACACGCCACCGAACCCACTCGGTGCAGGGTCTGAAAACGCGCCATACGCGTCCATGCTAGGTCTCGAAGCAGCGTAGTTCATGTTCGTACTTGTAGTAGGAGCGGTGGTAGTAGTGGGCGCTGTCGAATATGCAGATGTGCGATTAGCGCTCGAGTCTGCTGTCGAGAAGCGGTTTGTGTTGGTTGGAGGGAGGTAGGTTGTGCTGGTGTTGGTGGGGGCGTTTGAGAGGCGGTTGGAGTCCGCGAATGGGGATGCGGAGGCGTTGGAGTTGTCATATGTTGATTGGTTGGGGTATGTAGGTGCTGTATTGGTGGCGACAGGTTGGTATGAGTGTTCGCCCTCTTCTTCTTCTACTTCTACTTCTTCGCCTTCTTCGATGTCTGCGTCGGGACGCGTGAATGGGATGTCGCGAGGTGGGGATGTGAGGTTTCCGGAGCGCCAGTCGATGATAAGCAAGATAAATGATGCGAGCCAGAAGCCTAGAGTGACAGCGTGGGATAAGCGAATGGAGTAGAATGTGACGCGGAAACGTACCAAACGCCAACCAAAAGAATATAGCTCCCGCTTTCTTCGTACTGCACCAACCAGGGAGAGCGCTCGTAAACGCGTCGCCAAGGCTCGCATGAGGATCGTTAGCCGCATTTTTGCACCCAGCCTCTGTCCACGCTGAAATTGTGGTGACAAATCTGTACAGCCTGGAGTGAGGACTGAAATTAGGGGTGGTAAGATGAATACGCACGCGATGAGGAGGCTGAAGATGCAGCCACTGCCAACGAGGATGAAGCCGACGCGTACTTCTTTGAGGGTGCGGGCTATGCGGATTAGTTTGTTGTATTTTTCGTATACGACGGGTACGAAGAGGAGGAATAGGGCCAGGAATATGCCTGAGACGCTCACGAAGATCGCGAAGCCTGAAAGACCGGCTGTGGAGTTGAGTTGCATCAGTATGGTTGGAGCTGTGGCAGTGATGAACTTACAAGGCCCTATTCCCCACTTTGCTTGAAAACTGGCTACGCTTGCAAAGCAAGCCATTGCAAGAAAGTTGAAGAATATCTGGGAAATGTGAAATATGATGGCAGGCTTGCTTATAATCATCTAAAAGGCGGGAAAAGGTGTCAGCATGATTGACAGAAACATTGCAAGTAAATGTCAATGACCGCAAGCCAAACGATCCATAAGAGGGGCAAGAAAAGGAGGAAGACCAAAGTTCCAGACTGATCCATGAAGAGGCATAGAGGAAGTTGGGTATATTACGTAAATGGTTCAAGTCTCGGAAGAAGCGCATAGAGCGGCGAGTTCACAAGGACAGGCTGGCAGATGCCTACTGGCTACAGAATAGTAGTAATAAGAGACTCACGTCGTCCTCGTAATTGACCATACCAAGCCCATTTCCTATCCCAACTGCTGGTGATACTGCGCTAGTCTTTGACCTCCTTGGTAACACGCGGTCAAGGGCATTTTGAAGGGCATCTATCATGATGAGTGACATCTTGGGTGTAGGTTAGATGGTATAACAAGTCAATGGAAAGTCAGTTATAAAGGTGTAGCGATGGATAACACTGGTATATCGATGCTCTGCTCGTCGCAATGATCGCAGTAAATGCTTGAGTTCGCCGTTGCCCTTGACCTTCATCATCGCCTGCCCACGTGCTGCTTGCTTACGTTAACACTGACACATGATCCGATATGTTCAAGTGCTTTAATCACAGACCACAACTGACTACTGACCACTGACTACTGACCAGGACTACTGACAAGCAAATCTAGGACCATGAGTATGAACTACAGGACAGTTCGAATCGTTTTGTTGACTTTTGTTTCTCTACAGCATCTAAATCTAACATTAGTAAATAACTAGCCTGGCAGCGAACGCGAGGCAGGGCACGTGTTGGACACCATATCAACCTGGCCTCGCGCCACAATGAGCCTCCCCACATCTTAGATACCCTTCCCCATCGCCTGGTGCGCATTTTATTATCCAAAACACGAATCATGTTTCCCTTGTCATCTCATGACGAGCCATACCGCGCTTCTCTTAGAGACAATCGCGGTGTTCCCACTCTCCTCTCCCCTTGGGAGTACCTTGACGACTATGGAATTATTCATCCTTCAGGATGCGACGTCTGCTCCTCGTACATGAAGCATGTCGCTGATGCAAGTTATTCCTCTCATCAGCCAGCTTTCCAAATCGCCTTCCAAGACAGGAAGCGCTTGCGCGAAGACGTCTTTAACAAGGGCATATCAGAAGGCACCCGCCGTCAAAAAGAGGAAAATAGGGTCCTCGTCGATGACATTGATCGTTATCGCTGTGAGCGTAACCAAGCTCGTGAAGAGTTGTGCACTCTTCGTGCTCAGCTAGACGCTACACGTGCAGAATCAGAGCGTCTACAGGACAAGCTCAGACAACAGGCCGCCCCTCCAGTCGATGTCTCTAGTCCTATCGAATCCGTCTCCTATCATTCTTCTGTAAAGTCTCTCCAGCTAGACCCTCCTGCAGATCCACCATCTGAACTTCGCCCCGTCGATCCTCCCGTCGATCACCAGCTCTCTCTCGACTTTTTAACTCCCCTATATCCTCAACAGTTGTCTCCTCCCATGGCAACCCCTGCTTCCCCTCAAGCACAGTTGCCCGACTGCGTTGCAGCTCGCTCATTTGCTGCCGTATTGGCAACAGGTCAGCCAGATGACGACTCAGCTTTTCAAGCTACGTCATCAGACGATGCCCCTCCAACGCTCGGTTGGACAGTCGTAGCTTCACCCACTCATAAACCGACCAAGCCTGCCAAGAGCATCAAACAAGTCCAATCCCTCATTAAAGCCGCACACCAGCCGGGTAACTACAGCGCTCTCACAAAAGTCAAAGCCCTCTGCTCAGAAGCGCACAAAACACCTAGAGACCAAAAGACCGAAGTCCAACGCTACTTGTTATCCAACTGGCGGACTCCTGATTGGGAGCACCCTTCATCACTTCCAAAGCTACCTGCCCCCTTAAACAACCCCCGCCTCGAGGACCCTGTCGAGTCTTGGGTATCATACTACACCGCCAATCCCAGTTCCTGCCCTAAGGGCATCCGTCGCGAACCCGACGGCCGTCCCGTCCTATCCGACATGAAAGCCAGCCGAACCGTAGCTCGCCTCCGCCCCCTAGTCAACCCGAGCGATCCCGAATCTCGCGAAGCTCGTCAAAAGTACATGACAGTCGTCACAGAGCTCTTCTCCGAGCGCGGCGAATACTCCAGCATCCTCCGGAGAGGTGCATTCAGCGTCTCTCCCAACCTCTGCTATGTGCCGTTTGTGGGCGTGGCGGATGATATCGACAGGTTGTCTATTGCGCGTCATTTTGCGGCTTGTGGGGTGACTATTCCTGTCGCTGAGGATGAGCTTGGACCGTGGGCGATGGAGTATCTTCGCGATTAGCGAGGAAGGCGGTCATACTTTACACGTACCAGGTATCTGCATACATTTATCCCATCCTCGAGATCGTACGATTCACACTTAATCGCGGACGTATATAGTATCATATTCAGATCGCGAGGGTCTTCCGAGTCGTACATAGTGTATTTTCGCTTAGTAGTCGCAACCCTTTGTTGTGAACCTCTTGTAGACTTGTACAGCGCTTTATCTAATCTACGTGACTCTTGTTTTGATTGATCCTTCCTCACTCCAATAGTCTTGGGGTTCAAGCTTTCAACGATGAGGTTCACACATGCGTGCTTTTAAAGTAGATTCGTCCTTAAATAATTGTGGACGTGGGACGATATTCAGATCGTGAGGGTCGTATTTCCGCTTTGTAGTCTCAACGTGTGCTTTATCTAATCTACTTTGGTCAATCCTGCCTCGCATTGTGATTGCCATGAAATGAGCCATCTCTACAAACATCTTCGAATCCACCAAGTATTCGGAGCGAACACAGACGTTGGAAAGACTATCATCACTACTGCACTCGTTCGAGCTTCGGCGCTTAACAACAACCACGTTTTTTATCTGAAGCCGGTAAGTACTGGCGCACCGCAGGATGCGGATGATGAGTACGTGTTTTTCGTCGCGTAGAACGCGTCGCTGAATATTATTCTTCATATGCTAGACATATCAAACGCCATGCGGGGCCGCAAAAGCATCTAGTGGACACTCATTGCTTGTTCCGCTATGGAGACCCCGTTAGTCCGCATCTTGCTGTTAAGATGGCTTCTGAGGCTCAAGGTGGACTTAAAGTAGGTGGTTGTTGGTGTGGGTGTGGCTTGTGATGAGCTGATTTTGGAACTTGGGGCAATTTGAAGGTTTCTGTGCCTTCGGATGAAACGTTTGTTGGGTCTGTTGCGGAGCACATTAGAAAGCGGGCCAGGATTGCGAGTGGGCCGGGCCATATGTATGTGGAGACTGCTGGAGGTGAGCACTACTTCAACGCGTTGCAATACTTCCTGCTAACTGATTCACTCAGGTGTCCATAGCCCAACACTCTCCGGAACAACCCAATTAGACACCTACCGCCCCCTTTTCCTCCCCACCATACTAATCGGAGACTCCAGACTCGGTGGCATATCATCAACCATATCATCGTTCGAGTCCCTCCTGCTCCGCGGATACATCATAGACGCGATCCTTTTATTCCGGGATGAATACTACAGGAATTTCGAATACCTCACGCAGTATTTTGCAGAACGAGGGACGCATGTCACTGCGCTTGATCCTCCTCCCCCACGCCTCGACTCCGCAGAAAACATCGCGAATACTGAGAAATACTACTCGGATCTCGTCCCAGACACCCTCAAAGGCGATATTTTCACTGCACTCGAACATCTAGACAAGTGTCACGCCAGACGTATCGAAGAACTAGACTCGATGCCTCGTCGTACGCTCGACGCGATATGGTGGCCTTTCGTACAACACGGGTTGGTCAAGAACGAGAAGGACGTTTCGGTCATCGACAGCGCGTGGTCGGATTTCTTTAGCATTTATGATGCTTCTTCCGGGCAAACTTCACCTTCGCAACCAAAATCACTATTGCAACCCCAGCTGGATGGGTCTGCTTCATGGTGGACGCAAGCTGTCGGACATGCTCATCCGACACTGGCACTTGCTGCTGCAAACGCGGCAGGACGTTATGGCCATGTTATGTTCCCGCAGGCGACTCATCTTCCAGCTCTACAGCTTGCTGAACGCCTCCTTCAAGGACCGGGCAAAGGCTGGGCTTCTCGTGTATTTTTCTCAGATAACGGATCTACCGGGATGGAGGTTGCGCTTAAAATGGCTTTACGATCGTTCATCGTCAGCTCTGGACTCGAGTTGAGTTCGGCAGAGAAGAAGACCTTGGGGGTTGTTGGACTGAGGGGGAGTTATCATGGAGATACGATTGGGACTATGGATGCTTGCGAGGAGGGGGTTTATACTTGTGAATGGCATGAAGCGAAGGGTTATTGGTTTGAGTCGCCGACTGTGTCTATTCGACAAGGCCGAGTCGCTGTTTCTCTTCCACCTGCCCTGTCATCCCTCACCAGTGATCAGCGGACGGTCGAAGGATTTGAAACCCTCTCCCATGTTTATGATGTCGAGCAGCGTCTCGAATCTCCGCTTGCAAAACACTACAGGCAATACCTGGACAAACACTTGCGTACCCTCCAGACAGACGACGCTCGAAAACTCGCAGCTCTAGTCCTCGAACCCATCGTCATGGGCGCTGGAGGGATGATATTCGTAGATCCATTGTTCCAACGTATCATGGTCGACGTCGTCCGCGACCCCACCCTATTCCCTACACCCCTTCCAGTCATCTTCGACGAAGTCTTCGTGGGGCTATACCGCCTAGGATTTGAGAGTGCAGGCCCTTTACTCGGCGTCAACCCTGACATCTCAGTGAACGCTAAGATTCTCACTGGTGGTGTGTTGCCTATGGCAGTAACGCTCGCGTCCGACCGTATCTTTTCGGTGTTCAAGAGCGAGAGCAAAGTGGACGCGTTGTTGCATGGACATAGTTATACGGCGCATGCTGTTGGATGTCAGGTTGCGAATGCGACGCTTGATTTGGTTGGTAAGTTGGCGGAGAGTGATCTGTGGGTGGGGGCGGTTCGTAAATGGGCGCATGAAGGACCTTCGACGACGAGAGTGTGGAGTTTCTGGGATCCGGAGTTCATCACTTCGATATCTTGCCTGGATATTGTCGATGAAGCGATGGCGCTGGGAACCGTGCTTGCTATCAAGTTCAAGGACGATGATGCAGGTAATGTCGATCCTGTTTTTTTTGGCTGTTCAGATTGTTCATGTGGCTTCGGGCGCAGGTTATGCCTCGCATTCTGCTCAGACTCTACTCCAGAGCTTGCGACTACCACTAGATGATGGATCTACGTCCGCAGCCCCTGGAGGTGCGCCTTTTGGGGTGCACTATAGGACGCTCGGGAACGTGGCGTATTTCATGAGTAGCTTGAATACTCCACGTGCGACTATCGAGGCGTTGGAAGATCGGTTGTGGAGGCTTGTGTCTGGTCTACGGCATTCGTAGCTTCAAGTTAATACATCATTCTCTCCTAGCCAAATCGTATAGTCGTTCCTTCTTGATTATGGTGATGCATATGATTATGTGGCATGCAATAGCAGGTGGTGATCTGATAATCGATTGAAATATTTATGTACGTACAAGCTTGAAGCAGTTATGGTGGCCCAGGCTTGCGCCGACTTGGCGTACACGGCTGCCAGCGTGTACGTGATACAAACGTGATACAAACTTGATATGACTCGGTCGGTTGTTATTTGATCATAAAAGTTACAGTACTTTCCATCTTCTCTCCAGTCAAAATGGCCTCCGTCGCGTTCCGCTCAGCCTCAGCCCTCCGCACTGCTTCTCGCCGTGTACCCCGTTCTGGCGTGAAAATTGCAGCCAAGCCTGCACAGACCGCGTCCTACTCTTTGCTTGTTCGTCAGGCTTTGGCAGGTAGCTCGCATAAACCCACCCCGCAGGTGATTTTTTTCACCTGATGGTGACCGAATAACCTTTGACGCCCAAGTTTCACAGGCTGCTCGAGGCGTAAAGACGCTCAACTTTGCTGGCACCGAGGAGGTTGTGTACGAGCGGAGCGACTGGCCTCTCGCGAAGCTCCAGGACTACTTCAAGAATGATACCCTTGCTCTCATCGGCTATGGTTCTCAGGGCCACGGTCAAGGCTTGAACGCTCGTGACAACGGCCTCAATGTCATTGTTGGTGTCCGTAAAGACGGTGAGAGCTGGCGGCAGGCTATGGAGGATGGCTGGGTATGTTCGAATTAACTTGTCAGGCATTTGATGTAACACATCGATGTATCATTAGGTTCCCGGAGAAACGCTTTTCCCCATCGAAGAGGCCATCAACCGCGGCACGATCATCATGAACCTTCTCTCTGATGCAGCACAATCACAGACGTGGTCCACCATTGCACCCCTGATCACCAAGGGCAAGACCCTCTACTTCTCGCACGGTTTCTCAGTCGTATACAAGGAAGACACAAAGGTTATACCTCCCAAGGACGTTGATGTTATCCTAGTCGCACCCAAAGGATCTGGTCGTACTGTCCGCACCCTCTTCAAGGAGGGTCGTGGGATCAACTCCAGTGTAGCCGTCTTCCAGGACGTCACTGGTAAGGCCATGGAAAAGGCCGTTGCTATTGGTGTCGCTGTCGGGTCAGGGTACATGTACGAGACCACCTTCACGAAGGAGGTTTACTCCGATCTCTATGGTGAACGTGGTGTGCTTATGGGAGCCATCCGTAAGTGTTCTCACACTGCAAGTTATTCTCAGCTGATGATTTATCGCGGCCAGAGGGTCTGTTCTGTGCGCAGTACAAGGTGCTCCGTGCCAACGGCCACTCTCCTTCGGAAGCCTTCAATGAAACCGTCGAGGAGGCCACTCAATCCCTGTACCCCTTGATTGGACAGAAGGGGTAAGTTTATGCTTTCTCGTCGCGTATCCTTTCCCTCATGGTTCATAGCATGGACTACATGTACAACGCCTGCTCCACAACCGCTCGCCGCGGTGCACTTGATTGGGCACCCATCTTTGAGAAGACCAACACGCCTATCTTTGAGCAGTTGTACGAGAGCGTGCGGAACGGCACGGAGACCCGCAAGTCTCTCGAATTCAACGGTCGCTCGACATACCGCCAAGATCTCGCCAAAGAGCTGAAGGAGATCGACGACCAGGAGATTTGGCGCGCAGGCAAGGTTGTGCGGTCACTGCGCCCCGATTACAAGGCTGAGTAGATGGGCCTATGGTTGGATTGGAACTACTCCAGCTCGGCTTGCTTATATTTATTTCTGTTACCAAAAGCGCCAAGTGGTGCACGCCATGTCGGAGAATACAATGTACAGAAGTGATTCTTGAATAAACGTTACGACCGATTGATCATGCTCTGCTACCCCCGTATACAACATATTGTTCGTCGAAACTTGTCCTAAGTTGAGAAGTGGTCTATGCGCATTGTATGTTGGGGAAGCGTGAAGGTCGAACATGATGCGCTACCGATCAAATTCGGATGAACATCTCCTAGGACCAGAGCTTGTGGCTGTTCTAGGTCAACTTGTTAGGAAGATGAGAATGCACAGTCTGCATTATCAGCACTTACTTTAGCGTCTCGATACTAAGACCAGAATAATGATACCAAAACCCATCCTTCACATCTGACTTTTCCCCTGTAAGGTGGTGTGGTAAGACGAGTATGAGCGTCTCAATGGCGCTTCCGAGTACATATAAGCGCAGTTTGCTCAAAGAATCCTTTATGAGCCGATCGAAGGTGCAAGGATTTTCCAGAAACAGTTTCTTTGAATTGATGATGATAGAAAGTACTCGTAGTGACTGTCCATGCATCTTTAACAGTACCGTGTCGAGGAGCTCTTGGCAGTCTGAGAATGTAATGTCTGGATTTCGACGTAGTATGCAAAACACTTTACGTAGATGCGCGCCGCGAACATGCTTGATGAATAAATTCACTGGCACGGGGTCTCCGGTAATGCACAATACCTCCAGAGTATGAAAGACTAGAGAACGCGGTTGCCACATCTTCGCCGAGTCGCTGATTACGATAGTGAGGACTGTTATTGGGGCCAAGGACAGACAGTGACAAATGTCGACTCTAGTAATACCAAGGTATGTAAGGGAGACGGATTTGAGGTGGTTGAAAGGTAAAGGATCCACAGTTGTATATGGAGCCGAGCGATCAGAAAGACAGAATATGATCTTTAGTGATTCGAGATCAGGAGCATCATGTGCTGCCTGACGCAAGGCTTCATCTAGGCAAGTGAAATTAGTTTGGTAGATAGTGAGGGACCGCAACGGAGAAGGGAGCGACCAAGACTCCAGGGGACGAGAAACGAGAGTAACCCAGACAAGGTCACGCAGATTGGGAAACAGGTGCTTCTGGCACATGGCAGAGACCCTTTGATACACTTCTTGACCGTAGTAATAATTACCGATTATGCTGAAAATCATGCAATGCTCGTGCAATGTTGCCTGAGAGTATATCCGAACACGGCGAGCGTATTTGTCAAAAGACTCCCATTTTCCAGGACACTTGATGCGCCCCGGGGCGACTAAGTGTCTTGAGGCGCTGGGTTAGTGTTGATCAGTGAGATTTTAAAGTTGCACAGTGATACGACACGCCCCTTTCGCCTATAAGTGCTGAACGTACACTTCTCGGAAGTAGAGGAATAAACGGGGAGAACGAGTCCATGGTATGCCATAGGCTGTCTAGGCATGGATCCTAAAACGCCTTACATGTTTGCGCCAGATGAGCAAGGGATTGTTTATCAGAGTCTGAAGTAAGTTCGGCGATGATGAGTTGGAGGATATCTTCGATGTATAAAGGTGAAGCCCTGATTGTGGCAAATTTGGAGTGCAATGGAAGTTCAGCGCTCCCTATATAGTGAGATATAGGAGTATGTGTGAAAGTGGTCGGCCCCATCATGATAAGTATCGAGTCTCGGATAAAAGACTGAGGGAAAACGAGTCCAAGGTATCAAATGAGCGTTTCGGGAGTAATTTGGATACCGTATACGGTAAGACGCTACCTCCAACAAAGGCAAGTCTCTAGGTTCGAAAAAGGGGTAATTACCTAAGGTTCACTGAGGGTGCAGTGAGAGGTCGGACAGCTGAAAGCTTTGTTTCATCTGCCAGCACTCCTTCGAGGAGAGTCCACACCACGGGAATGGTCATTTGGCCAAGTAAATGAGCCATGGAAGACGGAATCTATCTATTGGATGCGCGGACAACTATCGGTCCCATCATAGAGGCCGATCACGCACCATTGAGTGTACCGGAACACACACCTGACTACCTTGCAATGTTACGGTGAATCGAAGACAGTATCCTTTGCGACTCGCATATGCAACTACATTTAATGGTTGTCAAGGTTTGACGCTGGCACGAACCGTGCTCGACCTTCGAACGGATCCCTCTGCTCACGGTCAGTTGTACACGGCACTATCGAGGGTAAGAATGCGAAGAGACCCGATGAGTCTATTCGCCGAGGCCAACGAAGGACAAGACTGTGCTAATATTGTATTTCCTGAGTTGCTACTGTAAGCACAATGTATTGTCATGGAGCCGACCGAAGGGGAGTCCTTGTATCAATATATCATGGATGAGAACAAATCAGCTGAACTCCAGCGACGAATAAGACCGATTGCAATGGACGTGCGAGAACCTCATCAAACCCTAGAAAGCATAATCCAGGTACGTAACTCACAACTGTTAAAACAATGTGAAAGCACATCTTAATTAAACTCATATGGCTGGAGGCGCCTAATGCACCTCGGTTGGGGCAAGCCCCAATCCTCCGCCGGCACCTTAGGGTATCTGGGTTGTCTGACTCGGTCAGTGACGTAGTGCGCTTCCGGGGAATTCATGAGATTTTGTGAGTTCCGTGGAGACAGAAGCGGACCCTCTGGCCTTGGGGCATTGATGGGCCAAGCAGAGAGAAAGCATATTTCCTGCAATTGAATAATGGTTAACCCAGTCGGCTCGCAGGCTTCTTTTAGATCCCACCTCTGGACCACAGGCAGGTCGACATTTGATCCATACACTCCAGTCTAACCAAGACATCAGCTTCTGGATGTCTTGTCTCCAGTCATCCATTATTTGAGTGACATCAAGTTCGCCATTCAGTTCGACGGGGAAAAGAGTGTCGAGCCCGCTCATGACGCCTACAGCCCACATTTTTGTAGTGACACGGCAGACCTCCTTCGTTGTGTCCTCAACTGCTTTCAGTAGCAGGAGTTCCGAAGACGTCATTATGGGTTTGAGGTTAGTAATCTGGGAAGTGTGTGTTCTGGCACATAGACTAAATATCGGGGACGCCCACTGCGATGAATATATGCCTGAAGTGCCTGCGCTTGGGATGGCGATGGAATGTAATAGATATGGCGTGAGCATAACACGGAACTGGGTTTGCGCGAGCTTCGCTCGCTCAAGGAGTTCTTGTGGGTCTGATGAGCTAATGTTGAGGAGATACTGCGTCAGCTCGAGTCGATCCGCGTATCGATCGACGATGACGTGAATAAGCGTCTTCCAGTCAATGCCCGCTGCCTACTGGGTGTGGTCGAGTGATAACTTCGATGAGCTTTCTCATCACCTGCGATATGTCATCTGATGATATTCCGAGCACCCGGTGGTTGGGCCGTTCAAGACCCGCGCGAACCGAGATGAGGGATGGTGCCAGTGCAGTATCATACAATGAGATAAGACCAGTCAGGTCCAGCACAATGCGAGAATCTCCTGGGTAGCGATTGTGCCATAAGCCAGAGTGCAAGCCCTCGAACGTGCGAATCACTGAGCTCAGGAAGGATATAGCATCAGTCATGTTGGAATACTAGAAGATAATACTGACAAGTGTTGGGATCGAGCGAAGTAGAGAAAGGGAATGACTGGTCGTCCCTTGGTAAGGTGAGATGTACGAAAGACACTACCTCGACGCCGGCTGTGAAATCACACAACATGACTTCACTAGATGTCCGTCAGTCGGAAGCGTGACAGTATCAAAAGTATGCGCACAAGCTCATTTCCATCCTAGAGATCTGGGAATTAGTGGTGCAGCACGCGGTGTAGAATCATATCTAACCTTGCGAAACCGTCGATTCCGAACTCCTTTCCCCATGTACAGAGAGCATCAATCCGCTCCCTTTCATCGAAGAATCGCTCGGGTCGCGGTTCTCCCCAGGCTATAATGTCCTGTATATCCATAGTACCCTCTAATATCTTAACAGCACTGCTTCCATCAAAGTATAATACTTTGAGAGGTCGCGTTGCTGCCAGTGTGAGGAGCCAGCCAGTTCCATTTCCATGAGAAAAGAAAATAGCATGCTCCGGGTCTGTAGCGGTCCACTCAGGCTCACTGGGTATTATGTGCGAGCCATTAGTGCCGTGATAGAGTAAAGTCCCGATTGGAATCACTCCTGGTACTATATTGTGACCTATGAAAAGGTGAACCATTTCAAGTTTCCAACTTCAGCAACACAGCAAAACGCACCATTACGATGTCGTGTATTTGGCCAGTGCTGCAGTAATGAATGGACAGTGTTGAAGATCAAGTTCCCTGTTACATTCTTGGGGGGATATTCGTCAAAACTCCATCGCTCGTTGGAGCTGATACTGTTTTGATGACCAGAGTTCGAGTTGATGATATCCAAAGGTCGAGCGCCAGTTTCTCCAGTAGTGTTGATCGGAAACTGGTCATGTAATGCTAGGGCCTGCTGACCCTAAGCTCAGAGCTGCCACAAGGGACTGGGAGCGCATAAAAATAAATCTCGGTGCTGTGGTAAAGTGACAGCTTTACCAAGGCACTGCGTGAAAATGAGGAGAGCGACGCAATCACTGCAAGTAGTATATCATACTACGGGCCTGTCCACGAATGTAATTAATCATTGATAGCGTTCGGTTCCAAGTTCTTCCAACATGAGGCAAGATTCAAGTCCGAATACTCGGATAGGAATCTTAGGATTCACTGCGGAAACAAGCAAGAAGCCTAGTTGACCGGATCACATTCAGAGGGATTTAGATACTTAAGTATAACCTACCTGGCCACTATTTTGAATTCTAGGCTCGTGACCAGCCTGCGCCAGCGTTTACAAGTACTGAGTACTGACTGCCCATACCACACAGGCAGGCCGGGTCGAGTAGTATCTCAACGCATTTCAAATTGACATGGTGGTGCTGATACTAGCCTACTGGTTCAGAGTCTAAAGTATGAACTTACTATATTTTGTGTGGGTTTGTACGGACCATGCCGAACTCTGAGGCACATGTGCACATGCCGTTCCGAGGTTGAATCTTGTCCTAAATAATATTCGTGTTGTCGCATTGGTTTGCTCCTCATGCCCACCAGAAGTCATTGGGTGTTGATATTCCAGTGTTAAAGCATAATCCAGGTATATAACTCACAACTGTTAAAACAATGTGAATGCACATCTTAATCAAAACCCGTATGGCTGCAGGCACCTAATGCACCTTGGTTGGGGCAAACCCCAATCCTCTGCTGGCATCGAAGGGTATTCGGGAGGCCCGACCCAGTCAGCGAAACGCTCTGGCCTTGGGGCATTGACGGGCCAAGCAGAAAGATAGCACAATTCCTGGAAGCGAATAATGGTCAGCCCAGTCAGCTCGCAGACCTCTTTTAGATCCCACCTCTGGACCGCAAGCAGGTCGACATTTAATCCATACACTCCAGTCTAACCAAGACATCAGCTTCTGGATGTCTTGTCTCCAGTCATTCATTATTTGAGTGACATGAAGCTCCCCATTCAGGACAATGGGGAAAAGGGTGTCGAGCCCGCTCATGACACCCACAGCCCACATTTTCGTAGTAACACGGCAGATTTCCCTCGTCATGTCCTCGACAGCTTGCAGTAGCAGGAGTTCCGAAGACGTCATTAAGGGTTTGAGGTGTGTAATCTGGGAAGTGTGCGTTCTGACACATAGCCTAAAAATTGGGGAAGCCCACTGCGATGACTATATGCCTAAAGTGCCTGCGCTGGGGACGGCGGTGGAGTGTAACAGATACGGCGTGAGCATAACACGGAGCTGAGTTTGCGCGAGCTTTGCTCGCTCAAAGAGTTCTTGTGGGTCTGATGAGGTAACGTTGAGGAGATACTGCGTCAACTCGAGTCGATCCTCGTATCGATCGACGATGACGTGGATCAGGGTCTTCCAGTCGGTACCGCTGCCTACCGGATCTGGTCGACTGGCGATCTCAGTTACCCTCCTCATCACCTGCGACAAGTCTTGTGATGATATTCCAAGAACCCGGTGGTCAAGCCGTTCAAGGCCCGCGCGAACCGAGATGAGGGATGGTACCAGTACAGTATCATACAACGAGATAAGACCAGTCAGATCCAGCACAATGCGAGAATCTCCTGGGTAGCGATTGTGCCATAAGCCGGAATGCATAACTTCGAACGTATGAATCCCTGCGCTCAGAAACATATAGCATCAGTTATGACGGAATACTGGAAGACAATACTGACAAGTGTAGTGATCGAGTGAAGTAGGGGGAGGGAATGACCTGTCGTCCCATGGCAAGGTGAGATGTAGGAAAGATACTACCTCAACGCCGGCTGTAAAATCACACAACATGACTTCACTAGATGTCCGTCAGTCAGAAGCGTGACACGGTATCAGAAGTATGCGCACAAGCTCATTTCCATCCTAGAGATATGGGAATTAGTGATATGGCACGTGGTGTAGAATCGTATCTAACCTCGCGAAACCGTCGATTCTGAATTCTTTGCCCCACGTACAAATATCTTCAATCCGGTCCCTTTCATCCAAGAATCGCTCGGGTCGCGGTTCGCCCCAGGCTATTATATCCTGCGTATCCATCGTACCGTCGGATAGCTTAGCAGCACTGCTTCCATCAAAGTACAATACTTTCAGAGGTCGTGTTGTTGCCAATGTGAGGTGCCAGCCACTCCTATTTCCACGAGAAAAATAAATAGAATGCTCTGGGTCCATAGCGGCCCACTCGGGTCTACTGGGTATCATTTGCGAGCCATTAGTGCCGTGATAGAGCAAAGTACCGATTGGAATCACTCCTAGTACTATGTTGTGTCCTACGAGAAGATGAACCGTTTTCCAGCGTCAGCAACGCAGCGAAACAGAAATATACCATTACGATATCGTGTGTTTGGCCAGTGCTGCAGTAATGAATGGACGGTGTTGAAGATCAAGTTCCCTGTCGCATTCTCGGGGGTACATTCGTCAAAACTCCATTGCTCGTTGGAGCTGACACTGTTTAGATGGTCAGGGTTCGAGTTGATGACATCCAAGGGTCGAGCGCCAGTTTCTCCAGCAGTGTTGATCGGAAACTGGTCATGTAATGCTAGGGCTGCTGACCCTAAGAGAGCTGCCACGAGGGACTGGTAGCGCATAAAAATCAATATTGGTGCTGTGGAAAAACTGACAGCTTTACCAAGGCACTGCGTGAAAACGTTTGAGAGAGCGACGCAATCTGAGTCACAGTAAGTAGTATATCATACTACGGAGAATGTAAAGTGTTCGATTCCAACATGAGGTAAGATTCGAAGTCCGAATACCCATGACTCGGATATCCTAGGATTCAGAACACACACCCTGACTACCTTGCAATGTTGACCCATCCCGGAGTAGTACCTCCTCATCGCCTGGATCTCAAATAGAACTGCATTTGCGCCATTCAACGAAACCTCTTGGTTGAAAAAGGCTTGGTCAGAAACGCGCACGTGCGGATAGTTGCCCTGCATCGTCGATTTATTGAAGTCCAACTCATCGATACCTTCGAAAGCCACTGCATTCCCCGCATTAACTTTGCGTTTCATCCAAATCGTTCGTCGTGGACGGTGAATGGAAGACGGTTTCCTTTGCGACTCACGTATGCAACTACATTTAATAGTTGTCAAGGCTTGACGCTGGCACGAACCGTGCTCGACCTTCGAACGGATCCCTTTGCTCACGGTCAGTTGTACACGGCACTATCGAGGGTAAGAACGCGAAGAGACACGACGTGTCTATTCGCAGAGGCCAACGAAGGACAAGACTGCTAATATTGTATTTCCTGAGTTGCCACCGGAGTAGGGGACCCCTGGGATAGGAGCCGAGTGGCAGTCGAGTAGCACCGTAGTTTAGCGAGCCATGCAGTGTCCTTCGGCCTTTGTCATAGCGTACTGCTCTTCACCACTTTGCCTTGCTTTGGACACGCAGACACACAGTCGCGGATACACCGCTCCACTACTGTAAAGTATTGTTGTATACAACCAACCGAAGGAGTCTTGCTACTGTAATCACAATGTATTGTCATGGAGCCGCCGACCGAAGGGGAGTCCTTGTATCAATATATCATGGATGAGAACAAATCCGCTGAACTCCAGCAGCAAATAAGATCAATTGCAATGGACGTGCGAGAACCTCATCAAACCCTAGAAAGCATAATCCAGGTACGTAACTTACAACTGTTAAAACAATGTGAATGCACATCTTGATCAAAACCCGTATGGCTGGAGGCGCCTAATGCACCTCGGTTGGGGCAAGTCCCAATCCTCTGCCGGCACCTTAGGGTATCTAGGTTGTCCGACTCGGTCGGCAACGTATTCTTCCGGGGAATTCGTGAGACTTTGTGAGTTCCGTGGAGACAGAAGCGGACCCCCCGGCCTTCGGGCATTGACGGGCCAAGTAGAGAGATAGCACATTTCCTGCAAGTGAATAATGGTCAACCCAGTCAGCTCGCAGACCTCTTTTAGATCCTACCTCTGGACCGCAGGCAGGTCGACATTTGATCCATACACTCCAGTCCAACCAAGACATCAGCTTCTGGATATCTTGTCTCCAGTCATCCATTATTTGAGCGACATTAAGCCCGCCATTCAGTTCGATGGGGAAAAGAGTGTCGAGGCCGCTCATGACGCCTACAGCCCACATTTTTGTAGTGACACGGCAGATCTCCCTCGTTGTGTCCTCAACTGCTTTCAGTAGCAGGAGTTCTGAAGACGTCATCAAGGGTTTGAGCTTTGTAATCTGGGAAGTGTGTGTTCTGGCACATAGACTAAAAATCGGGGACGCCCACTGCGATGAATATATGCCTAAAGTGCCTGCCCTTGGGATGACGATGGAATGTAATAGATATGGCGTGAGCATAACACGGAAGCTGGGTTTGCGCGAGCTTCGCTCGCTCAAGGAGTTCTTGTGGGTCTGATGAGCTAACGTTGAGGAGATACTGCGTCAGCTCGAGTCGATCCGCGTATCGATCGACGATGACGTGAATAAGCGTCTTCCAGTCAATCCCGCTGCCTGCTGGTTGTGGTCGAGTGATAACTTCGATGAGCTTTCTCATCACCCGCGATATGTCATCTGATGATATTCCGAGCACCCGGTGGTTGGGCCGTCCAAGACCCGCGCGAACCGAGATGAGGGATGGTGCCAGTGCAGTATCATACAATGAGATAAGACCAGTCAGGTCCAGCACGATGCGAGAATCTCCTGGGTAGCGATTGTGCCATAAGCCAACGTGCAAGACCTCGTATGTACGAATCACTGAGCTCAGGAAGGTATAGCATCAGTCATGTTGGAATACTAGAAGATAATACTGACAGGTGTTGGGATCGAGCGAAGTAGAGTGAGGGAATGACCGGTCGTCCCTTGGTAAGGTGATGTGTACGAAAGACACTACCTCGATGCCGGCTGTGAAATCACACAACATGACTTCACTAGATGTCCGTCAGTCGGAAGCGTGACACAGTATCAGAAGTATGCGCACAAGCTCATTTCCATCCTAGAGATCTTGGAATTAGTGGTGCAGCACGCGGTGTAGAATCATATCTAACCTTGCGAAACCGTCGATTCCGAACTCCTTTCCCCATGTACAAAGAGCATCAATCCGCTCTCTTTCATCGAAGAATCGCTCGGGTCGCGGTTCTCCCCAGGATATTATGTCCTGCACATCCATCATACCCTCGGATAGCTTAGCGGCACTGTTTCCATCGAAGTACAATACTTTGAGAGGTCGCGTTGCTGCCAGTGTGAAGAGCCAGCCACTCTCATTTCCACGAGAAAAGAAAATAGCATGCTCCGGGTCTGTAGCGGTCCACTCAGGCTCACTGGGTATCATGAGTGAGCCATTAGTGCCGTGATAGAGTAAAGTCCCGATTGGAATCACTCCTGGTACTATATTGTGACCTATGAAAGGTGAACTATTTCAAGTTTCCAACTTCAGCAACACAGCAAAACGCACCATTACGATGTCGTGTATTTGGCCAGTGCTGCAGTAATGAATGGACAGTGTTGAAGATCAAGTTCCCTGTCGCATTCTCGGAGGGACATTCATCAAAACTCCATTGCTCGTTGGAGCTGATACTGTTTAGATGGTCAGGGTTCGAGCTGATGGCATCCAAGGGTCGAGCGCCAGTTTCTCCAGCAGTGTTGATCGGAAACTGGTCATGTAATGCTAGGGCTGCTGACCCTAGTAAGCTCAGAGCTGCCACAAGGGACTGGTAGCGCATAAAAATAAATCTTGGTGCTATGGCAAAGTGACAGCTTTATCGAGACACTGCGTGAAAACGGTTGAGAGAGGGACGCAATCACTGTAAGCTGTAAGTAGTATATCATACTACGGGCCTGTGCACGAATGGAATTAATCATTGATAGTGTTCGGTTCCAACATGAGGTAAGATTCAAGTCCGAATACTCGGATAGGAATCTTAGGATTCACTGCGGAAACAAGCAAGAAGCCTAGTTGACCGGATCGCATTCAGAATCAGAGGGATTCAGATACTTAAGTATAACGATAGAACCTACCTGGCCACCATTTTGAATTCTAGGCTCGTGCGCGTGACCAGCCTGCGCTAGCGTTTACAAGTACCGAGTACTGACTGCTCATACCACACAGGCAGGGTCGAGTAGTAAGTATCTCAACGCATTTCAAATCGATATGGTGGTCCTGAGACCAGCCGCCTAGTGGTTTTATAAGAGTCTAAAGTAGGAACTTACTATACCTTGTGTGGGTTTGTACGGATCATGTTGGACTCTGAGGCACATGTGCACATGTCGTTCTGAGGTAGAATCTCGTGTTGTCGCATTGGTTTGCCCGTCATGCCCACCAGAAGTTATTAGGTGTTGATATTCCAGTGTTAAAACTCCAGCAGCAATACATGTTCGTGAATCTCGTCATTAATAGGCATAGAACCATCAGAAAGTGTACGTCCAGGTGATTGACAACTATGAGAATAATATAAAGGCCCAGAATAATCACTCATATGGCTGGAGGCGCCTAAGGCACATTGGCTGAGGCTTCCTCAAATCCTCCTCCGGCGTGACATAGAAGAAAGGCGAATCTGCAATGGCTAGACCTTCGGGCGGAGGTCCAACTCGATCAGTAAAAGACTTTGCCTCCAGAGCATTATTGAGGCTTTGAGGAGGTGGACGCCTTGGCCTTGGGGTAGGGAGATAGCATATTTCCTGGAAGTATTCAGTCCAATCAGCTCGCAAAGACTGTGCTCAGCTCCCACCTCTGTGCTGCAGGCAGGTCGGCACTTGACCCATACACTCCAGTCCAACCAAGACATCAGCTTCTTGACGTCTTGTCTCCAATCGTTCATCAATCGAGTGACTTCACGATCCACATTACGTTCCACGTGAAAGAGGCTGTCGAGCCCGCTCATGACACCATTAGCCCACATGTTCGTAGTTACACGGCAGATTTCTCTTGTTGTGTCCTCCACGGCTGTCAACAGCAGACGTTCCGAAGATGTCATTAATGGTATTTGGTTGATCATTTCAGAAGTGTGTGTTATGGCGCATAGCCTGAAGATTGGGAATGCCCACTGTGATGCATCTACGTCTGACGTGACTGCGGTGGGGACAATGGTGGAATGTAACAGATACGGCGTAAGCATGACACGGAGCTGTGTCTGCGCGAGCTTTGCTTGATGAAGGAGCTCTTGCGGGTCTGATGAGGTAAAATTCAAGAGATACTGCATTAGCTCGAGTCGATCTGCGTATCGATCGACAATGACGTGGGTGAGGGTCTTCCAGTCAATCCCGCTGCCTACCGGATGTGGTCGAGTGATAATTTTGATGAGCGCTTCCATCACCCGCGATATGTCATCTGATGATATTCCGAGTACGCGGTGGTCGCACCGTTCAAGACCTACGCGAACCGGGATGAGGGATGGTGCCAGTGCAGTATCATAAAATGAGATAAGACCAGTCAGGTCCAGTACAATACGAGACTCTCCTGGGTAGCGATTGTGCCATGAGCCGGAGTGCACGACTTCAAACGTGCGAGCCCCTGCGCTCAGGAACATACATCATCAGTCATGTTAGACCACGAGAAGACAGTACTGACCGGTGTCAGAATCAAGCGGCGTAGGGTGACGGGATGGCCGTTCGTCCTTCGGCAATGCGAGGTGTAGGAAAGACACTACCTCGACACCAGCCGTAAAATCGCACAACATAACTTCACTGGATGGATGTTCATTAGTCGGAAGCAAGACAGAGTCAAAAGTATACGTACAAGTCCATTTCCATCCTATAATTGCGAAACTGAGTGATATATCACGGAGAGTAGAATCACATCTAACCTCACAAAACCATCAATTCCAAATTCCTTGCCCCACGTACAGAGACTATCAATCCGATCCCTTTCATCGAAGGATCGCTCGGGTCGCGGTTCTCCCCAGGCGACTATATCTTGCATGTCCATTGTACCTTTGGATAGCTTATAAGCACTGCTTCCATCGAAGTACAATACTTTGAGGGGTCGCGTTGCTGCCAGCGTAAGGTGCCAGCCACTCCCATTCCCACGAGCAAAAAAAATAGAATGCTCCGGGTCTGTAGAGGTCCACTCGGGCTCGCTGGGTATCATATGCGAACCATTGGTGCCGTGATAGAGCAAAGTACCGGTTGGAATCACTCCTGGTACTATGTTGTGTCCTACGAAAAGTTGGATCATTTTTCGAGCGTCAGCAATGCAGCGGAAACGCACCATTACGATACCGTGTATTTGGCCAGTGCTGCAGTAATGAATGGACAGTGTCGAAGATCAAGTTCCCTGTCGCATTCTCGGGAGGATGTTCGTCAAACTTCCATTGCTCACTATTGGAGCTAACACCGTATGCATGATCAGGATTTAAGATGGTGACATCCAAGGGTCGAACATTGGTTTCTCCAACAGTGTTAATCGGAAACTGGTCATGCAACGCCAGAGCTGCTAACCCTAGGCTCAGAGCTGCCGCAATAGACTGGGATCGCATAAAGAGAACTGTCAAAAAGACCGTGGTGCTGCGGTAGCTTGATCAAGATACTGTGTGGCAGTGACATTTGCTGCTGTCGCCCAAAGTTACGCGAGGTTCAATTGAACGTTTGAAATTCGAACAAGGGTCCTGCTTTATGTCCGCGGAGGCTGGGGTCGGACAAGGAGCCGAGAAGCTGATTGGAAATTTGGAATAGTACTCCATGCTTCTTCACTCGACCCACTTGTCATTCAATGATTTCTATTCTCACAGCGTTCTCCTAGTACAAGAACCTTGCCCAAATGTGCTCTAGTTTAGGGCAGGTGACAGGTTGAGACTTCAAAATCGTATATCATCGTCATTTTCTCTTTCAAGTTGTTGTCTCCCCTAACAGTTTCATGGGCGCAATATTCACTACCAAGGATGTACAGAGGTAGGGCTCATAACCTGTTGGACCACAGGTTATGGGCACTCCCTCTAGTGCGTGGTCTTGCTACACCATATACTCTGGGTCTTAAAGCAGTTTCCTCGGCAAATGTATTGTCTCATGTTGTCTTCCGCCGTATCCATTGTCGAGTTGCAATTCACATCTAGAGCTTGTATTGTTCCCGAGTAGTGCGAGCACCGTCAGCCGATAACCTAAGCAAGATCCAGGGCTCATAACCTATTACACAGGTCATGAACACTGGCTCTAGTTTATGGTCTTGCTGGGTATTGCGTATTGGATTATTGTCCATATCATATTGCAAGGTACACAGGCCTGCCTTAACATTTTCCTTACTGATGAATCGCCCCAGATCTCATTGTTGATTGTCACTTTTTTCAAGTGTGTATCCTACACTCTGCCTCCTCGTGACAAGAATTTTTCATCCCACTATGTAGCTTGGCGCTGGCATATAAATAACTCAACGGCCCGGGAGAGTTGGTGGGGACTTCACGGTCAATCATGTTGACGACCGCGCTGTCTCAACTTAATATGCATGTTACATGCCTAAATAATTCTTGTTTTGCATGCATCAATGCATCGCCATGCGGCGTGGGACGTGATACACATGTAATCAGAAACGATGTCACCATGCTCATACAACTATTCTACTGAATTATCCCGCTGTCTTCGTCTACACTTGTGAGTATCGATGGTCATCCTCTTCCGACATATGGAGCACCAGTCGCCCTACATAGCAGGTCAGTATCCAGAACCCAAGAAAAACGGTCGCACACTCACATGATATTCATCTCCAGTACCGTGACAGACGTAGGGAGACTCGCAATGTGCGCAACCGCATCTGCAACATGTATCGGATCGAAAGTCGGTTCAACGACTCTCCGACCATCAGGTTGCAACGCTCCTAAGGTGTGCCCTGCAGCCATAGACGTGTGCGCATTTCCTGGTAAAACCACCGTCGCATCAACCTCCTCCCATATTATTAAGGTACGCACCAATGTCAATCTGCGTCACAGAGATATTGTACTTTCGCCCCTCGATAGCGATGCTCTTAGTTAGACCGTGAACGGCGTGTTTGGAGGTTGCGTATGCAACTGAATGAGGCCTTGGTACATGGGCAGCCAATGAGCCATTGTTGATGATTCTTCCTGCATGGGGACGATGTAGATCAATACACTGCGGTTTTTCATTATCCAGCTTCACGAACCTCCAGTGGGTTCTTGTTGCTTGTAAATCTTGAAAGCTTCGCGAGTGCAAAGGAACGAGCCAATGAGGTTGACATTGACGACCGATGTGAACACCTCAAGCGGCATCTCCTCGATGGGGCTCGCCTTGTCAGACATGCCCGCATTCTGTTATTTCGTCAATACATCACTACAATTGCGGAAGAAGGGGCATACCACTCACGTTGAACAACAGGTCCAGTCTACCGAATTTCTTCATGGTCTCCTCGAACAAGCTTTTCACGAAGGCTTCGTTTGCGATGTCGCCAGCAACGAGGATACATGCATCGGCATTTGCACAGAGGGATCTTGTCTCTTCGAGTTCAGTCAGCCTTCGAGCAGTCAGTGCCAAGCTCCAACCCTCAGAGGAGAGCTTGATAGCTGAATGACGTCCGATACCTGAAACAGGGACTCGGAAGTGAGTTCACGAACAAGTGTGAAGCGCAATCAAAACGCACCAGAGGATGCCCCCGTAATCACTGCGACCTTTAACGATGCCATTGGAAGGGTTGGTGTATGAAGTTAGGGATGATGGTTACTAGTCTAGCCTGGAGCGGGGTGCGGATTTCCGTCCTGGCCGATATTCGAAGCCCACATGCATGCATATGACCGTCAGTGAGAACAACCAGGCTCAGGCTAATAATACCGGTCCGTGCGTCCGATAGCACCTGCTCAGTGCGGTCACGCGACTTGGAGATGCGATCAATATTAATCAAGTTCGCCGTGCATCAGGGGAAACAGCTATATACAGAAATGAGGAAGAACTTTAATGATGAATACGTGCAAGATCTCATTCAGCCTTCCCCTTGCCCTTGGAGTTCAGCCCGGTACCGTAGAGTAGCGAATCGACACTCCCCTTTCTCCCTTGAATGTCCAGAAGCATGCCCCATACAGGGGTGAGCAAAGGCAAAAACATCGCCACGCGCTCTTGGTAAGCTGAATATGCAACGGGGTACTTTGCCTTCGAGATCGACTCAGTAAAAATAGTCGAAGAGAAGAACAAACTGCAGAGAACTAAACATGGAAGGAAGGGTGTGAGTGATGCGAACGAAGTCGGCGGGAAGTCGAGCTTCGGTGAATCAGGCGAGAGGAGAGGGATGAGTGTGATTATGATCTGGTACGAAAAGGGTTGTTAGTAATAGATTCCTGCGTTGAACAGAACTGCGAAATGGAAGTGTACATACCCAGAAACTCTGTTCGCACAGGAAATTTGGGTGCCGTGACCAAGCCCATAAACCGCGGGTCACAAATCCGCGTTCAGCATCATGTTTAGTCCATTGAATTTTCGCGCCAGGCCATTCATTTGGGTTCAGCTTCCCGGAATGTTTGAAGGTTTGGAAAGAGTATTGCTGGTTATCCGAGATAAACTCGGTGAGGACAACGAGAAACCCTAGCGTTCCGAAGATATAATCCGAAGTCGAAAGGGGCGTGTGTGGCTGACCCGCTGCACGGGCGGCTGGAAGGCCCAAGAGGAATAAGATTATATTCTGCGTAATTGCTTATGCTGAGTTAGTAGATGTCTAGAGACCGATGTATAATTTGTAGCCATACCAACGAAAAAGAGGTTAAACACTTGGAAGAGGAAAGGGGAGATTTTCTGTCGCAGAACTGCCCAGCGATAATCTTCATCCTTTCTGTGAACATGTCTTGATTTCTAATTATATCAGCAATAAAGAATGAGCTTACAAGCTAAATAGACCACGTCGCCAAGTGTTGTAACTTAACCTGCGGAGGGTGACATTCATGAGTGCCAGTGGATATGACGAAAACATGTTACCAACCTGAACATCCACGTCACCTGAAGACAGTTAAGCTAACTATAATCAATTGAGCGGATGGATTACTCACCACCAAACTTGCCATGAGCAAGGCTCGTGGACTGAAGGTCTCCCTCAGAGATGCGGGGATTGTGTTAGGGGTGTAGGGAAAGAGATAGGTAGGTGGAACGGATGGCCAAAGCGGCAGAAAAGCATAGTATACTGTGTATATGGTTGGGAGAAACGTCCAGACTCTGTCCACCTGTGACACGTTGTTGGTAAGGATGGAGAGCACGTATGTGGTAGCAGTCACGGCCACACAGAATTTGACGGGCCAGACGAACATAGGCGCCTCATGTGTGAGTACACGCCAGAAATCCATGTCGATTAGAAAGTATCGGGCTGCGCAATTAAGTAAAGTTGTCGTACTTGCTGGTGTTGGCGAAAGAGAGGAGTTGGTTAAAGATGGTTTCTCACAGGGGTGATTGACGCCTGGCACAGGGTTACATAATCATACAGGTTTGACCCGATCTGTAGGGTTACGCAATTCAAATTGTATTCTTGCTCACTGTCTACCATGACCACCACAATTCTTTTCTCAACGTTTGCTCCATTCCCGACTCTTTCACTCTCTGTTTCTCCAGAAACACGATTCGATGACCTGTATTCTCTTTTGTGCGAGCGCTATTCCGATCTCCCTGCTTCAGAGGACTTGAGAATTTCACTTCATGCTGGATCTGTCCCTACAATCGGACACCCTCATCTCTGAGATCCATGGACGAGATGCGACTCTCATCACGCTGAAACTTATTCCCCGACTCCGAGGTGGTAAGGGAGGTTTTGGTTCGCAGTTGCGTGCCGCCGGTGGTCGCATGAGTAGTCAGAAGACCAGTAACAACGACTCATGCAGAGATCTTAGTGGACGCAGGCTTAGTACCATCAAAACCGCGAAAAGGTATGTCTCCCTACCGCCGCAGGGTTTCATGTATTAATCACATTGTTTTAGGCTCGCAGACTACATGGGAAATGAAGATGAACGGAAGAAGGCCCAGGCTGAGGTCAAAAAAGCCAAGCTAGAGACACTCGAGAAGAAGATTGCAGCTGCATCAGGGGATACGGAGACTGTTGCTGGCAAGAAGCATAGGTTCGATGACACAGAATACCTCGAGGAAAGTAGGGAGATTGTCGACAATGTCAAATCTGCAGTGTCTGCTGGTCAGTATACCGCGTCCAATAGATAGTGTTTGCGCTGACGTTTCAATTTGCAGGTCTCATGAAGAAAAAGAAGAAGATGAAGACCAACCACATTTCCAGCTCACCCGAGTCATCCACTCCTCCAAAGGACGCGGTCACGGAGAGAGTGCTGAAATCCCCAGCCCCACCTATTGCAATGCCTGCAGCTATCACTGTCGGAGTCGCCAGCGCGTAGTCCTTGTTGATATATCCCTTTGTAGCGTATGGATTGCAGCTGCTGTATTTGCCCAGTGATAACATTATCTATTATCACCTCTAATTACATTATGTGGGAATCACAGGTGATCATAAAAGTGGTCGAAAGCACAAGCACACAGTCCCACATAGCAAAAAAGATAGCGTATCCACCACTCGCCCGCTCAACTCCTCCAATATTGCGCCAAATCATGAATCCGATCCAGCACAACCGTGAAATACGACGTCTCATTCAACAACGCCTCAAAGTGTTTGATCGCCTCCTCCTCTGTCAAATCTAACCGAAACTTCTCCTGGATCTGTTCATGCACGTCACGGTGTTTGATGTCTGGAATGTTCGCGTCCACCATCAGCGCTACCAAATTGAGAATGAGGTTGGCGCTTTTGCGGAGGATCGTAAATGCGGTGAAGCAATAATTTTTGAATCGCGCGTAGTGAGTTGATTGGGCGCCGCCCATGCCGTCGACCATCTCTTTGCAGACTTTGACGGGAGGAGGAAACGGCTTTGGGTCCCGACCGAGGATATACCCAAAGTCGACTGCATCAAATGTCAGCGGCACGAAACGTACAGACAAAGTTACACTGACCATGGAAAAAGTGACCTGCCGATCCAATATCAAGAACTGCATCCTTCTGGTCATAATTTCACTTACCATCTGGTGTCAGTAGAAGGTTGTCCAAATGCCGATCGCCCACGCCTAGCAGGTATGTCACAACGCAGTACCCAGCTGTCAACAAGCCTTAGCGCACATTCCTGCCAGAATCACAGAACATTACTCACCACAGCTGCGCACAAATGTATCAATAACGCTTGGCTCGACCCCATACGTTCCAACGCTACCCTCATCCGGGTTATTCGCTCTCAAATAATTTAAGAGCGTCCCGTTCTCGCTGATGATTGCTGCAATAGTCTTACTGGGGATATACTGTACCATACCCTGCAACGGCCCAGTCGCCAGCACATCATAAGGAATAAGTTTGAGATCCAAATTCTCCTTCCTGAGCAGCTGGTCCATGAGCGTGAATAACTGGAGGACAAGCTGGTCCTGGCGCATGTCATCGCCATCTTTGAAAATAACAGGATACTCCGTGCCGTCAGAACACTGAAAATATAACAAGAAGGGATAGAGATTCGACTTGAAGACGGAAGACTTCTCGGCGTTAATGCCCGTAATCTCCATGCGTGCGTTGAGCGGCAGAGGCAGAGGAGGAATGTTGACGAGACCGTTCTTGGAGTCGTTGATGAAGGAGCGCAGTTTCTCGATTTTCTTCGGTCGTGGGTCTTTAGAAGTGCGCAATTCTTTGGCTCGTTTGGCGAGGGTCTCAACGAGGACGCCTTGGCGTCGCATGAGCTCGCGGCGTTCGCTGCCATTCTCAGGCTGAGGAACCGTTTTGTCAGCGAGGGTAAACATAAATAGTAGGTGTCCGATTACCTCTAAAATCTTGTTCAGAAACTTGAATACCACCCGGCCGTACATTTTCGCCACGACCCTATCCTCCAATTCCACTTCTACTATCAGATACCAGTATAGACGATTACCCAGCGTATGGTTTTGCACTCCGCGTGCGATCAAAAAGTCTGTCAGTCCGCTGTCGTCGTAAGATATCGCACTTGTTGTTGATCGACTCGAGCGCTGCTCGCTAGCGGCACTTTCAAACTTGAGCGCCTGTACCAGTTGCAAGAGATACAACAGAAGCTCCTGTAAAGATTGTCAGTACCGCTGTCACATGGGGAAGAGAAATGCTTGACTTCGTCATCTGCGCGGTTAAGCTGCCGTACTGCAAACGCTCTTACTCTCGAGTCCACGGTCCCTGGTCCGAGGAGCTCCAAAGCGTCATCCGTGTCAACCTCTGTCCACATCGGTAGTAGCTCTTCCACTGCTTGCTTCACTTCCGAAGGATCGCGCCAAGTGACAGACTTGAGGAACTTGGTAAGCCCACGCTTGTCCCGTGCGAGGTAGAAACGAAACTTCCAGATGAGGTCTTTCTCCTCAGAGTTGAGAGGCTGGGAGGGTGCATAATTGAGTATTTCCTACAAACAACATGTGAGGAAGTCATCAGTGCGTAACGATCTGGCTCTGCGCACATTAAGTTCATCTCTGATCTTGGCATTTGGTTTGAGCTCTCTGTCGTACGGACTACTTCGGTGACTTCGCACGAGCCGGCGATGCTTGTCCTCCACGGGGTTTTCGCGTGCAATCTCGGGGTCAAGGATTGTCCAGAGGTGTGGATCTGTAGCAAAATGACTGGGAAGTACGGGTGCGAGAGGTGTCTGGGCTGTTGCCGGAGGTGTAAATGGTATCGTCGCCTGATTCTGGGCCTCCTACAGAAAGTTAAACGTCAAGTAAACTGCATTTAAGAAAACGACACTGACAGATTCGCTGAATATCACGGGAAAGTCAAAACGTGGAAGGTCGACATAAAGGTACAGATTCTCTGACTTCTCTGACTCTGCCTTCAGTTCTCTTTGAGCGTTTGCATTTGTACTTGACCGTAAAAAGACTTACGGCGTGTACTTCTTCCATCCTCCTGAAAGCCAGATTGTCTAACCAATCTGACTTTGGCAAATCGCCGCGTTCGTATTTCTTCACGAGCTGAGGAGAAGGTAGTAAGCAATAAGCGAGCATACCCAAGAGCTATGGCACCGCCTACCTTCTCTAAACGACCCATCTCATCCCTACTGCCCAGTTTACTTGGAGTCTCGGACTGCATTGAGCCGTCGGCTTCTCGACCCGCCCAAAGCAACAAGCGGTGCTTTCCCCTGCGCAGAGTCCTGACGCAGCGACCAAATAAGTATTGCAATATAATGTAAATATATTACGAACCATTTCTTCCCAAACATCCTAAGCGTTGAGCCACCAACAGGAACGGCTGTGCGTGGAGCTCCGATATCCCATACCGTAAACGTAATCTGTGAAGTTAGTGGGAGGTCGCAGTACCGAACGGGTAACGTTATCCATTCGTTCCACCTGTGTAGATAGTCAGCTCAATTGAAATAAATGGTAATATAATACGCACGTATGATTATTCTTGAAGGCTTTGAAAGAAGTGCGGAAGGGTATTGTTAGCGGCTTGTTATCCGCCAGGAGCTGGCAGGATACATAGAGGTCTGAAACAGGCCTAGCATTTGCGTCAACAGAGTGGTTACATACTGGAGAAAAACGCACGAAGATTGTACACCACGAAACCTCACTTCTGGGTTCTCGAGTAGCTCCGAAATAGATGGTTGTGGTATCGATCCTTCTAACTGAGAACTAGTACTCAATAAGCGTGGGCAAGCAGCCCGCAAAATGAGTTGCGTACATGCGGAAAGTAACCGGAAATTTGAGGTCGGAGAGCTTAGCGAACGTGAAATCGTCTCGGTTGTCCTTGTCCATCATGAAAGAGACAAGCTACTTTTGAAGTACCAACGTCTTACTTTAACCAAATAGGAGGGGGCATTGGTAGTCTAGGAGAATGTTGCAGCACTGCTGCCAGCGGTATTTGCCGCGAACGTCCCAAACTTGATCATCGTACCTCGCTGCGACCACGTGAATACGGGCTATTAACAAAGTGTGTTCTGGAATCTGCAAGTCAATCATGGTTGATAGCAATTCCTGATGAAGTTCTCGATATGTTTGGTTGTCCAATCATAACAACGTGATTATACGATATCCAGGCACTTGTGGCACTCAGTCAACGCGTTCAGTTCAAATTGGATCCATGGGAAAGTCACTAATCACTGAACGTATCAATACATAAACCCTTAATGATTGTTCGGCAGAACACTGTCCCTAACAAAGTGGTCTGTTTCTCTTACACTTACTACATCTTAAGTCTCGACGCAAGACTACCTGCTGCACGTTTTTCTTACTCACTGTGACAAGTACTTGTAATGCGCCTTCCACCCCGCATACCCAGTCGGGGGTACCTGCAAACAGCGCGGTTCTTCGCTACCAGCGTACACACTCCCCGAATTCCCCAGACCATCATTGAAAAAGTTGTTCAAAAGTATTCAGTCAATCTCCCCGATGGCAAAGTTGTCAAAGCGGGCGACTATGTCATGATTCGCCCGGAGCATGTCATGACCCACGACAACACTGGCCCTGTCATATCCAAGTGTGCTTTTCTTCTTCTCTCTTCTCAAATCATCATTCATATGATGCGCATGTAGATTCAAGTCCATAGGTGCAAAGAAAATTGTTGATCCCCGGCAGACGGTATTCACCCTCGATCACGATGTCCAGAACAAATCTCCCAAAAACCTTGCAAAGTATGCCAACATTGAAGCATTTGCACGCACACATGGGATTGACTTCTATCCTGCTGGCCGCGGTATCGGGCACCAAGTCCTCGTAGAAGAAGGCTACGCATTCCCGCACACCCTCACTGTTGCCTCTGATTCGCACTCAAATATGTATGGAGGTGTTGCTTGTGTGGGTACACCCATCGTGCGCACAGATGCAGCAGCCTTGTGGGCTACAGGAAAGACCTGGTGGCAAGTCCCTCGTATGGTCAAGGTGGAATTTCGGGGAAAACTTGCTCCAGGTGTCACCGGCAAGGATGTGATTGTCGCGCTTTGCGGGTCATTCAACAATGACGAAGTCCTTAACGCTGCAATTGAGTTTACCGGGGAGGGTGTCCCTGCGCTTTCGGTTGATGACAGGCTTACGATTTCGAATATGACAACGGAATGGGGCGCACTTGTAGGCGTTTTCCCTGTCGACGACACACTTCTGGGTTGGTATGAAACTGCATTGGCAAAATTAGAGCAAAGGACTTTCGCCTCCAAGTCAATTCCGCCTCCGCCAGAACACCCACGTATCAATCGCCGCCGTCTTGATGCTCTCCGTGCAACCAACCTTGCGTCCGATCTCGGTGTCCAATACTCCTCGCATCTGATCTTCGACCTCTCTACCCTCGTCCCACACGTCTCCGGTCCTAACAGCGTCAAGGTCTCTACCCCCACTTCCTAAGCTAGAATCCCAGCAAATTGCGATCCAGAAAGCATACCTGGTTTCATGTACCAATTCCCGTGTCTCTGATATTGCTGCAGCTGCATCTGTTGTTGAGGGCAAGAAGATTGCAGAGGGCGTCGAGTTCTATGTCGCAGCTGCGAGCTCTGTGGTGCAGGCTGAAGCGGAGAAGTTGGGACACTGGAACAAGTTGATCGCTGCAGGAGCTAAAGTGCTCCCAGCAGGTTGTGGGCCTTGCATCGGGCTCGGCACCGGGTTGTTGGAAGAGGGGTGAGGACGGGTATTAGCGCCACGAACAGGAACTATAAGGGACGAATGGGCCACCCTAAGGCTCAGGCATACCTTGCCAGTCCTGCAGTAGTGGCTGCGAGCGCTATCAAGGGATTTATCTGCTCCCCCAGCTCTCTTGACGCAACTTCGCTTCCTCCTGCAGGCACACTCACCTTCTCCATCGCTTCTGGCTCTTCGGCCGCGGCAGAGGTACTACAAGCAGAAGAACCCCTCTTCCCCGGCTTCCCCGCAGCCTTTTCTGGTCGCCTGCTCTTCGCACCGCAAGACAACCTGAGCACAGACGCACTATACCCCGGAAAATACACCTACCAAGATGATATCACCCTTGAACGCCAAGCACAGGTAGTCATGGAGAACTACGACCCGTCATTCGCAGGCAATGTCGCTACCATTCTCCCTTCACTCTCCGCATCAGATGAAAGCACCAGGTCTGGTGTGGTCTTGGTATCGGGGTACAATTTCGGTACTGGGTCCTCTCGCGAACAGGCTGCTACCGCGCTCAAGGCAGCCGGTGTGCCACTCGTCATCGCAGGCTCATTCGGCGACATATTCAAGCGTAATGCCATCAATAACGGTCTCGTCTGCCTTGAATGTCCTGAGCTCGTCGCTGATCTCACTGCGACGTACGCTAAAGGCGGCGCACGTGGTGCAGGTGGACGTGATGGCGAGCTCACAGTGGATAAAGGGCATGAAATACGTGTTTCGATGACGGACGGGAATGTCAGTCTGCGTGGTTCTGATGGAGAAAAGAACTACAAGGTACGCACGGTGGGCGCAAGTGTGCAGGAGCTGTGGGTGTGCGGTGGGCTCGAGGGGTTCATTCTCAAGTCCATACAGCATTCTTGATGGAGTATTTAGGTGAAAGTATCGTCTGCTTGTGTGTACGTCTTGTACTTATTGGCTATCGGAGACATGCTATGTAACATTTGGCAAAGACAGCATAGCCTGCAAGCTGCTTCCCGGTGAAGACGGTGGACTTCTGGTAATCTCTTCAGGTCCCACTGCATGTACGTTACAACGAAAGTGTTCCTTAATCCTGTAACGCCATGAAGAGCCCTGGGTGCAAACCGTTCGATACACGCCAGCTCTCTTCATTCCGCCATCCGGTTAGCGCACTATCGTGAGGTGACGACCCCTTCAGAACGTCTACTCCTGCAAGCGCTCGAAGAAGTTACACATGAGATATGAATGACGACAAAGATGTGTGCCTTTCTTTTACCAGGTGAAGAGGACATTCTCGAATTTTTGTCCGAGGTACTGCGGGCAGCCAAAGTGACAAATTCGATGCCCGTTCTGAAATTAATTGTTTCGCATACATACCTCACTCGTACTGTCAAGGCTAAATCGTAATCATTATCGAACTTTCATGAAGGACCAAAGTGGCACTCGAATCATAGATTGGAGTTCCAAATGCTTCTGCTATCCACAGGTTTCCCCGCCTTGTTCTGGCCGTTGGTATCGGCGCCATCGAATTTCTCCTTAAGGACAGCTAGCTTCGAACGGTATTCGTCTACGCCGATGTAGGCACCACACACGCGGCGCTTACCATCAAATGCGGATCGGCCATGAAGCACGCGATGGTTGTCAATCGCTAGAGACGAGATCAAGCCATATGGCAGGCAGACACGGATAGGACTTACTTAATACAGTGCCGGGAGTGAGTTGGATCCAATACTCTGAATCAGGTTTCGTTAAGAGTTCATTCCAAATCTTGATTGCTTGATACCTGGGGTTTTAGATTAAGCAAAGCAAAGTTTTCTGACCCATATAGCTCACTTACCATTCCTCCACTTTGTCTGGTGGCAAGTGGTTCATCGCGCTTCTATCGTCGTTGTTCCACCGTACCTGCACAAGTTCTTTGGTGCTCGGGTGATATCGCAACGGGGGGTACATTGCAGGGGGACTCGGAGTGTACAGTGCTGACGGTTCTCCTGCTGCATGAGCTGGAATAGGCACACGGGAAAGAAGATCATGGAACTTCGGATGTAGCTCTTTCATAAGGGCAGCGACATAGAAACCATCTACGAGAAGTGTTGCTCCTCCAGAGCCTTCGGTATGTGATAGGAGATGGAAAAGTTGAAGACCGCAAGGGTCAGTCTGCGCTCGCAATCAATCAGTGGCACGACGAGAACTATGAGCATACTCCATACGAAATAGGTGTTATCTGTGTGCGCTCCCAGTGCCATTGTGGTGTATGCGGTGTCTCCTTTTGAAAGATCAGCAGTAAACTCCCAAAACTTCCCATCTAAGTGCATTCAGACCGGGAGTGGAGGAACAAGGAGAGGAGAGACGGCGTACACTGGGTTTCTCTGATAAAACCGATACGTTCGCAGAGTTCCTCTGTGGCCTCAGGTGTTGCGGGGACCCCTGAGACGAAGCAAAAGCCAAACGTTTCCTGCATGCACATGAGACAAGCACCCAAAGCTCTCGATTTACGTACAACGTTTGTCAGCCACTTATGCAGTCCCTTATCGTCCATGACCTCGGTATAAGTCACAGAGGGTGGGGATTTCTCGATCTTTGATCCCCAAAGGACTTTCCTAGTGCACGATAAGCGCAAGGTACGGATTATGAAAGAAAATGTCACACCGATTTGGCGTTGTTTGAAGAGCTGGATCGTATGAATTGGCTTGTAGCCATGTCCATGGGTATACCGATGAGTGAGATTCCGTGCTAGTTCCGGGCCCTAAGTAACAAATCAAGTTGAGTAGAGAACTCAGTTAAGCCAACATACAGATAACTTCGAGGCCATCTGTAGAGCCTTGTACATGTATAGGTTTGATATCAGCTGGAATCTGCGGAAACGTCAATTCTTAGTAAAGACATCATTACCATCCTGCCACTGGACTACCTCGAACGTGTTGAGCAGTCGCTGCTTTGTTATCGGGTGAAAACAGTCTGGGCATCTGCAGTGGTCGCGCAACCAGATGTGGTGACTGACAGTTTGCACGTTCAGATCAGGAATCACTACGAGGTAGAAGGTCCATACAATCTAGACCAACGCTGTGGGCCCCAAAGAATGGATACTTTGCGCTCATCAGCGTTAGCAACAGGGATATCATTATGAACTCTAGGCTCTGTGACGCCCAACTGCTCCGAAGAAACAACTTCTCTAGTCGCCGCGGAGGAAATGGAGCGACTTCTACTCAGTGTCCAGCGCGACCCGAGTGTACTAGAAATCTGATCATCAACCATGGAATGAACCATAGATGACAGCCGAGAGATAATACGACATACTATCAAAGATGATGGCCTCCCCGGTGCGGATCGAGAGAGGTATTTCACAGTGCCAAGGGGCCAATTCCGAAGCGGGATGCACAACCTTGTGAAGGCTACCCTGAGCATTGCCAGCAACAATAAATACCAGAGCACAGGACAAATCGAAGACAAGGTACACTGCGAGGTTGGTCCGACCCGACTGTAACGCTACGTTAGTACGTCACATTCCCCAAAATGGAATGAACGCCCCTGAGGCCTGAGGCAGCTCAAGCGCTTTGCCTTGCTAAAAGGCAGAAATCGAAGAGTGGTATGGTACTGTGGTTAATATTGCCGTAGTCCACAGATTTAAAGAGGGATAATGGTGGTGCTACTTTAGAAATGACAACATAGATACATTGCGTTGTTTTAAGTTCGCTTTCCGGTACTCCGTTTTCTTAACAGACACCACGTAGATAATATTGATACAAAGCACGGCGAATGTCTGTTTTTTCAAAGACGGTGTCCGATGTTAACATGAACAGCCTTCACGTTTGTATAGCTGGAACAAAAAGTCAGTGGAAGCCGCCATATCACCATGTCTTGACTCACTTTTCCAAGGCATATTCGCCAAGCTCACGCCCAATGCCTGACTGTTTGAAACCACCAAACGGAACGCTCAATTCGGTGGAGTTGTGACAATTGATCTATGTCCATCAAATCATCAGCAGTCCTAATGCTAGCTTACTCGTGCTTACCCATGCGGTACCAGCTTCGATACTATGCGCGACTCGAATCGCCCTGTCTATGTCCCTGGTGAAGACAGAACAAGCAAGGCCGTACAGAGTATCATTCGCTTGCTCAATGGCCTCTATGATACTTTGTCAGCACTCGGATACATCCGTAGGGGTATGTGCTTACCCTCTTCTGTGGTGAATTTAATGACCGCAGCCACGGGACCGAATATCTCTTCCTGCACGATCTTCATATTTGGCTTGCACTCCGTGAAAATGGTTGGTTGAATAAAGTAGCCCTCGTTCCCATGACGTCCTCCACCGATATGAACGGTTGCGCCGTCCTCTTTACCAGACTTGATGTATCCCATGATCCGCTAATAGAAAGTAAGCAAAACCGCTCACTAGTACATTAGATGGGCGCTCGCCTCAAATTGCGTCTGCGAAATTTGTGGACCTTGGTAAGTGTCTCGTGCAAATGGATCGCCAACTTTCAAAGACAGGGCATGTTTGGTGAACGCCTTCAAAAATTTGTCGTATATTCCTGCTTGAACGAATATGCGGGAACCTGCGGTACACGCTTGTCCATGATTCATGCTGTGAGGAGAGTGAGCAAGGCTCGGCTACGATGCAGGTGACATACAATATTCCGTGTGAAACCCACTTCACGGTCTGCTCCAGGTCTACATCGTCGAATATGACACTAGGGCTCTTGCCTCCAAGCTCGAGAGTGACCTTTTTTAAATTGGTCTTAGAAGCGGCTTCCATGATCTTGCGCCCAGTCAGTGTGCTCCCTGTAAAGGCTATCTTGTCGACTGTCATGTGTTCACTGAGGGCTTGACCCGCGGTACTACCGTATCCGTTGACAATATTGATGACACCAGCAGGGAAGCCCGCTTCAACAAACAAAGGACAGAGACGAAGCGCAGTCAATGGTGTCAGCTCAGAGGGTTTCAGGATGACAGCGTTGCCCGCTGCCAGAGCTGGGCCGATCTTCCACGCTAGCATTGTGACTGTTCACGTCGTTATGCGCTCACTGAACATGGATTAAATGAACATACGAGGGAAGTTCCAAGGAATGATCGCGCCCTGTAAGATGCTGAGTTCGCATATCTTCACCGCGCGATGAAATGAGAGCACGAACCACAACTCCAATGGGCTCGTGACGGGTGTAAGCCAGCTTCTTGTCGTTCGTCTATCAGATGGGTATAGATTAGAATTGTCCCGAAGGAGACATGTCAGGCCTTTCTGACCTCGATGGTTTTCCCTTGAATCTTGTCCGCCCATCCTGCATAGTACCTCAGGACAGCGATAGATCCGGGGATATCAGCCCTCCGGGCGCTGTTGAAGGATTTACCTGCACATAAGGTCACATCACGAGCAACATATCTAGCTGAAGTATCACCCTACCTACGTCCAAAGCCTCCAAGGCACAGAATTCGTCAGCGTTGGCTTGGAGGAGGTCTGCAAGTATGTTGAGCATTCTGCCCCTTTGCGCACCAGGGACCTTCAAGCCCCAGCGCTCTTTGTAAGCCTTCTTTGCAGCCTGAGCGGCAATGTCGATATCCGCAGCAGTACCAGCGGCGACCGAGGTTATGACCTTTCCATTGGCTGCATCCGCTGTCAAAGTTTATCAAGCATGAGCGGTTGATTGACCTACCCGGATTCAGGACGCTAAGTCGATGAGGCCCATCAGACAGACGCTGAATGCGGTAAAGATAAGCACATACTCGATCGTGCCCTTCTCTACGGGTTCAACAAACTTTCCATTGATAAATAGGCCAGTGGGGACCGTCGAGATGCCCTTGTAGGTCGGTGTGTCAAACTGATAAGTGAAAGAAGACATGGTTGGTTGCAGATTAAGAATCGAACTCCCAGTTCTTTATATTATCGATGAGCCTATGTAAGAGTGCCACGAGAGTCTGAGTGACCGGGTGAACATGCGGCCGAGCTCAGAAGCTTCATCACAGATTAGCTATATGAGGCTGGCGTACGTTGTGTGTTAACGTACGACTCATGAGCGCTAGCTCTTATCATCGAGTAATACCCAGTGACTCAAGTGACGGTGGTGATATAAAGGCCATATTTTGATTCATTCACCACCCCACTCCACATGCTCTGATGCTCTCAAGATTTCATTATATACATTAGAAAGCAATGATCAATCACGATTTTATTTAGAATGCGCTGTTGCATTGTGAGACGAGCTCCTGACGGTACTGTAAGTCACAGTTCTACTATTCATAAGACATGCAACATGCAGGCTGATGGCAGCATGCGGCTAGCGTTCTAGTGCTGGTCAATACTGACGTCCTCGATGATACATTCAAACATTGATAGCTGTGGAACGACGACTGCAAGTCATATAGCTAAAAACAAGTTGCAATCAGTGAAGAGAATTTCGGGTCACTGTGTCGTGAGAACTTCAACTTGGCGTGGACAGGTTGCGCCGCAGCAGCGGCAGCGCTCACTTACACTATATAGCACCTCTGCAGGCTTCTGCAGGCCTGACATATCCTACGTACGCGACGTGCCATGCCTGCACATTACGCACCGCTCCCAACACAGCAGTCATCGCGGGATGCTGATCGTGAACTCAACGACGCCTTTGAGTCTGATGGCGATGATGAGGATTACATTGAACGCCCACAATCCAATCACCAGCGCGCTGATACCCTTTCCTACGTCGCAGATCCCCCAAAAAGCACGTCAAGTAGTACAACAGTTCCTGGAACTTATGACTTTGAGCGGAATTACGATTACGACCGCCCACCTCCTGGTTCTCCCCCGCAGCTTCTAGCAACTGCTTTGCCCAACGATATAGGCAATTCAAACGGCGAATTACCAACCTCTCCTTTGGGTACGACATTACCTCGACCATCATTCTTGCGGAGGGCAGTTGGGGCCATCTTACCCACTCACTACGTCCGTGTCCCGACCCATGAACCGCCCACTGGAGTGAGGGGTGGAGGGATACAGAATGATGGAGTGTTCTCAAATGTCGTCGTCAAACCCGCGTCCTCAATACCAATACCAGCTGAAGATGGCACCATCTACATGGTCCCTGAGGAGACGCAGAGCACTGCTCCACCTGTATGCCTACACTCATTTTCTAATATACCTTACCTCATTATTTTTCAAGTCCTATGCAGCAGCCCAAGCAGATGCTGTTCCCCCGTATTGGGATACGATTGTGCACGCTCCTCCCGGAATGGATACCGATGCTGGGATGATCGTTGGCGATCTTCCCTCGGGCTCTATCCTCGCATTCATTTCGAACCTCTTCGTCTCATTTTTCTTCCAGTTTATCGGCTTCCTCCTCACATACCTTCTCCATACTACACACGCCGCAAAGTTTGGCTCGAGAGCTGGCCTTGGACTAACATTGATCCAATATGGCTTTTACTCTCGTTCTGCGACGGATAACATACTTCCCACGCCTGACGGCAAGGGCGCTCCTGATGTCCTCATGCTATCCGCTCCGCCTTCACCTTCGGCTCCCATGCCTCAGGACCATACTGTTGTTCTCAGCATGTCTTCACGAGAGTGGCTATCATTTCTTTTAATGACTCTCGGTACGCGTTACCTGTCTTCATTTTTTCCCGTTTACTTACCCTGTTTCGCAGGTTGGTTTTTGCTCCTTTCCTCTTTAGTTGGTTTCTGGCGTGTAAAGAACTGGGAATCTGCCATCCGCGCCTCAAATGCACACGAACCCCAATCACCTGAGGATATCGCTCGTGACATTGCGGCGAGGAGAAATATTGAGCAGGCGTTCAATATCGCGCCGCTTGAAGACAGTGAGCACACGTCTCTCGGCTCGCCCTTCGTGGTCGCGACACAACAGGAGCCTGCAGAAGCAAATTTGCGTGCTGCACATCTATTGTGATGACCCCGTGGTTTCGTATAGTATACTTTTTGGATCTAACCTTTTCCATTCGGGATGCGAGAGGATGATGCAAGTGTCGGAGTATAATCTCTTCCCGCTCTCCTTGCGATACCATCACCGGTTGCTTTGCTTAATTAATTATCCGAAGTGCATTGTAATGTAAAGTATGAATATTTCGACCAAATTTTCAAGCTGCAATTCAACCGAAGCTTGAAGGCTGACAGATACGACACATGCAGAATGATAATATTAAGATGGTAGGAGCTAATCGCCTTAACGGTAGAATTAAGTGGTATCCATGGCATCATCTCTACCCTCCTCTTGAGGGGACGTTTCCTTCTCCTTCCCCTTGTTACGGCGTTTCTTGCGTTTTCGAGATGGGGGCTCTATAACACTCCCAATCATGCGTCCAAGTGAATGCCCAGCATCTTCTGCTTGTGCCACATTATGGTAAGAGTTCGCACCGACAGCAGGAGCCTCTTCCAATTTTTCATGGGCCTTCGACCGTAGCTGCACCTCCTTAAACCGGATACGTCGTTCAGTGACGCCGACGTGCGTTAAAGCTCGCGTATTTCTTTCGGAATCATCTTTGATCGAGAGAAATGTCAATTTACTTTGATGGACAGAACATTTACATACTTTTTCCTTCCGTGAACAAGAGCTCCGAACCAAGGAGTGTGTCATGCCGACCCCTGAAGAAGGAGCCAGAAAGCTGCAGAAATGGCGTAGGCGTATCCAAGCCCTTTTTTGCCTTGTAGTGATGCCTATAATATATGAGGTCTTGTGCTTACTACAAGCCTATAGGTTGAGCTGCTTGGAAGTAGGGTTGGCTCAACAGTACCGAGATCAAGCGTGACATAAAATTCTTCGTCGTCTGATAAATACTCTTCATCGGGACCGAAGGAATCCACTTGGCGATACCCAGTGAAGGGGCCTGTGGTAGCCATAATGAACTTGACAGATACGATATTCGAGGACGTAAAAAATCAGAATCATCCTTAGGTGGTGTTGTTTGGATCCAATGGTTTTGCCAAACAAAGCATTAGACACGTGCGATTTGAAATTCATGTCGAACCTCCATCCATGGAGTACTCTGGAGTACTGCCACTGAAACTTCTGATGGAGATATTCATGTTCATCGTCAACAACATGCCAGACTGTTCTGTCCTTTTATATGGAGGAACCTCCATCTCAGCTAGCAGTTGTTCCAACTATCCCTTAGTCTTTACCCGGGTGTGCCGATGATCTCAGACAGTGGCTCGAGGAACCCAGTATTGAGCTAAATCTACGATGGACAGGAAGGCGTTTGATGCGAATGGTGAGAGACCGACTGCCAGATATGACCCAAACGGGAGCACGGGTGGAAAAGAATAGTTAAAAGCGTCGCTCAGGAAGGAAAACTCTGATGCGCAATCAGATACCCGCCGTCAAAAATGTGCAATGATGGGTCGGATATCAAGAGATTCTATGCATAGTATGCACCAAATCTCCGTCATCTACGCATCATCAAACGATGGACAGCTGTGTTTTCAATTCTCACCTAGCCATACCTGCTGAAGGACACATTTCCTTCCAGGCCATTCACTTCACTTCAGGGAGTTGCCCCTGTCTGGAGACCATCGTTGTAGATTCAATTGCGAATACATCGGATGCAGACGCTACCAGTTGTTCGGCCATGCATTTTTGCCTTGAATCGACGATTCTCTCCATCCCTACTATCCTCTTTGTGAGGGCGGGTTTATTGAAGTGTTCAGTGGAGTCCATCTTTCCCCAGTGAATGAACAAATTTATGGCGACGCTTCCAACTACTGCAACCTGCAATCTCAAAGTGGTAGACTTTTTATGGAACGCCAGACCATAGTGCTCTATTTCCGAAATATCAAGGCCCGGAACCTGTTTAGTAAGGCAAGTGCTTATTGTGTACTCCGAAAACCCTCTCTAACCGTCGGAAAATTGAAATATACACCCTTGCCAGCAGCGTGTTCGCACGGTATGTGAGACACAGTAGTCCGATACCAGGCATTTCAGGAACACCGGAAGAATCCGGACGAGGTATTCTTTGAAATTGTCAAATTGAAGTAGTGTTTGCTTCGATGTTTTTTCCGCTTCATCAAATGATTTTGAGACTAGAGGGGTACGTGGTACCTTTCGGCGGGCGTTGACTGCACACGGAACGGGTGGCGTCACCGTGGACGACAGCCGAATATATCATGGGAGGTTAACCAGGCGCTGCCCTGAGTTTCACATAGCGCAGATGGCCAAATACATACCATCATCATCGGCATACAAGGATCCTGATTGAGCACCCTCAAGGCTCCCACTCCACGTGTCATGGACAGACAGGATGCATACGACGATCCAGAGACTCCATTTATTCCTACGTTCCGTGTCAAACCACAATCAACTAAAGGCAAAAAGCTGTCTCCCGGAACGATCTGCGCTGCTCTGGCAGGTATCTCCTTGCTCAGCTTTGGATTTCTCCTACCCAAGCCTTTGAGCCATCTGGACACACAAGATGTGCCTTCATATTCTGCTGTCTTCAACTCGCAGGCATATGTCCAAGGTCCACCCACCCAACGCTTTCGAGGTCAGTCAATCAGCAAAAACGTTCCTCGCATCTCACAAAAATGGTCTCAGATAACCTTCGTAACGACACAAAATACATTACATCGTGGACTTCAGCTGGATGGAGTACGTCAACTCCAGCCAACTACCACTTGCACCACTGATCTCAGTTACTTGTTAGCGAATGACGTGATGACCTATGTAAGTCAATAATCCACTTCCAACGTTGTCCCGGTTCTTCACAAATACTAGGGCAATTTAATTTACCTGGCACTCATTACAGAGCGTATACCCATAATTGCGAAATTCCTTTCTTCTCATATCGACCCAAGTGAACCTCCATTTGCTTTTGGGGAAATAATTGACGTCCCTCGGCTTAGCCAAGCCATAGGGATTCCCTTACTTCAATGGCACGAAGTAAAGGACTCGGAAAGTCAGATTCTCGATGATCTTGGTTGTTGGAGTGTTTGGGAAAGCGTTGAGAAATACAAGGAGGATCCCCGTCCACGGGGAAGTCCCACCATAGACCGGCTCAAGCTCGGTGAGACAACTTCGAACATCCCTAACCAGCGATTAACTGTGTGGCCATCACAGATATCTCGTGGACGCGAACCCCAGATTGGGTCAAGCTGACACCTCCTGGCATAGAAGACGATCACGCGTCCTTTTGGTCTCTTGCAACACTTGGGTTTCCGCAGGCTCGCTCGGACAACCTGGGACTACAGAATCATCCTTCTCCTCAGCATCAGGTTTCCCTCCCCCCAGATGACCAGTTGCTATGCTTCGATTTCCTTTACTTCATAGGTGCCCAACGTCCATGGGAATGGGAATGGGATTATTCTCCTGCATGGAGATTTGTAGGCCAACACATGCGATGGAATGTAAGCACAGAAAGGCTTGCCGATGCGCATGCCCGGCGCGCCATGAATGTGCCAGTCGATGAACCAACGCCTCCCGTGAGTGGAACTTTTGGGTATAGGTTGATCTGCAGACCTAACTTTACATAGTATATATCTGTTCACGCACGGCACGGTGACTTCGGCGATCAATGTCGTGGTATTCCTCTGGATCAGTGCTTCGCCCCGTTGTCTGTCATTGCGCGCAGGGTATCTGAGGTGCAAGAGGAACTTCGCATACAAAAAGGAATCGAGGTCACACAGGTCATCATGACGAGTGATGAACTTGACCCGGAATGGTGGTCAGGGGTCAGGGCGTTGGGCTGGACGTGGGTAGATTACGCGACAGAGCGCACGGAAGAGATATATGGAAAGTGGTGAGCCGATTAAATGACATTTTTTCATTCTCATGCTGGACATTGTTCCTGTTGCCAGGTATCCGGTGTTCATCGATGCTATCATTCAGTCGAATGGAGCGGGCTTCGTTGGCACTCGTGGCTCCACGATGTCCAATCTAGCTCTCCGCAGAGTGCAGTCATGGCATAATGGACCAACCCGGATCGTCTAATGGGGGCGCCCGGGCGCTGATGACCATTGATGTGATCGGAATGGTGGAATCGAGATGACCTTGCGCCGCAAAAATCATTGGCCGAAATCATTTTTATTTGTCTACTGCGCACAACTGCCTGGGCCAGGACTCAAATCCACAGCCGGAAGCAACAAAAGGCCGATGTATTTATTCGTTTATAGTACTGGGGCTGAGCGCTGATGTTCGGTACCCCATCACACATTTCGTTATTTACTGCCCAAGTGTCGAAGACACTCCCCCCGACTCACCAAAACACTGGACTATCTTTATCCGATTTTTAAACTCTACCCAGGTCAAACCGAGCCATACTACGAGTATACCGTACGTAGTGTCATTAGACAATGACAATAAACGATATTAATTTTAATTTTTCTAAAAATAAATTAAGCCATAACCATCTCCAGCTCTAAATTCCACTGTTAGTGGGGTTTATTAGTATATAAGAGGTGCTAAGACAGTACTTCTGCAGACCGCATTTTCCTATGAAGGGGCAGCCTAGGTTGTGTTCAACTTGCAAAGATCAACATTGAATCTCTTAATATTTGCTGTCACCTGTGGATGCCAAATATTGCAAGGCGATAAGGCGCTATCGGTACCGGTGGTATAGGGGTTTGTGCCATCCGCAACTTATTTATCCTGGTCATTTTCCGAGCCAGGTCGTGTGACAGGTCTGGCGCTCAGTTACCAGTTGTGATGCATTTTCACCTAGTGGTCTGGGATCATTCTTCCACTAGCTTGTATGCAAAGGTACGCCTGAACTCACGGATTGGACCCGGGAAGAACGGTGCCGTGGTGGATAAAAGAACTCCTACAAGGAACAGGCGGTATCCCCCACCTTTATTATCGGACAGCGCCCTGTGTTGGAAACCATGCTTTCTCTCCTTGTGTTTGTTCCTTAAAATTTGGATGTCACCGAAGCTCGCTGGAGCAATAAGCGTCCGCAACGTTTTGGTATCCGTGAGCCTGGCATCCGAAAATGCGCGCTCGCAGGGTATAGACAACCTTGGGATCAGAAGATAGTCGAGGGCCATACGGCTGAAGATCGCTGAAAGGGAGAACGCGCTTACATTGCTCAAGAGCAAATCCTCCCACTCAGCAACGTTGCGTATTGTGAAAGGAAAACGACGCCACAATGGAGAGTGAATGTCCTTGATCATTACAACACATACTTAATATACAAACAAATATCATGCATCTATCTTCGAGTCATGCCCGCCGCGAATGAGATCTCATCCATCTAACCAATTTTTCAACCTCAGCAACTTTTTGATCATAAGACATCTGCACAGCACCAATCAGTACCTCGATCACTGACGCGAGATAAGAGAAGGGACGTACACGTAAAAACTGGAACAGTTTATGATCTCTCGAATGTTGTCTTTCGTGACGAATTGCCTTTGATCCATGAATGTTAAGATGGGGATCGTTGACATGCTGAGGAGGAATACACCTGCCAGCAGGTGGAATAGAGGCAGCAAGAACGGACAGGTAGGATGAGGGAGATGCACTGGCAGAGTTGTAGATGACGGTCGACTCCGCGTGCGCATGGTAAGCCGTGGAAGTAGAGGAATAGATGGCGGTTCTCTCCGTGAAAGGAGCTTGTGAAGTTGCATAGACGGCTGCAGCGTCCACAACCATCTCCATATAGTGATGGGTTACTGGTTCAGGGATGACGCGTGGATTGCCCAGCCAGGTTATGTTGTTCCATGCGCGAACCGGCTTTGGTGCTACGATCTGGAAATGGGTGCCCATATTGCGCAGCGGATATATTAGTGGCTGGCCAATAGCTCCATAGTTATGACGATCGCCTGTTGGGATATGGATTTCATCATCTTCCCGACGCCATTCGTCCCATGCAACCCAGTCGTCTAGGTGAGATTGCCCATCATCGTCCCAGGGACAGGTGACTGCAAATAGATCATTTTCGTATCGAATACATTTGGAGGACTCCTCGTTGCATTGCACGGGCGTAGGCTGAGTCGAGCGGATGATCGAGGCAGCCGGTAAATCATCATGGACAGCTGCCATGACAGCAGTAAAATGATCCACTAGAATGTCCTGTTCTTTTGCTAGTGCATGCCGCCAGTAATTCACGAAGTAGTCCGTGTAGGTAGGAGTGCGGTCCGGGAAGGACAGGTTAAGCCAGTTGGAGGAAAGGCTGGCAAGAGCATTCAGAGTCAAGGGGTCGTATGCGCTAGCATCTTCGAGCAGAATTATAGACGCCTTCCCTTTGGAAAAGCGTCCTCGCCTAGCACGCCTGCGCTTAAGTTTCTGGGTAGAGGAATCGCTGGAGTATGCAGAAAAACGGGAGGTGTTGGGTGAGATGTCCTGAGTGACGGTGGAGAAGGAAGACATGACCTCGGCGCCGGAGACGCTAGACTCGTGGGCAGAATGTAAGGGAGTGAAGTCGGAATTCTGGAGCCTGCTAGAAGTGAGGACTTGATGCATTTCGAAAGCCATGGATAAAGAGAAGTTGAATGAATATGCAAGATGGAGTTGTAAATCAAGTTATAGAACGATTCGGAATCAGAATGCGAGATTATATACTGCGACCAATATGCAAGGCATTAAACTGAGACATACCAGCGACGTCATGATTATAATTGAATGGACTGCCAGTAAACTGCCCCCTAGTCAGAATCATAATCACTAACCTGAGACATCCGCACTTGCACCTGGATACATAGTCTACACCTATCAGCTTACCTAGTGGTACAAAGGAACGACTGTATCCATGGTCTGACTATGATGGGAGACTAAGGACTGAGTGTGCCAGGCTCGCCCAAGGAGACTCGGGATTTGGCGGTCGGTATGCTCCGCAAACGCAAACCACCCCCAATGAGTCACGGCATCAACCTTACAAGTTCACCATTTTCAACTGATGCCAGAATACATGATAATTAACCTAGCGCATGGATCTGACATTCAGATAATGTATTCTAGTGCCTAGGCGGTGTTGCAATACGAGAATCCTTATCCTTTTTCAACGTCATCGCCGACTCGACCCAATCACACCCTCCACTTTTCGTATACCGCTGCAACGATTGTGCGATGTCTGCGATCCACAGCGCCTCGTGGACTACCGTCATTACACGAGGACCTATGGCGTCATTGAACCGTCGGAGGTGAGTGATCAAGAGACAGTATCAGATCCCTTCCTTGGCGCGTGTTAGTTTGTCAATCGTCTGGCATCCAGCGACGGCGGGCAACGATGATGCGTGTTCCATAAATCGGTAGGAGGCGTCCCGGTCGGACCCCTTTCAACCCTATTGCGAAACATCTTTCTCAGCAAGGGTGAAATCTGAGGGAGGAGGTGAAAGTTTCGATATTCCAGAATGATAGATTTGGCCTGCTGAGCGTCCTTCGGGTATGGCGCCACAAGTATACAGGCTGGAGATTGCATTGGCATGAACAATTTGAACTAGATTCAGGCTGGTTCAGCCATGCCTTATTTCAGACGACTGGTTGCGACGCATAAAACATACAATTAACATTTGATATATATCACGTCCTCGTTTTACCATGGGCATCGGTTCAACTTACACGGTGCTTGTCTTCTCGAAATTTATCAACGCCCAAATCGACACCTTCGCATCTGTACTGCCAGCAATCAACCACCAATCACGGGCATGCTTTTCCTCGACGGTAATTTCATCTTCGTCACCAGAGTCATCCTCCTTCAACTCTCCACAAAGAGGTACACGGTCAGTATGAGAAGCGAACGTAACCGCCTGGCATCCTTGCTTGTGGTGCACAAGAGTTCCCAACAACTTTAATGTCTTCGTCGAGTATAACCGCACTCTACGTTATAAGTTAGCTCAATTCAATGATGATATAATCATCTAGTCGACTGACTTGCCGTCCCATCCCCCAATCGCACATACTCTCCCGTCGCTCCGTATGGCAACAGAGCCATTTCCTAGATGTTTGGTTTTGGATGCAGTTCCCGCTGGTGTGGATTCTGAAGCCTCTTCCTGGATCTTCTGTTCAGAATTTCAGCAAGCAAACTCATGCAGAGCTACCCGAACACCAACCAGAAGATCATACCGTCCCACTAAATGGTCCGCCGACACTGTCAAAGCAAAAGTGCAGTCCGAAGAAACTGTCATAGCCATCACTTAGAACGACAACTTCCGTCAGAATCCCCACGAGAATGTTACATATTTCAACGAACCTGATTCCACATGAAGTTTGGATTTCCACATGACCTCCCATCCACGGCCCTCGACAGTCTGTTTATTCTCGGGTGCAGTCCGCTTTCGCAGGACAACGCTTCCATCTTCGTATGCGCATAACAGGCGTAGCTCTCTTGCCGACGTAGAGGACGAAGGTGCAGACGACGCAGAGTAAAAAAGATGCATTGACATGATGATTCCTGATTTGCTGCCCGACCTGCCATCCGAGAAGGCTGTTGCGGAGGTATCTAGTAAATCACCTATAGCAGCATGGAGCCTTTGACGCGATGGAAGTGACCAGATATCTGCCTGGTCAGTTCATACTGAGATTACACCGTACCATACACTAAAGGGATTACCCACAAGAGCTGATTCCACGAGGTTCGGAACGGCAAGTAGACCTTCCTGCGCGAGCGCGCCTTCTAGGAGAGAGAACCTGCAGTAGTTAAGGGCGTTGACATCCATAGAGTAACATATTGTTGGTGTTGATAGATCTGACAAAGTTGCAGGTCCTTGTCTGATGGAAGCGGACTCCTCGGGCCGTGCCCAGACGTGGAGTTTATTATCCCTCCCATGTCTAGTCACAGCATGAGAAGAAAATGCCAGGGTAAGAAAGATAGCAACTCACGTTATGATTTGAGAGCCCCATTCTTGAATGCCCAGCAGTGAGTCAGTGTGAGCTTTCCATGATGCGAGTGGTCTCAATGAGCGCGTGGAAGTGACGATGGCTTGTCCTGTACTATCTCCGGAGTAGATTCTCTCGTTGTCCGTCGAAATGAACAGAGTGCTCACTGCGCTGGAATGGGAGCGTAGCAGATGAATAGGTGAAGGTGCTGGCAGAGCCATAGGCACGGCGCGGAACTTGCCGTGCTTGTTCAAACGTTGAACACAAGTACTTGGCCTCCTGCCTCGGCTGAGTCGGCTCTGCTAATGGCATCATGAAGGAATCCGAGACTGTCACGTTAGCAACTGGCACGGCGATCTCACGTCCTCCAGCTCGTTGGACACCGGGAGTAGGAGAGTCTAGCGCATCCGAGTTTGACTCGGTTTTGACCCTTTCATGAGTCAACTCATCCATAGACGCCTACATACTGAGATACTACTGCCGCCGCAGCAAGTATTGCCACGCGTTGCCTTGATAAATATTCGATAACACCAATATCTCTTCAGTGGGTTTCACAATGCGCTTTTATTCCCTCGTGGCAGCTCTGAGCCTAGGGTCAGCAGCTCTAGCACTACGTGGCCAGTTCCCTGTCAACACTGCTGATGAAATTGACGTTCAGCCATTGGATACCGTCAACTTGAATGTACCTCCATATAGTTCAAGCACTGAGCAATGGAGGTTTGAAGAAGGCCCTCCCGAGAACGCGACAGGGAACTTGATATTCGACACTGTCCATTCACTCCTGCAACAGTGGCCAAACACTCGGTATCGTAATGGTACGTCTCCGCTGCGTGCTAACACTGGAAAAATGTTCACCTTTTTGTAGGACATAACATAGTACCAGGAGTGATTCCAACCGGTACTTTGCTTTATCACGGCACCGACCGCAATACGATACCCAGTGAACCCGACTGGACTGCTACAGACCCAGAGCATTCCATTAATTTCGTTCATGGAAGGGATTACGGGAGTGGCTGGCACCTCACGCTGGCAGCAACGCGACCTCTCAATGTCTTGTACTTTGATGGAAGTAGTGCTGCTAAGATATCCGAGGGTACGATGGATACGCAGGATATAATAGCCTGGGGAGAAGTTCAGGCTGAGCGATACTTCGATGAAAGACGGCGGATTAAAGATCTCTGTAGGTGGGGAAAGGAGTTTGGAATCGACGGTTTCGCGAGGTTAGCGGCTCATCTCGCTATGGTGTATAACTGATTATAAGATTTCTAGGATGGAAATGGACTTGTGGGCATCCTTTCGATTGTGTGTCGCACTTCCGACTGATGACCTTCTAGTGAAGTTATGTTGTGCGATTTTACGGCTGGTGTTGAGGTAGTATCTTTCCTGCCTCTCCGACTTTTACCAAAGGACAAAAACCCTTCCTTCCCTCGCCTTCCTTCCCCTCCTTCCATTCCCTCTCCTCGCCTTCCCTCTCCTCCCCGACTTCCCTTTCCTACTCGCCTTCCCTTTCCTCCTCGCCTTCCTTCTCCTCCCCAACTTTCCTTTCCTCCCCACCAGCGCCCTCCACCGGATTCTGACTTCTGTCAGTATTTTCTTCCCGTGTTCCAATACGACTGACATCTTATGTGTCTGGGCGCAGGGGTTCACGTATTTGAAGTCATGCACTCTGGCTCATGGCACAATCGCTACCCAGGGGATTCTCGCATTGTGCTCGACCTGACTGGTCTTATCTCACTGTATGATATCGCACTGGCACCTTCGCTCGTCCCAGTTCGCGCAGGTCTTGAACGGTGGGACCACCGCGTCCTGGGAATATCATCAAACGATATATCCAAGGTGATGAGAAACCTTACGGAAGTTATTAGTCGGCCACACACGGTGAACAGCGGCATTGACTGGAAGACCCTTATTCACGTCATTGTCGATCGATATGCGGATCGACTCGAGTTGATGGACCATCTCCTCAATTTCACTTCGTCAGAATCGCAAGAAGTCCTTCAGCGAGCGAAGTTCACGCAAACCCAGCTCCGTGTTATGCTTACGCCGTATCTATTAGATTCCATCGTCGTCTGTAGCACAGGCGCTTCAGGCGTAGACGCCTTGCGGTGGGCGTCCCCAATTTTCAGGCTGTGTGCCACAACACACACTTCCGTGATAGTCAATCAAATACCCTTCATGACGCCTTCTGAACACCTCCTGCTGAAGGCCGTTGAGGAGACAACGAGAGAAATCTGCCGTGTCACTACGAAAATGTGGGCTGTAGGTGTCATGAGCGGGCTCGACACTCTTTTCCCCATTGAACTGGATGGAGAGCCTGATGTCACCCAAATAATGAATGACTGGAAACAAGATATCCAGAAGCTGATGTCTTGGTTAGACTGGAGCATATGGATTAAATGCCAACCCGGCTGCGGCCCAGAGGTGGGATCCAAATAACTTCTTTCGTAGTCCACCGGACTAAGCATGATCCACTTTCAGGAAATGTGCTATCTTCCGACTTGGCCCGAAAATTTCCCCAAGTCGAAGCGCCCACCACCACCACCACCACCTCCTCCTCCTTCGTGGGACCCGCAGAATATCATGGATACTTCAGAAGGAGACTATCTTACTGAACCTCCAGCCAAAATCGAAGATCCTTTTTTCGTCTTTGAGGCGCCAACGGAGGCATGGAGGAAGCCTCAACCGAAGTGCATTAGGCGCCTCTCGCCGTACAGATTTTGATCAAGATGGGCCCGTCTATCAACGGCTTGCCTCAGACATACTGGTCACGAGTCTACTTCACACTGTTCTTGCAGTTGTGAGTGATCTGGACATACTTCATTCTATTAGCCTCAGGCCTCTCAAAGTTTACGTACGGGTATTACTGATTAATGCGGGTATACGATACAGCTGTACCCGTGAGGAATGAACTGTAGGTGAAGTAAAGTAGAAGTCCAAACCTCAAGGCCTCACGTGTGACGTTGTGCAGAATGGTCGATGCCGAAGTCTGCCGAACATGCCAGAGAGCGGAGTGTACTAAGTAGGTAGCTGTATACGAAAAGTGGGATTATCATGATACTATGACAAATCTATGATGGACAGCGTCGAATAAAGATACATCGTTTCTTCAGCGCCTCAGCAGGCGTGATAGCTTTATGTGGCCGACTTTGAGATATTAATAGATGATTTTACAGTTTCCTGCTGGTTGCTATCTGAGATAGTACCAGCGCCGCCGCAGCAAGTATCACCACGCGTTGCCTTGATAAAGATGCAATAATACCCGGTACCGATATCTCTCCAGTGGGTTTCACAATGCGCTCTCATTCCCTCGTGGCAGCTCTGAGCCTAGGGTCAGCAACTCTAGCACTACGTGGCCAGTTCCCGGTCAACACTGCTGATGAAATTCACGTTCAGCCATTGGATACCGTCAACTTGAATGTACCTCCATATAGTTCAAGCACTGAGCAATGGAGGTTTGAAGAAGGCCCTCCTGAGAACGCGACAGGGAACTTGATATTCGACACTGTCCATTCACTCCTGCAACACTGGCCAAACACTCGGTATCGTAATGGTACGTCTCCGCTGCTTGCTAACACTGGCAAAATGTGCACCTTTTTCGTAGGACATAACATAGTACCAGGAGTGATTCCAACCGGTACTTTGCTTTATCACGGCACCGGCCGCAATACGATACCCAGCGAACCCGACTGGACCGCTACAGACCCAGAGCATTCCATCCATTTCGCTCGTGGAAGTGATGGGAATGGCTGGCACCTCACGCTGGCAGCAACGCGACCTCTCAAAGTCTTGTACTTTGACGGAAGCAGTGCTGCCAAGATATCCGAGGGTACGATGGATACGCAGGATATAATAGCTTGGGAGGAAGTGCAGCCTGAGCGACACTTTGATGAAAGACGACGGATTAAGGATCTCTGTAGGTGGGGAAAGGAGTTTGGAATCGACGGTTTCGCGAGGTTAGCGGCTTATCTCGCTATGGTGTATAACTGATTATAAGATTTCTAGGATGGAAATGGACTTGTGCGCATTCTTTCGATTGTGTATCGCACTTCCGACTGATGACTTTCTAGTGAAATTATGTTGTGTGATTTTACGGCTGGTGTTGAGGTAGTATCTTTCCTGCATGTCCGACTTTTACCGAAGGACGAAAACCCTCACCTTCTTCGCTTTCCCTCGCCTTCCCACCTTCCTTCCCCTCCTCCATCGGATTCTGATTTCAGTCAGTATTTTCTTCCTGTGTTCCAATACGATTGACATTTTATGTGTCTTGGCGCAGGGATTCGCGCATTTGAAGACATGCACTCCGGCTCATTGCAAAATCGCCAGGCAGGGATTCGAGCATTTGAAGTCATGCACTCCGGCTCATGGCACAATCGGTACCCAGGGGATTCTCGCATTGTACTCGACCTGACTGGTCTTGTCTCATTGTATGATATCGCACTGGCACCTTCCCTCGTCCCAGTTCGCGCCGGTCTTGAACGGTGGGACCACCGCGTCTTCGGAATATCATCAAACGATATATCCAAGGTGATGAGAAAGCTTACTGAAGTTATTAGTCGGCCACACACGGTGAACAGCGGCATTGACTGGAAGACCCTTATTCACGTCATCGTCGATCGATATGCCGATCGACTCGAGTTGATGGAGTATCTCCTCAATTTCACTTCGTCAGACTCGCAAGAAGTCCTTCAGCGAGCGAAGCTCACGCAAACCCAGCTCCGTGTTATGCTTACGCCGTATCTATTGGATTCCGTCGTCGTCCCTAGTGCAGGCGCTTCAGGCGTAGATGCCTTGCAGTGGGCGTCCCCGATTTTCAGGCTATGTGCCACAACACACACTTCCGTGATAATAAACCAAATACCATTCATGACACCTTCTGAACACCTGCTGCTGAAAGCCGTTGAGGAGACAACGAGAGAAATCTGCCGTGTCACTACGGAAATGTGGGCTGTGGGTGTCATGAGCGGGCTCGACGCTCTTTTCCCCGTTGAACTGAATAGAGAGCCTGATGTCACCCAAATAATGAATGATTGGAAACAAGATATCCAGAAGCTGATGTCTTGGTTAGACTGGAGTATATGGATTAAATGTCGACCCGGCTGCGGCCCAGAGGTGAGATCCAAATAACTTCTTTCGTAGCCCACCGGACTAAGCATGATCCACTTTCAGGAAATGTGCTATCTTCCTACTTGGCCCCAAAATTTCCCCAGGTCAAAGCGCCCAACCACCTCCTCCTTCATGGGACCCGCAGAATATCATGGATACTTCAGAAGGAGACTATCTTACTGAACCTCCATCCGAAATCGAAGATCCATTTTTTCTCCTTTGAGGCGCCAATGGAGGAATGGAGGAAGCCTCAGCCGAAGTGCATTAGGCGCCTCTCGCCGTACGGATTTTGATCAAGATGGGCCCTTCACATTGTTCTTGCAGTTGGGAGTCATCTGGACGTACTTTTTTCTATTAGTCAGTGACAGGCCTCTCAATGTTTACGAACGGGTATTACTGGTATACGCATGCTGTACAGCACCTAATGAGGGTATACTATAATACAATACAGCTGTACCGTGAGGAATGAAATGTGGGTGAAGCATGCCTGCACCGCAAGTTCGTTACATGATTTTAAAATGTCCTGCTCAATCTGGCGGGGGAAAGGAACACACCAGGGTTTTTCAGCTCGATTAAAACAAAATTTGATTAAGAAATCACAGTCACTAGCGTCGAATGAAGATCATCATTCCTTCAACAGGCGTGACAGTCTTTATGTGACCGAATTTAAGATATTAATAGATGGTTTGTATTTTCCTGCTGGCACAGTGGCAACCCAAGTTGACCCGGGCATCGTCTATTGCATCGAGGTATGTACAGCTATTTCCATATCAATAGGCCAGATTCGATTTTACACAACTCACCGACGTTATTTATCTTTGTCCGAAATGCCGCAGCACGGCTTCGGGATCGAACGTCATTAATTCATTATCCATCGCTAGGGACTCGACACATACCGGAGTCCAATGGGTCACATGCACAACGCATGAAATCGACGGATATTGCCCATGTCACTCACTCTGGTCGTCGTACCGTCAGACGTACGCTTCGCTTCTCGCGGCTCACAGGTCTGTCATTCCAAAGCCCTCGCAAGATTTGGGGTAACCTGCGCAGGTCACGGGTGCGGGTACGGATACGGGTTGAGACCTGTCGAGACTCTGAGACCCGCGCTCTAACCTGTACCCGTGACCCGCCCTTCCTAACCTGGTAACCTGGTAATTAACCTGGTAATTAGTTTTCAAGCTCAACCACACTCGTACCGAGTTACTATAGCTAGATTTGGGCCCCGCTCTGCCACTGAGTCCGGTTCGTTTTTTGCTGGTTAGGTTCAATTGACACGAGAGAAAAAATTGCATATGCGAATTTCTGCTATATTCGACGACGTACTGGTGTGGCTAGACTTCGACCCGTCTACTCTGCGCGATTCCTACTGGTTCACTCTTGCTGCAAATGCTACCGCTAGCGACGAGCGGCATACTACATACACAAGGTGATGCTCGATCCGCCGCATCACCCGCCCGACTGGAGGTGTTGAGCCCCCGAGGCTCGTTCGCGATATATGCAGTCCCGCCGCAATTCTCGTCGCCGGTAAACCCTGCACGGGTACGGGTAGGGGTCCAAGTTCGTTGTACCCGCAAAAAAAAACCATATCCGTCAGCGCGGGTATGCATTTTTACCGGGTACGGGTAGTTCCCTCCTTCCACGACACAGATCCGAGCGAGACAGACATCCACTGGCACTGAAATTCACTATAAAGACTGATGATACTGCACCTATATGTTCCTCATCTCGACAGTCACAATATGAATCCAACGACCCCCCAGGCTATCATGTTTTCCACTATCACTCACATGACAACTCCTGTCTGCGAGCCCTCGCAATTCATTTACCTGACCTCATCCATGATTGCCACTATCCCTTGCAACAGAACCCTCATCGTGATGCGGTGTCCTGCGCATCTGATCAATGGCTTATTGACGTAGCACGACTCGTAGAGTCCGAGATCGGAGAGTATATTGATATAGAAGCAGGCGTATTCGCTGCCGTTTGCTATCCTGATGCAGATGCCTTCCATCTCCAAGTCTGCTCTGACTTCCTTACCTGGTTGTTCATTATAGACGACTGGATGGAGTATAATGTCGTCGATGTACGGGGAGCGCGTGAATCCTGTATTCTGGCACTCCACGATCCCATCAATTTTGACACGGAACAGCTTGGTGCAAAGATGTGCAAATCGTACGACCATTTTTCCATCGCATACTACACTCTTTCTAAAGATCGTTATACTGTTAGGTTTTTCAGTCGCTTTAGGGAGACTGCCGGCCCCGGCTGCACAAAGCGGTTTATTCACAGATGCGAACTGTCCTTCGCTGCTGTGGCTAAGCAGGTGGATGACCGTGCTAAAGGACATATGTATGATCTGGCATCTTATATCGCCCTGAGGCGAGATATAAGCGCGGTGAAGATCGCCTTTGCCGTCATCGAATATGTAGCTCGAATTGATCTTCCCGACGAAGTTATGTCGCATCCAATTATCATGGCCTTGGAGGATGCAGCCAACGATTATATTTCTTGGTCCAACGTAATTCTGTTCTGTCATTGAACGCTGGGGCGCTGCTGACATTACCACCGACAGGATATCTTATCATACAACAAGGAGCAATCTCACGGTGACGCACATTGGCATAACATGGTTGCTGTGCTCATGGACGATCGAGGACTAGACCTGCAAGGTGCCATCGACTATACTGCCCAGATGTGCAAAGATGCCATCCAGCGCTTCGAATCCAACCGTGCCATCCTCCCTTCATGGGAAGAAGAGGTTGACAGGCAGGTGGCTATCTACGTCGAAGGGATGCAGAACTGGATGGTTGGCTCACTCCACTGGCACTTGGATTCCGTCCGCTTTTCTGGCACGGATGGATATGCTGTCAAGCAGGACCGAATCGTCAAGCTGCTTCCTAAAAGGCCCTTGTAAAGCTTAACACAGTGCATGGCTTCTGGAGGTGAAATCGGTTTCACTTCTTTCCTACACTGCGCAATTCCTACGACTAGCTTAGTAGAACATTAGTACATGGTTCACGTCTCACAGACAAAAAAAGTTTTGCTTCGGTTGCATAATACATGACATCCCGCCTTCCTTCCTTTGACCTTCGTGCTTTCAATTCCTCGTTCAGCTCCTTGCGTGTAACACTTCCCATTCGTCCTTTGCATTGCCACTGTATGTAGATAGAATAGTCTCGTATCCTTATACAAATCAAAGTTGTGCTACAGAGAGAACTGATTTGCGTGTTATTTGAAATTTCAGATCGACTAATTACCCAATGGACTATAGGACTCACCGAAGTTGTTTATCTTTGGAGTAATTAGTCAGATATGTCAATAAAGGCGCAGCACAGCTTCGGGATCGAAATGTCATGACTGTTATGAGACATATTTTCATGTTATCAAGCAAAGCATAGATGAATTGATTGAAGTCCACCGACGTATGTAAGGTCTCTCGCACATCAAGATGTAGTATTCCCATCAAGCGAGAGAGCAGGAAGTATGAAATACCTGTATTCAACATTTTCAACATTTTTCGGGGCTGATAGTCATGTCAACGGGCGCGAGATCCAAGAGGAGACCATGCCTATTTGATGTCTTGTAGTTATCCGGTTGCAGGCTGATTCATCCACGAAAATGAGCTGATCAGGACGAAAAGTTTTCTGCGACATTGATTTGATAAAGTTACGATTCTCAAATCTCCTCGTTGCGTTCGGCGGCTGGCCTCGCGACCTAGTCCAAGGAAAATTCAAAAGTATGGGGTGGTCTTAGGTCCTCGTACCTTTTTACGCGTGAAACCACGCATTCACAAAGTCTTCTCGATGGTCTGTAGTGAAACACTGATATCCTTCGCGTCCTGTAGCTCATGTCGAAAAATGTCCGGGGTGCGCTCGACACAAGCTTCAAGGTACTGGTGACCATGGTGTAAGAAATAATTGAGTTTTGCACACCACATGATTGTAGCATCAGGAGACGTGAGCAGACGAGGACGACCAGCTTGCAAGAGCTTTTGAAAGACAGACCCTATTAGTCATGAGAGGCGAAGCACGGTACGATGACCGGAGTGAGTGACATGGGCAATATCCCTCGATTTCATCTGGGCAGACATTGTGACCCATTGTTGTTTGACGGACTCTGGTAAGTGTCGATTCCCTACCACGACGGGGAGGCAGTTGTTTGTTTCGGCTCCAAAACTAAACAGAGGGGGTGAGTTTGTAAAATGGAATTTGGCCTATCCGAGATTTGGAAATAGCACGAATAACCGGCGGCTCGGTAGCTATTAATCCGTCTGCGCTGTTCAACGTTAACGCGAACGTTCAATAATTTAATGTTGCAACGGTCCTGTGGCGTATCCAAGGCGTATCTCTCTGTTCCTATGTCCAATTGCGGTGTAGTCTGGCGCACTGGCAGCCTGAGGTCCTCCGTACACTATCGATATCTGAGAGTTCAGATGAGGGCAGTGCTGTTTTTGCTCTCTCCCTGTCCTTCGAGAAATTGATGAGTTGCAGTGAGACAAAGACGTGGCGAACAACTTGCGATGTCTGCATTACTGCTCGGAATCAATTACGCGATCATAGTAAGTTAGCTTACACCCACTGCGCACTACCGCCCGATCGAAGGGGAACGCTTGTTTTTTTTATAGCACTTCACTCTTGCATTTCTGTGTTTACTAGTTCTTCATAGGAACATCTGAGACGCATCGGAGCTTTAGCCTCCTGATAGCTCGTCGTGCCAACATGACGGCACTAATTACCTTGATACTGGTGCCGATCATCCGATTTTCTACGGATTAATATTTCCTCGACCTTGATAAAGATGCGATAAGCCCATCGATATTTCTCCAACAGTTCACAATGCGCTATCAGCCCCTTGTGACAGCCCTGAACCTAGGGTCAGCAGCTCTAGCTCTCCAACAATTTCCCGTCAGTACTGTTGGAGAAGCTTCCGTTCGACCCTTGGATATCACCAACTTGGACAGCGATTCCCATAGTTTCGGTTCGAAGATTGAGCAATGGAGGTTTGACGAAGGTCCTTTCGAGAACGCAACAGGGAACTTGATCTTCGACACTGTCCATTCACTCTTACAACACTGGCCAAATACTCGATATCGTAATGGTATGTATCACTTTCCGCCACTTTTCTGATGCTGGAAATTTATTTTTATAGGACATAACATAGTACGGGGATCAATTCCCACCGGTACTTTGCTTTATCACGGAACCAGCCGCAATACGATACCCAGTGAGCCCGACTGGATCGCTACAGACCCAGAGCATTCTCTTGTTTTCGCGCGTGGAGATGGGAGTGGCTGGCACCTCACGCTGGCAGCAACGCGACCTCTCAAAGTCTTGTACTTTGATGGAAGTAGTGCTGCCAAAATATCCGAGGGTACAATGGATACGCAGGATATAATAGCCTGGGGAGAAGTGCAACCTGAGCGCGTCTTCGATGAAAAATCACGGATTAAAGATCTCTGTAGATGGGGGAAGGAGTTCGGAATCGACGGTTTTGTGAGGTTAGCGACTCATCTCGCTATGTTGTATAACTGATTCTCAGATTTCTAGGATGGAAATGGACTTGTGCGCATACTCTTATTCTGTGTCGCACTTCCGACTGATGACTTTCTAGTGAAATTATGTTGTGCGACTTCACGGCCGGTGTCGAAGTGGTATCTTTCCTGCATGTCCGAGTCTTAGCGAGGGACAAAAATCCGTACCCTTACCGCCTTCCTGATGCTCCCCCACTTGACCCCGATGCCTGTCAGTATTTTGTTCCTCTGTTCCAATATGACTGACGTCATCTATTCCTGAACCCAGTGGGTCGCACATTTGAAGCCATGCACTCCGGCTCATGGCACAATCGCTACCCAGGGGATTCTCGCATTGTGCTTGACCTGCCTGGTCTTATCTCACTGTATGATATCGCACTGGCACCTTCCCTCGTCCCAGTTCGCGCGGGTCTTGAACGGTTGGATCACCGCGTCCTCGGAATCTCGTCAGAGGACATATCGCAGGTGAAGAGAAAGCTCACCGAAGTTATCAGTCGATCAGACCCGGGCAGCGGTATCGACTGGAAAACCCTCACCCACGTCATCGTTGATCGATATGCGAATCGGCTCGAGTTGATGCAATATCTCCTCAATTTCACCTCATCAGATTCGCAAGAAGTCTTTGAGCGAGCAAAGCTCGCGCAGACCCAGCTCCGCATCATGCTTACACCATATCTATTAAATGATACCGTCGTCCCAAGTGCAGACACTCCAGGCGTACATCCGTCGCAGTGGGCATCCCGATTTTCAGGCTATGTGCCACAACACACACTACCGTGATGACAAACAAAATGACCCTTAATGACGTCTTCGGAACGCCTGTTGCTCAAAGCCATTGGGGACACAACGAGAGAAATCTGTCGTGTCACTACAAATATGTGGGCTGTTGGTGTCATGAGCGGGTTCGACGTCCTTTTTCCTACAGAACTTAATGGGGAGCCTAATTTCGCTCAAATAATGAATGATTGGAAACAAGACATCCAGAAGCTGATGTCTTGGTTAGACTGGAGTATATGGATTAAATGCAGACCTGCCTGCAGTCCAGAGGTGGGATCTAAAGAACTTCTTTCCTAGCCCAGTCGGACTGAGCATGATCTACTTCCAGGAAATGTGCTATCTTCCTACTTGGCCCATGAATGCGCCAGGGCGTAGACGTCCACCTCCGCGGAACACCACGGATGCACCAGCAGAAGTAGATGATCTCGCTGATCGAGTCGGGCATCCACCCGAAGATTCAGCAATCGCGGATGCGTCTTTCTTCATTGAGACGCCAACGGAGGAATGGAAGAGGCCTCAACCGAAGTGCATCAGGCGCCTCCCGCCGTACGAATTTTGATCGAGATGGGCTTTCACGCGCACGAACCACATTGTTCGTGCAGTTGTGAATCATCCAAACGTACCTTTTTACCTAATAGTCCCAGGCTGCTTGAGGTTCACGGACATGTTTCTACTGGGAACGCAAGTATTGGTATATATATGTGATACAACGCCTAATGAGGTATACAATGCAGCTGCACCGTGAAGAATGAATTGTAAGTGAAGCATGCCTGCACTGCAGGTTTCTTGCGACATGGTTCCAAACGGCCTGCGCAGCTGCCGAATATGGCTTAACAAGGGAAAACAACAGACTTCGATGTATGCCCCATCGGGGTTTTTAACTTCAGTTCAAGAGAAGTTGGACCAAGAAATCACAGAGTCTCTCCATTCGGCATCCAAGCCAGCCTGGAGTCCGCCTGCACTGGAGCTGCGAATGGGTCTTTCTACGCGCAGTCCCTTCGTGGGCTTGATAAAGACCCATGCAGGGACAAAACCAAGCTGTACATTGTCTCCGATACTCTCCACCCTAGCAGAGAGTCGCGAGGGATTGAATATGGATAATGAAGAACGAGAGCGACGAGAGTTGTTTTGCGCAACTAGGCACCAGCCGTCATCAAACGACTGCAGAACGTGGAGTTGCTCTCCTACACGCGAAAGAGGGAGTTCATCAGGAAGCACTGGTTGGTAAAATTGCCGAACTGATCGGGACTGGTGGGAAGCTGAGGATCGTGAAGATGCTCGTGAATGCGAGGAACGCAAGCCAGGAGGAGCTCGAGGAGATAAATGGGATTGGCCCGAAGCAACTGACGCGCAACTGTTGCGCGGATGCGAGGGATTGAGACTAGAGAGTGCACGGGGACGTGGCAAGGGAGCAGCACATGCTGCAGGAAGTTCAGAGGAAGAAACATGGTCGTGTCTTGAAGGGTTTGCTACTTGAGCAGGACGAGGGACAACGACCTTTTGTGGGAAGACGATAGTTGACGGCTGACTACTGTTGACGGCGTGAGTAGACCTATATTTATGGGATGAGATATTGATTCTTACGGGAGCTGGCTGCCGGGCTCGTTCATTTCTCGAACAACACCTCGTACATTGAGGAAAGCTGCACCCCGTTCTTCCGCACGTTTTGCCTGCAATTTGCGGCGGAAGAACCTCAATGCAAGCCATATCACGGAAGTAGCAGCAAGTAATCCTGCGAGGGTGAACCCGACTATGTAAACGGTTCTGCTGATTGGAAGGACGCTTGGAGCATCGGTGGAATCGGATCTTGAAAGGAGATATGGAGCCATTGTAAGCAATACCAAAGAGTAATTGAAGCTGAAGGAGATTCCGGAGATTCGTCCACTACAACAGAGTAGATTGAAAGGGTGTCGGTAATACTAACGAGTGCTTGGAGAAGGATCGTGATAAACAAGGAATGTGAACAGAGCTGCAAAATATGGAAGAGACCAAGTTGAACGAAATTCGTTCGACGTTGACACTCCCTGCTCAACTATAAAATAGGGACGTGAGTGGTTGACTCAAACGAGACCTGGATCAGAAAAGAGCAACTCACCGAGCCAGCGCAAGCTATAACAGGCAGATTCAGAAGCACCCAGATGGCAAGAGTAGAAAGAAAATCACCTGAGATATTTGAGGACGTTCATAATTGTGTCCATGATCTTGTTTTCTAGAAATGATGTGATGAGCGCTGGGCTGCCATACCAATAAGTAAAGTTCGTTTCCAAGGCAGTTCAAAAAATAATAATATTTTTAACAAGTTACCTTATCAAAATTAAATCTCTCGGGGATTGGGCTATTTTATTGCTCTTCCCCGTTGTTCTTGAAGTGCCTGAGCTCCGGGGACTTCACAACTTGATGTTCCAGAGGATACGTGCACCTGGTCAGGAAGTTCCCATTTTCACGACGCTCGATCTATTAATGAAAGAGGACATACAAAATCCAAACGGTCATATGTTTGAATCACGATATGTAGCGGCCATAGAGTGGCCATAGTCGAGATTTACGACAGGAGCTGGCTAGCTCCTCAAGGCCTCATACATCATGATCACTAGGCTGGTAGATCATGATGGTACGATTAAACTTATTATTATCATCTAATTCAAATTGCCAGTTTCGGCCGGGCCTAGTCAAATCCAACAGGCCCTACGGTATACATGATTTTTCATTCATAAACCCATGGCACCGTGGCGGCTTACTGCGAAATGAATGCTGGACAATTGGGCATGCACACTCTGCCCGTAATGACGAACCTTCGACTTCTGCTTCTGCGGAAGATGAAGATGAAGGCTACCTAGTACCGGTGGGAGGGATCACGCGTTATTGCCACCTATCACTTCGACCGACTTTGATTCCACTAGTACAGTAAGTGCCGATTGCTCAAAAATTTGCGGCTCGCTGCGAATTTCCTGTTGATGACATGTCTGCACTAGCGCTTAGATTTCAGATCATATGTCATCATGCAGTGCTCTCTGTGCCGCTATCAGGTAACGTGTTTTGTTTTACCTTCGTCATGCAAACTTGTCATTCTGGTATAGACTCATCTCAAAAAACTCATTCTGGCACTTCCGCATTTCAAAGGATTGCTCGTAGACACGATCATTGCAACACCAAACAAGTTGTTTACACTGCAGCGTCGAAAGTGGACTTCCGAACTTCGCATATCAGAACCACTAGTTGTGCCCCAGACGTCATGCACACAATTGGTGCATCCATCAGCACAATAATACCATTCACAGGCGGACCTAGAGGGTCCCTAACAACCTGGAACCCAAAGGTCGGTCGAAAATGATGAAAGCGCTGGTGTCAATATGAAGGCCTTTAGAAGTTCGGGTCCAGGAATGGGGTATTCTATGAACACTACATACGAGGTCGGCAGGTCACAAATAGGTTCTTAGAATGAAATGGCTGTTGAAGTCCATGACAGTGATATTTCCATACTTACATCTTATACATACATACGAACCGAACCATAACTGACTGAGCTTGCCCATCAACAAATTACCGGGCTCCTTTTTCGTTTGTAAATTACTCAAACGGTCAAAAACGATACCTTAGACGGTATTCACTTTATTACTATCTTTTGGCCCGGAGTTGCAAAATTTAAAATGGTCCAGCAGAGTTGTACTGCACCGCGCTTTTTGCATGTTCAGACCGGCATGGCATCTGGTATCATCACAGTGGAGCGGTGTATCCGCGACAATGTGCCTGCATGTCACGAGCAAGGCAAAGCGGTGAAGAGCACTGCTCTACGACAACTTGAAAGCCCGAAGGACACCGTGACTGACTCAGTGACTTGCCAAACTACGGTGCTACTCGACTGCTACTCTACTCCTACCCCCGAGGTCCCCCACTCCAACGGCTTGTAAGATTAGTACGCAGGGTCGGGGCCTGCGTGTCTCCCGTCTACCCTAGTAGTTAACCTATTTTGATGTGGCATCGTTGAGTCACAATGCAAGCATTGAAAGTTTTGCAACTCTGGTGGGTTGTTTGGACAAATTAGGAACGAAAGGCTTTGACATACAAAGACAAATAAGAATCGCAGCATCCTCAATTACAGTGACTTGACAGGGACTTGCGATAAAGACTTGTTTCTAAGGATGTCAGTCCTTGCGCCTATTATTTGCGACAATGGAACTGGATACTCGAAGATAGGGTAAGCACGAAACGATCAACTCTGATGCACTCACTCAAGGTCGATCGCAGCTTCGCAGGAAATTCTGATCCATCATAGTGAGTCCCACCATTCCATACAAGATCGCACTTGTCAGACGTGCTTTGAATGACTCCAGCGTTTTCCCCACTGCAATTGCTACACGTGGACCTGCTTCTCAACCTACTCGTGGTGGTCCTCCAATTCCTTCGAAACCTGGGAATGTCGCATCGAAACGCGGTGTTGAAGACCTCGACTTCTTCATTGGAGACGAAGCACTTGCCAATGCGAAGACACCTGGTTATGGGGTTCACTATCCCATTCGCCATGGCATGATCGACAACTGGGATCACATGGAACGATACTGGGAGCAAACCATATTCAAGTATCTACGGGCCGAACCAGAAGATCATTACTTCCTTTTGGTATGACATCATTTCATATTACACGTTCCAAATGTTCTGATTATTATTTGTCTCATAGACTGAGCCTCCGCTTAACCCTCCAGAAAACAGAGAGCAGACAGCCGAAATCTTCTTTGAGTCCTTCAATATCAAGGGTCTCTACATTGCTGTACAAGCTGTGCTCGCCCTTGCCGCATCCTGGACATCCAACCGCGCTACAGACAGGACGCTCACCGGTACCGTCATCGACTCGGGAGACGGTGTCACGCACGTCATCCCTTGTGCGGAAGGGTACGTCATTGGAAGTGCCATTAAACATATCCCCATCGCTGGTCGTGACATATCACAATTCGTGCTCAACTTATTGCGTGAGCGTGGTGAAATGGCTGCCGTTCCACCAGAAGATCAGCTGCGGGTCGCTAGCAAAGTGAAGGAAAACTACAGTTACACGTGCCAGGACATCGTCAAAGAGTTCCGAAAATACGACGCGGAACCCTACAAATACTTTGAAAGATATGAGGGTGAGCATAGCGTCACCGGCAGAGTTAGTACCCATTTTCGAGCATGTTTCACCGGTTATTGAATGCATGCGTTTTCACTAGAAATATTCCATTGATGTGGGTTATGAACGCTTCTTGGCTCCGGAGATATTCTTCAACCCGGAGATCTATTCTTCCGACTTCCTTACACCTCTCCCGGATATTGTTGATGATGTGATCCAAGCCTCTCCGATCGATGTCCGTCGCGGCTTGTACAAGGTGACCAGTCTTCTCGACTTTTCATTTACGCCTGCATTTTGATTACGATTATGCAGAATATAGTTCTCTCTGGAGGTTCTACCATGTTCCAGCATTTTGGTCAGCGTCTCAAGAGAGACCTAAAGCAGCTGGTTGATCGCAGACTCGAGGCTAGCGTCGTTTCAAGTGGCAGTACTACCAAGGTCGGCGTTCAACACTTCTGTTTTCTCCGTCTTCTAACGAAACAATAGTCGTCTGGTGTGGATGTGGATGTAATTTCGCACAAGCGCCAGCGGTGAGATCCAGGTTCTTCGTATGTTCCACACCAAAACTGACTTCCTCTCAAGATATGCCGTGTGGTTTGGTGGCTCCTTGCTTGCATCATTGGTATGGATTATTTTAAGCTAAGTTTCATTACAATTTAACCTTTATTCCAGCCCGAGTTCTATACGTCTTGCCACACAAAGGCACAGTACGACGAAATCGGCCCGAGCATTTGCAGACGGTATCAAATATTTGGTAGTGCTACGTAGACTGCGGAGGCTGCGGATTGTTGAGTTCAGACGTATACCGGTCCGAGTTGAAAATCGACAATTGTATTGAATCCTGAACGATGTACCGATGTTCTTCAGCAAACACGCCGTTTTGAAAGAGGCTCTAGAAATCCATTTCGTGTAGGACAAGGTATGCACAGCTCTAGTTCCGCAAGGTATGAGTAACTCGGTCACCAAAGAATGCCGCAAACTGTGTCCTCTGCGATGAATGCCGGATGAGGGCATCCAGCATGGCTGATAAAGTCTATTGATAGCAAGTCGCCGCCTGTCAAACAAACATTTTGGTCGTGATGTATTACATCTATACACTTGACATAGAAGATGATATCTACAATTTTTATATTGCCGATGCTGGGCAGTACGTACTCAAGGCAGCTTCCAACGGATAACACTAGGTTGACGTCGTGTATTCGCAAAGCACGATGCGTAAGCACTGGAGAATCGTACCGCAGGAATCGGTGGAGTTTGGCTGCGATCGGGCGGGGAAGCTGGAGGTTGCAGATCCCCCTGAGCCGATATATCAGATATCCGAGTCGTGCACAAAGGGCGAGTAAGCCAGTAAGACCATCGTTCCTCTGGTATGGATGTGAGAGAGGTTCTACGTGCAATTTTTAGTCGTTTGACCGATACGTGAGAGACAGACTTCGGGGAGGCGTTTCCTACTTCCGAGTCGCATGGATCTTCAGCGATTTTTTTGTCCTGGGCATGTACATCGAAAGGCACATCGGGAGGTACCAGAGGGTGAGTGAGCCATGAGAGCAGGTCTTCCTCTTGTCGCGCACGGCCCCAACCACTAAGACGACGTCGTTTCCTCGCTATCTTTGATGAATTTTCCTGTTCCAGGGAGCTATGCTGTCGTTTTGTCTTTGCTTTCCGTCCAAGCTGCGGTGGACGGTGTTTGGCCAACGTTCCGAGTGCCTCAGCCACGAATGATCGCAAGCGCTGGAACGCCATTTCAGCTCCGGCCGCATCGATATCAGAATCGTGCTGGGAGCGGATGACGTGCGGAGTTTCTCCTACGGGTGCATCCGAAGAGCCTGATCAGCGAAGGTGCTCAAATTTAGATCTATGCTACAATCTCACCTGAACATTGAGGGACCGAAATTATTTCCAGCGTTTCTACTCCAACGGAGTGATCGTCAGTGTATTTTCTGTTTGGGGGACAATCGTCAGTAAAAAAAAACACCGTATGTGACATTAACGTACCTTTCGTCACCCGCAACGGGATCATCCTCATCCATTTGGTCCTCATGCGTAGCAGCAGAGCCCGACCAAAGCATATGGAGATAACGACGGGAGAGTCGAAGTCGCGGCATGTTCTGTTCGGGACGGTTAATCGGAACGGTGCAAGATTCAAGAAGACGTACGAAAGTTGTTGGAGCAGCTTCAACACTGCCACCAGCGTTATTTTGGGAGAGTGAAAATTTCATCGTTGAGTGTGAAGTAGCATGCGTTCGTTAACGGGCTATCTTATAACTGACCAGTGTGGACAGTGGCGTCGTTGAGAGTAAGGAAACGACAATGGGCGGTCATAGCAGTCCACAAGCATACAATTTCAACCAAGAACATACCTGATGCTATTGTCGACGATACCGTAAGTGTGGACAAGTCTGAGACTTGTACGAGCTAAATTTATGACAAGTGTGCACGGAAACGAGCAAGTGTGTTAAGGGACTGAACTTTGAAAGTAACCGTGGTGCTTGGGCTCTTGGTCCCACACCAAAGCAAACTGTGGAGAAGCAGATGCTATGAGTATGCATGTTCGCTTTGCAGAATAACCGTATCATGTGCGGGGTCTGAGGGCCTCGATGACACCAGTGCTAAATCATAGATGAAAGTTTGAGAAAACGTGATTCAGATTATTGAATCGGGATGGTCTGAAAGTGTGGTAATAAACGGGTTGAAAGAGTCGGCGTGTGCGGAGAATGCTGCCCCGGAAAGCGGAGGCTGATCGGGGAAGAGTTAGTTGACAAGCAAGCGATACGACTTCAATTATCCGTGGCAGCGCCAGACAACAACTGGTTACGAAAGCAACCGAAAAGCAGTGAACAATTTAATTTTAAGGAAGCAAAGTAACCCACAGCCACGGGACATTGCTTTCCAAGGGTCGACGTCGGGCTCGATTCGAATTTGAGAATCTTGAATATAAACAAACGTCTTTAAGCTGTTACCGACGTCGAAGGCCACTAGTACTTGTACTCACCGGCACTGATTCAGGCCTTAGGACTAGCTCATTGCAACACCCTACAGCGGTCCGCCTATTGCCGACTTGCCGTGAGTTCACTCTCCCATAATGGTGTCTTTGATTCTCATGCACTCTTTGAATTCTACTTATCCTTAAGTATCTCGTCAGGACTCATCTCTTCTATCCGTGTCTCTATTACGTCCGGCCCAGCTCGTCGGGCTGACCACAAGTCATTCCGTGGCTCTTTGACTCCGTGCTCCATCATTTATCGTCGTCCTACAGACTCATCGTCTACGATGTCTAGTTCTGTTCACGATATGAGCACTAATGGCTCTTCTTGGGATCAGAACCACCGATTCACCCAACAGCATCTGTTGCTCGAAGATGAGGTCCCGTATCTCCTTGCAGCCCAAGATACTCCCCAAAGATTTCTACAGCAGACGCATTCTGGTGCCCAGCACCTTCTTAACAGTTCTCTGTCTCAATATAACTCACATCCGTCAAATCAATACAATTCAGCTTCTGCCTACCAACAGCGCTCTCCTTCCTTTGCACCATCACCTAATATGACTTCAAACCCAAATCAATCATTGAATCCCATTTCAACCGCATTCACATTCACTCCACCAGATTATAATGCTAATTCTACTCGTCCTGGATATCAGACTGCATTCCAATCAGGAATGAACGCTTCAAGCGCTCCGGGCACACACAACCAACTCTCTGCAACATCCGTCACCCCTTCGGGTCCCGGGTTTCCTATGCAGTTCCCTTACACTCATCGACCACCTATTCGCCAATCCGAGATCCAGTCGCAGATCATAGACAGTATGCACGCAGTTATGACCCAGCAATCAAAACGTCATAGAGGCGATGACGATAGTCACCACCCTCAAACTGTAGTGCCCGACCCACAGGAACTGCTAGAGTCCTCAAACAGGCCGAGACCGTGCGTCCCTGGTTAATTCCGCCATACCCAAACTAACAAATCACACAGAACAGGTGCTTGTGCTCGGTGCAAAAGCCTGAAGGTACGTGAGTATATTCTGACATCATTTCAAATATCGAGACACCTCCACCACACTAGGTCCGATGCGAATTCAGGGGTGATAATGACACCTGCAAAAGGTGCACAGGTGCCGGTCAGGACTGTGTCATTCCGGGACGCAAACCACGACGAACCCCACCGTATGTGCTCATTTGGTTTTTAGCTGAGCAAGTTAAGACATTACATTAGGAAACGAGAGCACCTTTTGAACCAGATTCGTGAACAAGCTGCTCAAATTCAGGAGCTTATGGCTCAGCTCGATGTTACCAACCGACAAGTTGCACCGACGTCAGTCAGTAGTCCTTCGACCACTACGATACCAATGTCCCCATCGTCCTCTATCGATCTTCATTCTCCTACCCTCGACCCTAATACCCCGGCGGATGCCGTTCCACCCAAACCGGAGGTGCAGGATTGGCTTGCAAAAGCCCGTGCCTCAATCGACACCTTTGGTGGCTTGATTGCCCTTGGCGGTACAACGCATTCCATGCTCGTGGATGGTGACCCTGAGAAGTTTGATAGCGACGAGGAAGAGTACGGCTTTGATTTCGAAGACGACGATACCGACGACGAAGGTAATGGATACACCACTGCAGAGGAAGGCGGACGCAGCCGTCGCTCACAGTCAAGGGAAAGGCACTCTCCGACTGCGCTGGCCAAAAAGAAGGAGATTGCTGATAAAAAGTTGGGCATGCTTCCCCACGCAGATAGTCCATTTGGTTTGATGGCCCATATGGCCAATCGTGCTAGAGGAAAGAGTGCAGAACCAGAACCCCAGGATGCTGTTGGCGTAGCGAACGTTGACTTTTTTAGACCATGTAAGTACATGCTTTGCTGCAGTACATGTTCCAAGTCCTTATCTCGTCTAGCTCCTGCTCCCGATCCTATCCGGTCGAATCCTTCAATTAGCAGCCAGCATCTTCCTCACATTCTCACTCGCGAGATTGTTACTCTAGAAGACGTTGAGAATCTGTTCAAACTGTGAGCTTTATTTTTTTCATGTGTACGATTCCCTTATCAAAACTGCTCAGATACTTTGATAAAATGAACCAGTCAACGTCATTGATGGACCCCGTTCTTCATACTCCACAGTACGTGGTTATGAGAAGCCCTTTCCTCTTCACAGTTGGTGAGCCGATCTGACTTTTACTCTTCTTCTCGTGTTAACTTTTGTGCTCAGTGTGTGCTGTCGCTTCTCGGTTCTACACCCAGCGTCCAGGTCTCTACGCAGAATTGATGCGTTACGCACAGCTCGCGGCGGGCACTGCGCTTATCACCGGTCCCAAGAATGAGGAGATGTGTCTTGCTTACCTACTACTACAGCTTTACCCTGTTCCCTCACGACGCTGGGAAGAGGATCGCAGCTGGGTGTACCTTGGTGTCGCAATCCGGTAGAGATCTCTCTCTACTATGTCTCACGGCATCTCCTTACGTTGTTCTAGACTGGCCCAGGACCTCAACCTGAATAGGCCTACAACTACAACGCCCCTGAATGAGCACCACGCTCGTGTGCTTCTTAATCGCACGCGTGTCTGGATTAACTGCTTTAACTTGGACCGGTCGGCAGGTGCTCAGTACGGCAAAGTACCCATTATTCCTAATTCTGACTATATTGCAAACCATTTGCACGATTGGTGGTGCTCTTCCAAGTATAATGTCGAGGACTTCGACATTCACATCTGTATCTACTCCATGGAGCTCAATATCGTCGCAAAATTCATGGAGAAGATTCGCAGCGACCCAAACCACCCTACCGGACTCAACAAGGTATGTGTTCATTTGTTCCCACGATCCCTTACGTCAAAACTGACAGATCCGAAGTCTGCCAATTTCACTCAGATTGCTAGTGAAACCGACGACGAATTGGCTCGCGTCGGCGCACATTGGTTCCATCAGCTAGATGGGAGTGAACCGAAAAGCGCCATGCTTATTTTCCGCACTGGTCTCTTGAAAATGGCCTTCAGCTATGCCCGTTTGGTCGCCCTTTCTTCTGGCTTGCAGCATGCTAAAGAAGACTGCTTGGATGAAAATTCATTTTTAATGAGGGTCAGTATTTACTCGTTTTTTCTCTCGTTTTCATAGTCTCATTCCTTCTAGTGTTTTACGAGGGCATCAGACGTCATCAATGCTTTTGTTCACCGATTGTACACTACCGAAGAAGAGAGTAAGTCGTGTATTTCATGGAGCCCATCATCTCATCTCACTGGTCGACAGGAGTTCTTCTACGCCATGCACCCGATGCGCAATATGTATTTATTAGTTTTGCTGGCGCCTTCCTTGTTAAAGTACGTTCCTTGCTATACTCACTTCTCAGTACGTAACATTTTCCGCATAGCTTTTGCAACCTAAGTACGCTCAGTACTTTACGTATGAGCGACGGGTCGAAATTCGGGACCTCGTGCAAAAAACGATTGATCTCCTCGGAGCGCCGGACGTAGCTCTTGACGAAAAGCATGGACCTTCCCTATATTCTCGTTTCCTGGCCGGCCTGCTAGCTAGTCCTATAGTCAGAATCGACCTGACACCAACCTCGGGGAAGTCACCCTTGATCAGCCCCGGTGTCCACAAACGAGCACGCAAGCCAAAGACCAAGACTCGTGGCGGTCTAGTCGCAGATAGCTCTACATCTGCTGACTATCCATCTCCATCCTCTGCCAACTCCGGTTCTCCTTCTCCTTCATACATGTACCCAGGTGCAGAAAGCTTTTTGGAAGCCCAGCTGCAAAACCACACGACATCTGAAATGTTCCATGACCCGTTACCGACGATTTTGGACGCCGACCTTTTGGAGTCGGCACAGATCATGGCTGATCCTTTGTGGCAGGATACCTTGGTCCCTGGTACGCCTGACACTATCACTATCGAAGTTCGTTTTACTGACAGCTCTCACTGCAGGTTTCCAGTGGATGAATCAAATGTCATACAGTACTTCTGTAACCCAAGACTATTCGATGTATGAGCCACATTTTGGTTCGATGACATGAACGTCATCGCCATACTTTCTCAGACTCTGTATCTTTTCAGTGCTATGTTGTTGTAATATGTGGTACTGTTGTTTGTTTTTTGCGTTTTTGTCTCGTGTATTATGCTATATGATATGCGGTTTTATATTGGAACTAAAATTGTATTCTTGGAATATTTCGTGTCCAGACTCCACTGTCTATGGTATCCCACTGGTAGTCGCACGCCTATGAAAAAATGTATTCATTGGAGTATGGAAGAAGTGTCTGTTGTGGTTAGAATGAGCAGGAGTAAGTACAAGACAAGGCACGATGAGCGGCAGCGAGGCGAGCAAGTTGCCATAACGGCTGGGGCCCCGTGAAATTGTGGCTGCCGACACTAGGACTGCAAAGCCGAGCGGAGTTGTGACTGTCAACCAATTTCCAGTCGCGAAGCTGGAGGCACCAAAATCTCGCAGAGAACTGCACGAATCCCACGTGTGACCCATAACCATTAGTTATGCAAAATATAGCAAAAATACAGTATCCGTAAGTAAAGTACAATACAACAGAGCTCTCTAATTATCAAAGCCGGGCATTCTTGGGCATGGCCCTCATCGCTTGTCGAACACCAAGATCAGAAAGGACGTCCTCCGCTGCAGAACATGAGCAAATAAATCCATATATAAATCCATGAAAACAGGAACTTACCACCTCCCAGCAATGCATCGAAAGTCACAGTGCGATGGTACTGCAAAGGCGCCAGTAAGATAATGATAGTTGCTGGAAAGTTCGACTTACATGTTCGATAAACCTTCCCATACCTGTCCGTGTGATACCACGGCCACCAAATATCTGAACAGCATCTTTTGCAGTTTCCTGTGCACACCGCGTGCTATAGCTCTTCAAAAAGGCGATTTGACTGAGGAGAAACAAAATTATCAGTGGCAGTTACACAGGGAATATATCGACCGCCTACCCGGCGAGCTTCTGAGATTGTTGTTTGTATGTCTAAACCATTCGTAAGTACTATGCAGCAGAAAAATGAGAATGGCGAACTGTTCTTACCATATGGCACATCTGGTACGTGATGTTTTCCAGCCAACTCTGTACACTCTCCGTCCGTGCTATCATTGCGGCAAGCTTGGAGCGAATTACAGCTTGTGATATCAAGGGCTTCCCAAAAGCCTTCCGTTGAGTCGCCCATCTAGTTTCGCCGTCAGAAGGAGAAATACAAGATGATGGACTCGACATACTTCAGACACTCTTCAACAATACTGCGCTGGCTGCGAGCGGAACTACAACACATGACCCACCGTTCGTGGTTGAAATTGCTATGACACAAATGAGTGTTCAGGTCTCACGTCATACACCATTGTTACATACCTCAAAATGACGAAAATTCCTCTGCCTTCCTCACCAAGGGTGTTCTCAACAGGGACACGAACGTTGTCGAAGGTGATGTAGGCTGTGCCTGCCGTTGTCGAATAGCTTGTTTTGATTTGCCGCGTTTCTACGCCAGGTCCACGCTCGACAAGAATAACAGTGAGACCATCCTCAGTCTTACAGCCTATGGTGAAGCTGAAAAGGACGTTTAAATTTGCTGCTGAGAACTGGTGATCATACCCACTAGTCTGCGAAACTATGCAAAACGCGTTCATCAGTAGTTCAGAATGACGCTTGGTTACTCACGTAGCATTGGTGATCCATTTCTTGGTTCCATTTACAATCCATTCCTTGCCATCCTCGCTCTTGACAGCAGTTGTTTGTAAACCCATAACGTCACTCCCAGCCTGGGCCTCCGAAATGGCGAGGCAAATGAACTTCTTGCCGGCGAAGACTTCAGGCACAACGCGAGCCTTCAGTGCTTCCGAGCCAAAATTGAGGACCGGTGGCAGTCCAATTACCTTCCCTCCCATTAAACCTGTGCATATTGGGTAGGCGCAGTCGACTACATAAGAAACACTTACCATCTCCGTATCCTCGTGCACCACATCGTGCAATTTCTTGAGTAATAATGAGCTCGTGGAAATAGTTAAACTAGGGAAACATCTAAGTTAGGACGAGACGAAGAACTCAGGCTATGATTGTGCTTACCTCCTCAGGTTTCACGAGACCATCCATTAATGATAACCCTTGAAGGTGCTTTCCTGGACCCATACGCATTGCGTGCAAGTTCACTGCACTATACAGAAATAAGAACTTGAACGCTGAGAAGTAGATTGACATACGCCATGTTGTCAATTACGCTTTGACTGGGTCGCTTGCCATCCTCTTCGCGGGCCTATCACGGAAATTGAATAAGGCACGGATCATGAAAGAAATCCTGAAACGTCACCTGTGCATCCTCATAAATGAACTCGTCAACAAAGCGACGCATGGCCTGTTGGAATTTCCTGTGGTTCTGTATAAAAGTTCAGGGAAGAGCTCCGGAAAATGATTGTGACAGCTCACCTCGGTGTAGTAAGGACTGTGGTACCCTTGTGACAGCCAGGTAGGCTCTGCGTATGGGACATCACTGATTTCTCCGACAATTCGGCTGTATATGGCAGGTTGTTCGCCTTGAATAGTACCAATCTGAAGGCGTTGGTATTGAGGTCGCTCCAAAACTTCATGACGATGCAACCCGTAGAATGCTTCTGTAGCATCCTGACCAGCTGAGGAACAAATTCCGTTTGAGACTGTCATGCATAGCTGAGTCATGGAAGGTGTCCTACCAATTTCCCCATCCGTCAAGACGGAAATCCCTCCGGGATGCAAGTCCTTAAACCGGGACAGATTATATACCTTTGCGTCGATGACCACCCACTAAAATAGATGATTGTTCCTTTCAGTAACAGTTCAAGATGCTCAACACATACCAAGTCATCTGGTTTGTTATGCTATATCTCCGCAACGGTCTCAGAAAGTGATCTCAAGGCCTTGAATTTTTGGACGCACCTCAGCAACCTCCTCCAGAGTAAATTGTTTCAGTTCTTTGGCGGCCATGGGAGCAGGATTGTCTTAAAAGACCCTGTCGGACTCGGAGCTGTCACATCTTATACGGCAGACTTATCTTCAGTTTCACGTGTTTGTCCAGTTCGGCAAAGCGAGCCGGCTCGACATGACATTGACAGATGGAATGCTTTCAAGTTTGATGAACCAAACTGATTACCCAAGTACTCTTTTGCTTCCGCTTCTTGCCATCAGCTGCAATCGTGGACTGTCATCGCTTCTCGCGACGTTGCGCTAACGGCCAAGGTACTGTACAATTTAGTCTCTGTTATTTTCCGATCTGTCTGACGACAATTACACGACACAAAGTTGACCCCAGCAATCACTGCAAGTCAGCGACAAGCGGCAAGCTGCTTATTGTTTTTGCATAAAACATCCGTTAGTAACCTTCTAGCCTGCTGGTATCCGTAAAGCAGCTAATGGATGATGGGGCTTCTCAGAAATAATGAGTTCAACGAGCTCAGTTTGTTTTCTTGACGATGATTCCCAGAGAGAACTGGACGACCTTAATAAACGAATTAACGCCCTGCAAGAGAGGAAGCACGCCCTAACGTTGGAAGCCTTTCAAGTCCACACCACCATACGCACTCTTCAAAGTCGCGCTGCTCATATTACGAACAAGACTGCTCCTGTATCTCGTCTTCCATCAGACGTGCTTGCCATCATCTTCGAGGAGAGCCGGCGACTACTTATACCTTGGAGCAATGTAGTAAAGCGCCCACTTTCTCCCGAGGTGCAGCTATCCCACGTTTCATCTAGATGGCGGGAAGTAGCACTTTCAACCCCTGCTTTGTGGACAACTATCAGGTTCCCGATTTTGCACAAAGAGGCTGCTGCTATGGCATATCTCCAGCGGTGCAATCAAGCGCCCCTCAGTGTTCATATAGGCCCAAGAGTTTCTGATCCGGATTCGCTGCGCTTTATTACCGCGCAATTCGTGCCCCGGATGAACCAGATTCGCGAGCTCACTTTCGACACCGACGAGCGCCAGGAACTCTGCGCATTGTTTCCCTTGTTCGCGGAAGAACCCGCTTCGATCCTAAGAAGATTGAAGATTTGTTGCAATGACACCCGCACCGCTTCTGGTGTTGTTCCACGCCTCGATATTTTCAAAGCAGGAGCGCCACTCTTATCTGATGTACGCCTCAGCGCCCTTGCAGTCGGACTGCCCCAGTGTTCTGCAACCACTCTGCATCTTGAACCGCAACCTGGACCCGGGAATCCTTTGTCCAGACTTGCTTTCCTCGATATCCTTGCTCCCCTATCAGCTACCCTTACTACCCTACATCTGAAAGGGTTCATTAGCGGGTTTCACCAGGAACCTGGTAGCGCACCTGTTGAACTCCCTGCCCTGAAGGAGTTGTTAGTGTACGGTAATACCCTGAACCACGGGTTCAACGTTTTTCGCAACATCTCCACCCCTGCCATCAGGACTTTGTCCCTTGTCAATGTTAGACGACAGGGCTTGTCTTCAATCCACAAATTTATTGCCAGGACATCTCCAGAGCACTTCCAACATCTCCATACATTGCGATACATAAACTGCGATATTGACGATGATCTCGACGTTTACCTCCCTCACGCAACATCTGCTCTCACTGAACTTGCTGTGTCTATCAAGCATCACACTCATCTCTTGCGACTCCTGCTGAACAGCGACAGACAAGCTGCCCTTCACGGGGTGCCTCCATTGTGGCGCAATCTTCACACCTTGACTCTTCATGTTTCCAAGCCATTGGACCGAGAAAGAGAGGATGTGGACTCCGACGAAGAAGATGATCCGCCCCCAACGATGGGACTACTATTGGAGGTAGTGCAGGAGAGGAGAGCGGTGGGCAAGCCCCTTGACCTCCTTCGGATCGAGGGCCCGCACGCTCGTTCATTCTATGAGGAGTTTACAACTCTTCTCGTGAAAATACACGAAGATCTTCACACCGAACTCTTTTCAGCATCTTTGCCTTCTTCAGTCGACGTTCAGGATTCAGAAGGGGATTGGGCGTTTGCTGCTCACTACATTGGAAATCAATATCGTCTTTTCATGTTCAAGAAGCACCAACAGTTTGCACCCGGTGCTCCAGCTATCCATCCCCGGGGGCTTCCAGTCATGGTATACCCTTCAACACATACACATGTTCCATAGAAAGATCTGTTTCTCTCAATCTAAACGGGACTTGATCCTCAGCTTTGTTGCTCGTTGTCTGTAATTTACTGTACTTCAACGTGATTTCACGTCATACCTAGGGCAATCATAGAAAAGCACAGCCACCGGAACAGTGGATGAAACTAATGCGCCACTTCCGTTAAATCATATGCGTGACTATGATGGAGCCAAGCCGCACTGAGCATCATGACAGAATTTCGGATCCGCACCAGCACCGATTAATTGCGCTTGGTCAGAGTCTTGTTTTCATTCTGTGACCTTCTACTGCTGGCTCACGCCCGCACCTTGTCCGATCAGGTAGTCCCCTCCGACATCAGCCTCACAAAAAACGTGTTTTCAACGTGTCTCTCAGCTGCCCTTTAACCCTGGGAGGTCTACGGGAAAATATCACTGAACTTCTTTGTTCTTCGATGTGAGCCTCATTAGACAACATGGCATCTTTTGCAGCAGCTGACTTATTTCATAGACGTGCCGTCGATGAACCACGACGAGGCTGGCGTCAGTAGCAACACTCAGGAAGATTTTGATCAGATAACACAACAAATTCGGGCACTTCAGTCTTCGCAGGACGAGCTGTCCCGTTCGATCCGCAATCTACAGGTCCGTGCAGCTCGTATACAGAATCAGAAGGCAGCGGTGTCACGTATCCCCTCTGATGTCCTCTCGATGATATTTGAGGAGTGCCGTCAGCTCAATCCACAATGGTCCGGCGTTCTCTTCATTCTCCACCAGTCACCCGTTGAGGTACGACTGTCGCATGTATCGAGCCATTGGCGTGAGGTAGCCCTCACCTCACCTTCCCTTTGGTCTTCTATTCATTACCCGTTCGCGCATAAAGAGGATCCGCTCATGGAATATTTGAAGAGGTCAGATGGGTCACTTCTCGACGTATACATCGGGCCATGGAGACAGCACCCTCAGATTGAGCGCGTGTTGACCGATATTATCTTACCACACCTTCCCCGTTTCAGACAATTGGTTCTTGACGCAGTTTCACGAGAGACTTTGACGTCGCTCCTCACAACGTTTCGTGACGTGTCCGCCCCTGCTTTGACACGGCTGCGAGTGATGTGCAGAGGACCAATGTCAACTGCAGGTCCCATCGCTTCTGCAAAGCTCTTCACCAAGGGAGCCCCTTTGTTATCCGATGTTAGGTTCGACAGCGTTGTAGTCATCCTGCCCAAAACAGAAGCAAAAACGCTCCATTTTTGCCCGCCGCTAGGGCCACCCTTCCCACTCACACGCGAAAAACTTTTCCGAGCAGTGTCGGCATTCCCATCCCTCCGTAGGCTCCATGTGAAATCGGCTATAGAGCTGAATATTGCAACCCCTATTCCGCTTATCCGCTTGCCCTCATTGAGGGAGTTAGTGGTGCATGGCCTCGCCGTGTCAACGGGCATACGTATATTTGATGTGATATCTACGCCAAATATCGAGAGCCTCTACCTCGTGGATATGAATTGCTCCGCAATATCTGCAATTCACAGATTCATGACACAGTCTTATCCGGATGCGTTCCAGTCCTTGCGGGTGCTACGGTATATCAGGTGCGAGTTTAGCGAGGACATGGACATCCATTTCCTTCGCGCAACCCCTGGTATCTCCCAACTGCTCATACCCGTCGATAAAACAAATTACCTGATGCGTATGCTCGTGAACAGTGACAAACAAGCGGCCATTCACGGCTGCGCACCACTGTGGCCGGAATTACGCACTGTTACCCTGCACACATCTGGGTACTGCGCGCAGGTGGTTGGCGCGGGTGGTGTCCCTGACGACGAGCCTTCGCCTACGATGAACCTCCTTCAGGAACTGGTTACAGGGCGAAAGATGTTGGGCAGACCACTAAGCAAACTCTGCTTTAAAGGACCCAATGCAGGACCCTTTGCGAACGAGTTCCATTGGGGGCTCAATCGAACGAAACATTTCGTACCTACCGAAGTTGTTTTCTGTCAAATCCATGCTTTGTCGCAGGATGGAGGGCAGGAATACGACTGGGCCGTTGTCGCTGAGGCATATGGTATGCAGTTGCGGCAGTTTCTTCAGCAGGTTCAAGGCATACGGCATCAGCTAGCTACTATTCTTCCACCTAATTTTTCGTTCCAGCAGCTACGAAGACGAGTGGACGGGCCAGCGTGATAGATATTCCACGAGAAAATCTGATTCATACCTTTCGCGTACTTAGTCGTCATCAGGTTCAGGGCATTACTATTCAACATTTATTCATGGTCTTTAAGACGTTATATTTCGTTCTTCATAATTTCGATTTAGGACGTTCTAGTTCTCGTGCTTCTTTACCCAATGCCCCTTCAGTGACAAGTTGCCTCATGTCCTCTTCAGACAATCCGAGTTCTCTGAGAATGTCGGCAGTGTGTTTCCCTGGATCCAGTGTTTTGATTTCGTCTTGTAGAGGTGATGGTGATGTTCTGCTGAGTGCTGGATGAGGCACAGGATAGGGTGATCCATGGAGCTGAGCTGCTTCCGTGGGAGACAGGACTGGAACTGCACAAGCGTCAGTGCCTAATGATGGCAAATCGATCAGCATGAGAACTCTTCTGTAATGTAATACTTGCCGTGAAAAACTTCCGTCCAGAAGTCTCTTGGTTGTGTTCTGAAACCGTCTTCAAGATACTTCCGAAGTTTGGGCCAATCTTCCTTCGTAGACTGCGTCGACCGCGACGGTGACCAACTCCCTTGCTTTCCACTGGATTTCATGACCTCGTTGAATTTGCCAATAAATTGCGCGAAGAACTGGGGCTCCAAACACCCTACGCTCATCCACTTTCCGTCTGAGCAGGTGTAAACATCGTAGAACGGCGCGCCACCGTCAAGGAGATTCGTGCCTCGCAGTCCTCCCCAGACACCGCTCCCAGCACTTAGAAGTGGAAAAGACGATACATAACGCGAACCAGAGACCTGCCACCTATATTTATAAATCATTGAGACTAAATGCCTCGGCACGTACCATGTCTACATTCACAACTTGTCCACGACCACTCCTACCTCGCTCGATCATAGCCAGTAATATACCATTCGCGCAAAGTAGGCCGCCTCCAGCAAAGTCAGCAATTAGATTCAAAGGAAAGGTGGGCTTGTCCACGGTTCCCGGAAGCATCTGCAAGAGTTCAGACATGCTTCGTCAAAGTACAAGCGAGCCGCACGGAGAGAATGCCGCTAAGGGCGATATAATTGATATCATGACCTATGGTGGAAATCTTAAACTAAGCCACGTGTACATGACGATACTTACCAGCCATAGTAGAGTGCGTGCCTTAAAATCCTTGAGAAGATGCGAGAACATACACATGGCTTGCGTACCATTTCTTGGGAACCTTGAGGGAGCATCAGCTGGATAGGATTTCAGAAGTTCATGTGTATCCTCACCCTGCGAGCCTTGCATATATAAGTTTGTCATTCAGACCTTCCCGCTTGTCACTTGTATGAAACACCTCAGGACCGAGCCCAAGCTTCTCAAGCACTCCAGGTCTGAATGGATCGATGATGACGTCTGCTTTGGCAATGAGGTCCTTCGCGACTCGCACTCCGCTCGCAGTCTTCATGTCCAACACAATCGACCGCTTTCCCGCGCAAAGCAGATCTTTGGAAGTTGAGGATGGACGATCAATGCGGATGACGGATGCGCCATTGTGAGCGAGTACCAGACCTGCGAATGGACCCGGTGCCAGGCCTGCGAACTGTGGATGTTCGTCGTGTTTGTTTCACTTCAAGCCCAACTGTTACGTACTTCTACTACTTTGATGCCGTTGAGCGACATTGGTTGGAGCCTCGCCGGCGTAAGTAGTCAGTGAGCGGTTAAACTCCTCTAGACAGACTTTTATAGGCGAAGGAAGATAGTCGCTCCTTCTAATAGCTAAGCACGGGTTTCCTCGGGTTGGTAGCTATGATGACACTCGAGCACTTCTCCGGTTACTTACAGAAGTTCAGCCGCCTCGTTCCTTTAAATGGTTGTTTGTCAGTGATAGCATTGGAAGGCATAGCCAAGCAAGACCAAATATCTTCCAAAACAACTCCATCACGTTCACACAGCTTGAACGTTCTGGGCAGCTTCAGGGTCGACCGTTTTCTAAGCTCCGATCATTTCTCCGTGATATAGGAACCTTTGGCGACTTGTTTCAATGTGCTTTTGGAAGTGACCTCCAGGCCCCAGGGTGATTATCTCCAATTTCTTGGTAATTCCTATGGACATATAGATAGTCCTGAAATTTGAATTCATCGTGGACCATCCGATGATCCGTATAAAACACCGCAAGGTGTGGTAAAAATGGTATTCTTTGACCCCACTGTTTCTTTCTGCGTGATGTGGTTATTGTCTACAGTTCTACCTTGTGTTGCGTTGGTATCTGCGAGACATGCTCTTTTGTCCCGCGATGACACCAGTCTGTCCAAATTGACGCTATCTGGCCCAGCCTCGCTCCCAATAGATGCAACACCACCCTTAAATCCCGCCCTCGCAAGTTTCAGTATTGAAACTACTTCCTTTGAAGAATTTATGGGAAATCAATCCTATCCGAACAAATTTTCTCAGAATCTCTTTGAGAACCTAAAGGATAGGACCGGGGTTCCAGCCGAAGTGCGCATTGGTGGCATCACCGCCGACTCGACATTCTGGGATCCGAACCAGGAGGCTGCGCTGTACAATTTCATCGACAGCAAGGGTGTACTAAGAAACACTACGCTTGGACCTCAGTTTTGGAACTCTGTGAAGCTTTTACCAGAAGGGACGAAGATCGTCATGACGCTCGTGGGTCATTTACTGATCAGATCATTGGGTGTCGGCATGTGACCGGTTCATGTAGGATCTAGAGAGTTTGAATTATACCGGAGCTCTTGATATGGCCGAGGCAGCATGGATGGGTCTTGGTTCACGCCAGATATCTCGCTTCGAAAGTGAGTCATTCGATCCCCTTACTGACGCTCCCGGTTCGACTATTCTCCGTCTTCAGTAGGAAATGAGCCAGATCAGTATTACATCAACCTTGATGCTCAGACTTATACGGCTATATGGGAGGTATTTCTAATTCTATTTCTGTCTCCTTGATGGCGAGGTCTTACACGTTCTGTATTTAGCCATGGACTGTCAATATCTCGAAGGCGTTGGGCATCGATTACCCCGAGTTTCAAGTCGGGGCGACTGTTAAAGACCCTTTGTGGCCGTATAACACCCCGCAAGCAGATGCACAGTTTGACTGTGTCAGTGCTCTGGCTGCTGGGGCCAACTGATGGACGCACTGTCATGACGTGTAGCGAACACACATACCAGTACAGCGTGAGGGAGCTCCCGATTGACACACGCCCAACTTGAACCTGAAATAGCCTTTATTTACAGGTTTGTGATCCAACTAGGGCCGCCGTAGCTACGTTGACCAACCTGGTAAGCTGTCGATTATCCATTGCAACTGTTAACTGCGATGAGTATTTAGGTAAATCACACACGCCTGGCCGAGTAAGTTATCTGTTGCTATAATCACAGCACACTAACCTCCAGTAGATATTTGGATCTTTGGCAGCCCCGTATCCACAGCGTTCGCGCCCAACTTGGACCTGATGCCTTTGTTATTGGTAAGGCAAATTGTAAGATTAAATATTGAATGTGTTGACCCACGACGAAGGTGAATTCAATTCTGTCTCCTGTGGTGGACGTGCCAATGTCAGCAACACATTCGGTCAAGCTATGTGGCTGGTACGTTGATAAAAAAGAATGCATTTCGTGACATCCGAGCATTTTTGTAGTTAGACACGACCCTCTATGCAGCTTCAATCAATGTCTCACGGTACGTGACCAGGGGGCATCGATGAACTTGCAGCTTAATCTCATCTCCAGTGTGTATGTGCATCAAGGCGGACCTCCTGCACACTATGACCTTTGGTATGTCAGAATATGTGACTTTACGACGTCTTGGTACTTATGTTGACTCCACAGGTACCCTGTCGATAGCCAGAACGGTCCTATCCAAGTGTTCCCGTCATATTCGGCTTACCTCTTCGTGACTGAGGCCATTGGTTACTCGAAGTCACTGCGTCTTTCAAATATCTTCCCAGGGCGACAAGCCAATGGATCGTCAATTACGACCGCAGGTGGTGATACTTCTGCTGGTCAGATCTCGGTATATGGTTTCTGGGACGAAAATTCCGCCGACAGCTATGATTACCCAACTAAGCTCGCGCTCCTAAACCTTGAGCTCTACAACCAGACGGATTCGTACCCTCGTCCTAATATCACAATTGACATATCTGCGTATTTGCCGAAGAAGACTCAAGAAGTCATAGTCAAGAGGCTGACAGCCCCAGGAGCTAATGTCCTGTCAGCCGAATTAACGACTTGGGCAGGGCAAACTTTTGCTTCTGGCGTTGCAGAAGGCAACATTGTAGAGGAAACGGTGTCCGATGGACAAGTGGTCGTCGAGGCTTCCTCTGCTGCTTTGGTGTATTGGTAAACGCAGTGTAGCATGCCAGTGAAAGTGTTCACGCTAGGCATTGCTATAGAAGTGAGTCGGTTATTATATTATATTATTATATCCTGTCAGTCCGAAGAATAAACAGCCTGACTTTGAGGAGCGAAGCAAGAGAGAACTGGTGATCGATAGGATTCAGGTCTGCAGAGCCTTCCGCGTAACGCTGCGAGGTTGGTACCTGGAGGTCACATTGTTCGTAGTGAATAAGTATCAACCTGGCGCAAATAGGGCTCGCCGGAGTTACGAGCCCAGATAGGGCCTGCACGGACGGGGTTTTGGTGCAGCGAAGATCCATGATACAGGGACTCAACAGCCGACTGTCGCCAATGAGCACGAGGTCTTCTTCGAGGCTGGTGGTCGTTGATTCACAAGCATTAAGTAAAATAAAGCTAAATAAGGATCCGGCAAAATCACTGAGGCCTGAGCCATATGCATGATCACTCAATATTGTAAGGCTTACTCATTGGAAGGTCAGGTGAGGTAAGTGTATCTCTCCAGTACTCATTCCTCTGGTTGTTTGTCAGTGATAGCATTAGAGGGCATAGCCAAGCAAGACCAAATATCTTCAACCACTCCCTCACGTGCCGATCATGGTGCTTCAGTGCTTCACACCAACGTTCTGTGACCTGTCAATTCTTTGGACATGTGGACATCCCTGAATTCATTGCGGACCGGTGCTCATGCTCTCTTTCCATCCATATAAGATACTGCAAGGTGTGGTAAAATCGTATTTTTTGACCCCACTGTTTCTTTCTGCGTGATGTGGTTCTTGTCTACAGTTCTACCTTGTGTTGCGTTGGTGTCTGCGAGACATGCTCTTTTGTCCCGCGATGACACCAGTCTGCCCAAATTGACGCTATCTGGCCCAGCCTCGCTCCCAATAGATGCAACGCCACCCTTGAACCCCGCCCTTGCAAGTTTCAGTATTGAAACTGCCTTCTTTGAAGAATATATGGGAAACCAATCATATCCGAATAATCTTTCTCAGAATCTCTTTGAGAACTTAAAGAGAGGACTGGGGTTCCAGCCGAAGTGCGCATTGGTGGCATCACCGCCGACTCGACATTCTGGGATCCGAATCAGGAGGCTGCACTGTCCAATTTCATTGATAGCACGGGTGCACTAGTAAACACTACGCTTGGGCCCCAGTTTTGGAACTCTGTGAAGCTTTTACCAGAAGGGACGAAGATCGTCATGACGCTTGTGAGTCATTTACTGATCAGATCATTGGGTGTCGGTATCTGACTGGTCCGTGTAGGATCTAGAGAGCTTGAATTATACTGGAACTCTTGATATGGCCGAAGCAGCATGGATGGGTCTTGGCTCACGCCAGATTTCTCGCTTCGAAAGTGAGTCATTCGATCCCCTTACTGACGCTCCCGGTCCGACTATTCTCCGTCTTCAGTAGGAAATGAGCCAGATCAGTATTACCTCGACCTTGACGCTCAGAACTATACGGCTACATGGGAGGTATTTCTAATTCTATTTTTGTCTCCTTGATGGTGAGGTCTTACACGTTCTGTATTTAGCCATGGACTGTCAATATCTCGAAGGCGTTGGGCATCGATTACCCCGAGTTCCAAGTTGGGGCGACTGTCATAGACCCTTTGTGGCCGTATAACACCCCGCAAGCAGATGCACAGTTTGACTGTGTCAGTGCTCTGGCTGCTGGAGCTAACGATGGACACACTGTCATGACGTGTAGCGAACACACATACCAGTACAGCGTGAGGAGGTTCTCGATTAACCCACAACCAACCTGAAATAGCCTTTATTTACAGGTTTGTGATCCAACTAGGGCTGCTGTAGCTACGTTGACCAACCTGGTAAGCTCTCGATTATTCATCGCTACTGTTGATTACAATAAAGACCTAGGTGAACCACACACGCTTGGCTGAGTAAGTCATCTGTCGCTATGATCACAGCACACTAATTTCCAGTAGATATTTGGATCTTTGGCAGCCCCGTATCCACAGCGTTCGCGCCCAACTCGGACCTGATGCCTTTGTTATCGGTGAGGTTGTAAGATTAAATATTGAAAATATGTTGACCCACAACGAAGGTGAATTCAATTCTGTCTCTTGCTCTGGACAGGCCAATGTCAGCAACACATTCGGTCAAGCTATGTGGCTGGTACGTTGATAAAAGGAATACATTTCTTGACATTTGAGCATTTTTGTAGTTAGACACGACCCTCTATGCGGCTTCAATCAATGTCTCACGGTGCGTGACCAGGGTGCATCGATGAACCTGCAGCTTAATCTCATCTCCAGTGTATATGTGCATCAAGGCGGACCTCTTGCACTGCAGAGCTCTACGCAGCTCAATCACGGCGGGCTCTCACTCTACAACCTCTGGTATGTCTTCTCAGAATATCTTTACGACGTCGTGGGACTGACGTTGACTCCATAGGTACCCTGTCGATAACCAGAACGGTCCTATCCAAGTGTTCCCGGCATATTCGGCTTACCTCTTTGTGACTGAGGCCATTGGTTACTCGAAGTCACTGCGTCTTTCAAATATCTTCCCAGGGCGACAAGCCAATGGATCGTCAATTACGACCGCAGGTGGTGATCCTTCTGCTGGTCAGATCTCGGTATATGGTTTCTGGGACGAAAATTCCACCGACAGCTATGATTACCCAACTAAGCTCGCGCTCCTAAACCTTGAGCTCTACAACCAGACGGATTCGTACCCTCGTCCCAATACCACGATCGACATATCTGCGTATTTGCCGAAGGAGACTCAAGAAGTAATGGTCAAGAGGCTGACAGCCCCAGGAGCTGATGTCCTGTCAGCCGAATTAACGACTTGGGCAGGGCAAACTTTTGCTTCTGGCGTTGCAGAAGGCGACATTGTGGAGGAGACGGTGTCCAATGGACAAGTGGTCGTCGAGGCTTCCTCTGCTGCTTTGGTGTATTGGTAAATACAGTGTAGCATGCCAGCGAAAAAATGTTCATCCTATGTGTTGCTGTTGAAGTGAGTCGGTCATTATATTATTATCTCCTGCCAGTCCCAAGCATAAACAGGAGGAGTGAAGTAAGAGACAACTGATGATCGATGATTCAGATCTGCAGAGCCTTCTGCGTAATGATCGACGTCGTGACGACTATTGTTGGTGCCTAGACTCTAGAGGCCTCATCGTTCGTGGCGAATAAGTATCAACCTGATGCAAATAAAGCCCGCATGCATGGGGTTTGGGTGCAGCGCAGATCCATGATACAGAAAATGCGGGACTCGGTATCTGACTGTCGCTAATGTGTACAAGGTCTTCGCTGAGGCTGGCGGTCAAGACGCCAGTTCTTCCGAGAGATGAGGCAAAGGTACTGATTTCTTTGGTATGCGAAGGTGCTGATACGAGGTTGAACAATCTATTCTCAAGGAGAGCAAGCTACGAAATAGGATGAGCGCGAATATCAGCTGCTTGCCTCAACCGATGTGTGCACAGACCATCTCTGAGCCGGCTACGCCCGGAATCCCTCCGGACACTGTCACATAGGGGAAATTCGACACTCACTAGATACTCACTCAACCGAACTCCCCCAGACACATAACTCATCAACAAGTCCGTTCAATAACATCGCGCGCGTACTAGCTTTGCCAACATGTCCGATCAGTGGCAAGGCATCATTTTTGATGATCCAAGGTCTGGGCACCCCATGCTTCCTCTCGTGATCAAAGTTATGCGTTGCATCTACCGCACTGTTAATCCCACACGCCCACCGCCATTTACAGTAATGAAATGGCGGCACTCGCAAAGCCTTTCTTACCAGGTTCATGAAGATGGATATGTGCCGTCAATTGTCATCCTCAATCTCCGAGAGGGCCAGCAAGATTCAACCATGAAAACCCTCTTCACGATCAATTTAAACACCATGACGGTTAACGATAAGGTCCGACACAGGCATTTCCCTGTACCTGATGAAATTGGCTCTTCCCTGAGGGAGCTTGATGAGTACGTGAGGACAATTGTCCGGGAGAAAAAGGAAGCAGAAGTGGAGGAAGCACGTCGCCGACAGGCAAGTAAACGACGTAGCTGCAAGGGCTTTCTTAACTTTCTACCTGACTCGTACAGGCCTTCTATCGCTGTCTTTTCGACAAAGGTCTGATCGATGAAGATTACGGGAAGTCGTTCTCCATCGACAGCCTGCTTTGCCCTATCTGTTCATCGCAGCAGACATCGTGCAGCAAGTGCAAAATTATCTCGTGCTCCAACAGTGATTGTGCAGCCTCCTCTGCCGTCCCCATTGTACGGTGTTCCCAGGCCTTTCATCAAGCAAGGCAATTCTGTACTTCATGTTTGGAGTCTCCAGGCTCTCTGCCTCAGCTGGGCAGATGTCCCACATGTTCACGCTTGTTCTGCTCAAGAGAGCTCAATTGGTGTGTTGGACGCCCAATTTCTGACGACGGCGGGATCGCAACTCCTTCATCGAATCCCGAAATAACCCGAGTACACTCAGCGCGGCCACTGTCTTGCAACGCCGCAATAAACTGCATGTCAAACGGTCAAAATGGCCGTCAGTGCTCCAACCCTGGTTGCTGGTCCATTCAGCTCTGCGGCACCAAAGTGTGTCCCGAATGCACCACGCAGGATAGCTTTTCCTGCCCATGTGGTCGGTACTGGACTTGCGGCGGTTGCGAGTCGCAGTCTTCGACCGTTCGTAGGCTTCTTACGTGCCCTCGATGCCTTCAGTGTTTCTGCCCATCGTGCTCATACATCAGGGCTTGCAAGGTATGCCGACGTGTGGGGCTCTGTAATGACTGCATGGAAGAAGTGAGCGAAGAAGCTGAGCACACACCGGACGGAAACCTCCTTGTCCAGTGCCAGAACTGCCAAGGTCATTTATGCAACGCATGCGATGATGGTGGGAAATCATGTTGTACGTGTAGTCGAGTCCTTTGCAGGCTTTGTGAAGAAGAGGTTTGTGATTATTCTGGTATCACTATCCGTACTGAATGCAGAGCATTAACTGAACAGTGCAAACGTTGTTCTCATTTCCGCCGTGTGAGTGATTGTGAACCTCTATTTTTCGTCGTTGTTCTTATCACCCTACAGATCTGTGGTGATGACTACGGTTTTTTTGAGTTTGGCTCCGGTGGTGAAATGATTTATCACAATTTCTAGTAATTCGACGTTCAACTTTCATCAGTAATCAGTATAGTTATTTCTGGTCTAATGTACTTATATCTTGCTAGTTCCTATTTCATCGTGCCAATTCCGATTCCCTCCATTGCAATTACTTGCATTCGTTCGCTTCAATTTTTTCCAAGGACTGGCGAAGCTGAGCTTCGAGTATAGTTTGATTAGCAATTGACGCCCAGCTTGCGATCAACTTCAAGTCAGTTAGGAATATCCTCAACGCATTTTGTATTCACTGAGAGCTCCCGTAGTGCACCACCTCAGTCGTTACGATGCCGTTCAAGTTGGAATGAGACCTGAAACAATCGCACCGGTGTCAGTACCCCTACTACACAGTACCTTTCCCTGGTTTACAACCGAGTTGTGCCATCAGACTGCGTGAAGTCCAACGACCTGATTCAGTTGTAAAACGTTAGGGGCGCAGGCGGGGCAGCGAAAACAACCAACTCAAAGCAGCAGAAATCTGCATCGCTACTAATCAAGTAAAGGCATATTGGCATTCAGGATGAGATTGTGAGTCTACAGGTGCACGGCGAGTTAGTTGCCGATTTAGAGTAGTAGAATATTAATTCCCAACCTGTACCCAGTTTGGAGCACAAAAGGACTGGGTTAGCTTGACAGTTCCGTATAATTTGAGCTTCGCACAAGTGTAAGTAGGAGACTACAGTACACTATCTCATAATGCATTGACTTCGGAAGGTCCCACCGTGGGCCAGTGAGAAATTGAACCATAATGCATAAGCCTGTGGGACCATTATGCATTATGAGATATCATTTTTGGCCGGTTGAGTCATATCGGCGATGCTTGTTCGGGTCATTTTATTCATGTTACAATATTGTCAAAGTAACCAACCTTGATTCAATTACCATCCACCATGTCCGAGTCTGTTCGGAAACGCAAACCTCGAGATACACCCCCACCATACCAGATACAGCAAAAAAAAACTCAAGGTCAAAAATGCTCCGGTAACTTCAGCACAACCAGCTACAGTGCACACAGCACGTCAAAACCTCACTCTCAGTGATTGAACCAGAGGTTTCCCGCGCAGAAACACTTGCGCTGTGTCAGCGGCTCGGAAGGGCTTGCCTCCAGTTTGGAAATGCTGATGCAACACTTCGACTTGAGTTGTTGAAACAGATCCGTCTTTTCCGTGCTGAGCTGCGACGCGAGGAGCTTCTACACTCGACACAGACTACAATAGATGCTTACTTTCGTTAGATATGTAGTATGTACTTATGTCGAGAAATTTACGGTGGCGCTCAGCCAAAAGGCCACGCGAGGTCACGTGACTTCGATCGATTACCTTTTGTGGTCGGGATTCGGTAACCTCGCAGGCACATGACCAGGTTCCTGTGACGGCGTGAGTTTGGGCTTAAAAATAGAAGTGAAAAACACGTGATGATGAAGATGAGTGGGGGAATGCGTTCCATTCAAATCCGACTAACACTGTATTCGATGCCAAACATCTCATTGGCCGGAAAACGGATGACTTGGAATTAAAGCGTGACATCAAACATTTTCCCTTCCAACATTCGAGTTGTTAGCAAGGGTGATAATCAGTTACAAGGGCGACACCATTCAAATCCGACTAACACTGTATTCAAAGCCAAACGTCTCATTGGCCGGAAAACGGACAACTTGGAATTAAAGCGTGACATCAAACACTTTCCCTTCCAACATTCGAGTTGTTAGCAAGAGTGACAATCAGTTACAAGGGCGACACACTCCACAGAGGAGATCAGTGCTATGATTCTGACAAAGATGAAGGAGACTGCAGAGGCCTATCTCAGCACAGAGGAGATCAGTGCTATGATTCTGACAAAGATGAAGGAGACCGCAGAGGAGATCAGTGCTACGATTCTGACAAAGATGAAGGAGACTGCAGATCTGGCGTATCTCAGCACAGAGGAGATCAGCGCTATGATTCTGGCTCGTTCGAATGGATCGAACGCAGTGGATTGCAGATGCGGGAAGTAGCATGCGGACATGGTGTTAATGATAATGAGCAGTAAGGTAGAGGGCACGAGAGTACTATAGTAGTATTAGTAGTAGCAAGCAGCGAGAGATGAATGTATAGTATAGGTTGTTACAGTACTGGAGTCTGCAGCAGCAGACTCAAAGAAGCGAAGGATGGTGGAAAAAGAGGGCTGGTGTCACTTTCTGCGAGAAACACGCTCTCCTCGTGCAGTGCGCGCCTCGTTTATGGCTTTGAGGAGCTGTGTGTGCCCCAGTTCGGCCTCCGGATAAGATGCAAGGAAGCGGGCCTCGTTCGAATCATACCTGGAGCCAAAATCAATGGTGAGCAGTATGAACAAGACAGTATTTGCATGGGACTTACTCATTAATGAACTCCAGCGCGATTGTGGCCCTCTGATGGTACTTTGATGCGAACCGTCGGTTGGCGCCTTGGTACCATTCCTTTGGCCAATCCTTGAGTGGCGTTACCAGTCCTCTGTCGGGATCGCCAACAAGCCAGTGTTCAACAATCTCCTTCCAGGACCTGCTCTTCAGGCTGGTAGTGCCGTTGGGACGAGATACTGGCACCCGAGGGATGACAAGGCCAGCTGTAGGGAGCTTCTGTGAAGTGACACGGATGGACAGCGTGGCAGGGAGCTGTTGCTGTGGCAATGCGGCAGTGTAGATGGATGGCGGGGTAGGAATTTGGTTGATGACAGGCCTAGCAGGTGGCAGCTGTGGAGCAGCAGCATGCGCTCCTACAACAGGCCCAGATGGAGTATATGATGGAGTTGGTGTGCGGGAAGCACACTCTGAAGAGACGTCAGTGAAGTGAGATGAATCAAGAAGTTGGAGAGCGGTTGCTGTGGTGCAGGCAGCCTGCACTACACTTGTTAGTGAGTGCAGTGAGTTGTTCACTGATCCAATCTCGTTGCGCAGGGAGTTGACATCTGTTGCAACAGATGCATGGACCATGCGGAGCTCTTCCGTGGATGCTGGTCTTGCGAGAGCATATTCACCAGCGAGGGAGGCATCAGCACCACAGGAGATGGGGGCAAGGGCATCACTGTAGTCGGTCTCGTATGTATGTAGTTCATCCAGGAGGTAGTGAACAAGTGTATCACGCTGAGAAATAGATACAATAAGAGAAAAAAACATTGCGTCAGTCAAGTGTCAGCTGTAAGAACGTGAAACGTACGTGCTCGCCTTCAGCCCATCCACCCCACCACCGAACTTTAGCAAGCGTCCACCGTTGGCCCACTGGAGCGAACATAAACGAATATTGTGCGCCCCCACGACGAAAGCAGTGAGTTGAGAAATTACCCAGGATTCCGGCACCGGCAGTCAACTCATTGATCCATTTCTGTACAGTATCGTGAGAGATTGGCTGTCCAGGGTGCATGACACCGTTTGCACTCATTGCAGGGAAAACGAAGTCGTTCAGCTGAAGTGTGCGTGCATAGTGAAATAATTCAAGCCATTTGATCCAAACTAACGTCCAGAAGAAGTTGTCACAGGCTGGCATGTCGGGGCGTGGATATATCTTGTAGTGATTTGCTGGTGAGGTTATCATTTAGTCATTCAATCCAAAGTTTGATGCAAGCGACGTACACCTTAAATCTGCCTCCCACTTGCCCTTATCAACCTTCTTTTGCCACCCTTTACGGTTCGAGAGGAAGATCTCGAAGTGAGACGCTCGTTCATGCAGCGTCAGCGTCTCACCTGCAAGATACGATTTGAGCAGGCCGTCCAAAATAGTTGCATCAAGTGAGATATCCTTTCGTTGCAGTTTGATGAGCTCAAAACACCTGCAAATAGCAAGTTAGATAGCGCACATGCCCAGACAAATTCAGTTGGACCTTGTCCATAGTGTCCATCCATTGGATGCAAACACGACTTGTTCGAGATGACGGGTGAGTTGTGTCCTCACGGCCAAGTCTAGATGCATATCTGAAGGCCGCGCACCAGTCATCGCCTTCTGGATCATATGCAGCGCAATCTCCGGTGGACATGAAGCCTGATGCCACCGGAGGGTCCGATCCATGTAGTCCTTTGTCATTGCCATCGAGTGAGTATGGTCTCCACCCTCTGCACTTGCTTTATGCTTGATGGATGACAGGATGTCATAAATGTCTGCGGAATCGGCAGGATTTCCTTCCCACCGCTGTCTTGCCTCGTTTAAGTGCCATTTTCCGCGATAGGTGTCCCCATCTCTGGTATGTAGATCAATACTTTGAGTTTACTGTTGGAATTTGTGAACGGAACACTCACGATAACTCCCACAGTTTTTTAAATGCCGAACGGATGCTCTCGACAGTCGTTTTGGAGAGATTCTCATGGAACCCTTTCAGGGACATGTAGAGTGCCAGAGCTTTGTCAGAGCATCTGTTCGGTATCCGATCAAATGCATCTTTGAAGGCCGGGTCATCGTACATGTCACTATCGGCATGCGTTTCGACATTTGCGGGCAGCAACGGCATCAGAACGAGCAGGTCTTTGGAACATGGGCTTTCAAAGTGGCTTGCTAGCCATTCCCGTCCACGTCGAACATGCCCGGCATAGTTCACCCTCGTGTTGTTTGCCTGAAGGTGAGTTTCTATACCAAGTTCCTTCCACTTTTTGACATCAGCTAACGCTGTCTTTGTGGTCGCCGTTCTCTTCTTTCTCCTGGCCTTCTTTTGAGCAGGGTCAGGCAGCTGGGAAGCTTTTGACCCCTTCTTCGATCGTGCCATGGTTTGTAGTATGTTGCAAGGCTAGTTTGAAATTTTTGAGCGGGATCTCAGGGGCCTGTAACTAGTACTTTGATGTCATTTCACATTTCACACAGTTTACGAGAGCAATGTTAATGATACACGGTGTTATTGATACAGTTTATAGACTAATATACTGCTGTACTGCTTCTGGTGCCATGTGGCTGAGTATGACTGTCAGAACACGCACATACATAGGAGATAATTGGCTGGGAGTAGCGTTGCCCAAAGTGTTGCGTCCAAAGCGCTCACAATTAACTTTAACAATATAAACTTCAATATCGCGCCTCAATGCCATAAGCGTCAAGTGGGAAATGACTCGGAATGTTGGCCGAAGGTTTGGCTGGTCTGCTGAGCGTTTCGGCAACTAAAACACTGGTTAACAGCTGCCGACAAACACCATGCTGCTTACTTTGCATAATGTGCGCAGATATGCACCCTCCCATACACTCCCATACATCTTCTCAATGATGGCGTCATCATCCCAGCCGAAATTCTGACGGCAGAAGTCGGCAAGGCTTGCAAGATCTGGCTGGTGGGATAACACATCTGATGGCAGCATCGTCGTACCACTCCCAGTGGCTGAAAATGATGTGAGAGGATGGACATACTTGCCAAGTAATGCATGTTGTGGGAAATTATGCGGAATACGATCTGCGACGGCCTTGTACCTGTGCTCAAGGAAATTGTGAGGGTCACAAGTGAGCAGAAGACGTAAGTCCTCAATGAGCTCCTTGGCCCGCTTCGAGAATTCATCCGGTGTCAGTGACAGGAAGGCATCAAGCATCATCCGACCTATTTTGCTGTGCTGTGCCACCTTGTGCGCGATTTCAATACCACAACCAGGCACACCTCCATCATAATCATCACCCACGAGCAGGGCGATGAGGAGTCTGTCTCCTCGGGTTAAGGAGCAGCCATGTTCAAGGCCATCTTCTGTATAGACCTGTACATTGAGATAATCCTTGTCTTTTTTTGCGCTACCAAGAATTAATGGTAACGGATTGACAGGAAAGCGATAGCATACCTTCGGATGATGCAGGGAGCACCAAAGATCAAGGTGTCGCTATCCTCGGTCATCACGGCATCGATGACACCATGGGTGTTCATGGCAGCGAGCTCTGCTTCACCTTCACTCGGAGCCTATTTAAGTACCAATGAGACAACGACATCATAAGGGAAATCAGCGACAAAAGCATACCTCAGTCCAATGAAAACCAAACAGCTCCAGCATGCGCTGGAAGTCATGAGTGAGCCAGTGGGGGCTGCTTCTGACCTTTCAACCTTTGTCTGGTAGGCGCCGCAGGCCATCAAAGACAAACACAGCATGCAGGGGCAGCTTGAGCAGCGTGCCTAGTCGGAAAAAAAGTGTGCGCAGCTCTGGTGACTTTCCGGCACCTGCATGGTTCATCCGAAAGACAGCGCACACACTGTGCATCCATGCACTAACAACACAAGTCAGTTCAACCGACGGACAAAAGAAGAGAAGTACTGTACCTAGCATCAATCCCAATCTTGAACAGTTTGACATTGCGGTTGCCGTCAATGACTTCGGTCTTCAGTTCTGACAATGCAAGCTCTTTGAGGGTTCGGTTGTCGGCAGATAAAGCGACTCGCTGCAGAGAGCATCAGCACCTCACCCGAAGTCAAAGTTCTCAGCTCACCTCCCATAGTCCAGGGATTCCCATACTGATCCGTGATGATAGTGCACAAGGACAAAAAATGTTCAAAAGGGGGAAAGAAAGAAAGGGGCTGGGTGCAGGTGTCACCTGACCACTGTTGAAAGCAGCAGTCTCGTCAGCTACAAGAAAGGAAGGTGAGTCTATCAATAAGGCTATAGAAACGAACATACCAGTGTTATGCTTGATGAGGGCGGTCATGACACCACCAGCAGTCTCAATACTGAGCAATAGAGGAGCAACGTCAAGAAGCAGGGGGTTCAAAACGGGCATGAGTGAGGGAAGTGTAGAAATTGATACACCCAAGGAAGGAGTGCATAGTTGATGGCAGGGTGCGCTTAGCATGCTCACAAGCCATCTGCAGATGACAGAGTGCAAGAGTGAAAGCCATTGAAAGTATAATCGAGTAGGGCAGGATTTGTTGGAGTAAGTGTCGTCACAGATAACCTTTGATGTGAGCATGAATGTGAATACGAAAAGATGGTGACCAGAAGGATTCTGGCGCCTCACCTGGTTTATTTCTCGCAATTGGAACATGCCCTGCGCCACAATACTCCAGGATTTGTTGGAGTAAGTGTCGCCACAGATAACCTTTGATGTGAGCATGAATGTGGATACGAAAAGATGGTGACCAGAAGGATACTGGCGCCTCACCTGGTTTATTTCTCGCAATTGGAACATGCCCTGCGCTACAATACTCCAGGATTTGTTGGAGTAAGTGTCGTCACAGATAACCTTTGATGTGAGCATACAAAAAGATGGTGGCCAGAAGGATACTGGCGCCTCACCTGGTTTATTTCTCGCAATTGGAACATGCCCTGTGCTACAATACTCCAGGATTTGTTGGAGTAAATGTTGTCACAGATAACCTTTGATGTGAGCAGAGCCGCTGCTTTGCGGATCTGATGGGTGGTACGAGTGGGAGAGCAGTGCTGCCAGATTTTGTCCAGACGCCCTGTAAAATGTGAGTGCTGAGAACTATGAAATGAAAATAAAAAATGGACTTCTTCTCCGAGTCCAGGGGAGGTGATGTTGTGGCATTGTTGGTGATATTGACCTCAAGGCTCCAGAGTACTGCGCGTGGCAGCATGCAGGATGTGGGAAAATGTCGCGCCCACGTGACTGGGACACCTAAGCCTTATGGTGGCTGTGTAGGACGAGTCCAGGAGAGAAGGAGAATGTTGAGGAGTGCACAAGTGCATGAGCATGCCTAATAATTTGTAAAGTACTGTAAAGTACGATTAGAAATACACTGTAAATTTTGTAAATTTTGTAAATCTTGAACTTCCGGGCAGGCTCCCAGCTGCACCTGCAAACATCATAATTTTTTTTTGCTTCCGCAATTAGGTGCCTGGCGGATGATTTACATTAATATAATTATTACCTAGGTATTATATATATTAATGGCAGTCAACACCTGAGCGCTGAGCGCTGAGCAGTCTGCTTGGTCTGCCAGACTTTGGATGGTGACTTGACTCAGTGATTTGCATTGATACAAGAAAAAAAAAACATTTAATGCTTGCAAGTTTCTAATTAATAGTTCAACTTTCAACACTATGTACTTCGGTCCTGGCTCATCATTGGTGGAAATACACATCAGCGCGAGCAACTCGCGTGCCGAACCCTAAGTTAGGTGCATGCGGCAGGACAATGCAGAATTCCAACCGTGTGTCAGCACAATGCAGAATTCCAACCGCGTGTCACGTGACTTTGGATTCCCAGAATCTGAGACGAATCCCCTTTACAGAATTTACCTTAGCTAATCGTAAATTTCTCCAAATATCCCGACTTGTGCCGGTGATGCTCTACCGCACGGTGTCACAATTTGTCACAAGTGTGACATATGTACTAATGCATAAATCTCATAATGCATAGGGTCGAAGGGGGTCCCGACGTTATGCATTATGAGATAGTGTACTGTAGTTCCAGTAGTGATGTAACGTGTTACTTGTTTACCCAGTTCCATCTCTCTTTTGAAATCTATACATCACAATGAGTATCACGACGAAAGTACAAAAATATTATCGAGCCTCTGGAGAATACCCGACAGGCGTTAACAACTTGGAGCGTTTCTCTCGTGCTACACGCCATCGCCAGTTGACACGCATGCACGCTCCTGGAAAGCAATTGTACTTATGCCTGTCCCTGCATCGGAGTTTCCCACGAGCTTGGTGTGATACTCTCGAAGGCTGAGGATGAGACGTGGTCCCAGCACAAACATCTGCATGATCGAGAAAATTTCAAGATGATCAGTATAAATCAGAGTTCCGGTTTCCAATGCCTGTAGGAATGAAGATCAGTTCCCACATATAGATGCGATTGACAGTCGGCATACCTTGGTCTTCAAATTTGGAGAGAACTGAGATTGGAAGACAGAAACAGCAGCAAAGCTAGCGCGCGCAGAACTTCAGCGGGAGAAGAAACCACATTCAATTACGAGCTCACCTGATAAAGTAAATCACGTGAGTTTTCGTTAACACCGTAAAATAGTCCCCGATAGTCCGTCCCGTTGATGATCGTCGCAGTTCACGGAAGTGTTTTACAGAAATCCAGACTGCAAGACATAATGCGAGGATCTCCCATGCAATGTAGAGTATCCAGGCCATGGAATCAAGTGGGATATCTCCTTCCCATTCATAAGTGCACTGATAAGTACCGGAGAGGATGAGCTCCTCTAGTATTCGTCAAATGAGCCTGATGCACTCTTTCGTCATAATTCAAGCTTACCTCCTAAAATATGAATGTCTCCTATTGCAGTGATCACTCCGCAGGCGAGTGTGGAAGCCACGAATATTACAACGAGAAAGATAAGTATCTTTCTGGATCGCTGATACATGGCATGTAACCGAGTGATCATTATAACTTTTATGATGTTTCAGTTGCTAAAGTCTCGTGAGGTATTGTAGCTGAGTAGCTCACCGCCCAGTATGGTATTTACGGCCACTGTCATCCAATTTAGCGTAGAGTTCAAAATTTTGCCTGAAATCCCAGTTAGTAACAAGCATCGACCCAGGACCAAAAACTTACATCTGTTACGGTCATTATAACCAAAAAGCTGGCCAACAATGTCACTCACCCCTACATAGCAGTGCACGTTATTAAACGGGAATAATAGGCTGCGGTGCAGAATACTCACTACATCTGTCACCGGAAGTGACGGAAGGCTTGCTGAATGCCAACGGTCAGAAGAAACAAGCATGATGAACGCGGGGAAACATACGCAATATGTTGATGTTGATTGTGAAAGATGGCTAATTAAATCGGCGCCAGCTTATAGAAGGCGTGAACATACACAGCATATAGTATTCCAATGTAGCGCACCTAGGACATTGTTGAAATTAGGACGGCTTGCCAATTGTGGTTATAATATAAGCTACGTACACTGATATATAGAAGAGTCATGCAGGACCAACGTTGCATCTTGCCCGAGTCAATTGTATCATCCTGATGTTCATTTAATACTGCTCACCCAGATCAGTTCGAACTATAAAACCATTCGCAGTGAGATGGTTGCTCCGGTAATGGCAGCATTGACCTACCTCTTGTCCGAATGTCAAAGCTGAAAATGTCATAAGGATACCAGCGGTGATCGGTGCCATCTTGCTCACCCCAGTCATATATAACTGCAGCAGATGCGGAAACTGCGCAACCGCAGCCTACAAAATAGCTGAAACCATACAACTCATTGATTAACGGCCACCAGCTGGGATCGTCTGAGACGAAGGGCATATTGGACGGGTGCGATTGAGTAGCGAACTCGATGGACGTGTATCTGAACGCTGTACAGGTTAAAGCTGTTCGTGATGTTAGGAACTTGTTTCCAATGCCGTTCTCGTGACGCATTGCTATTCTTGCCACACTTGTATCGGTTTAGGAATTCCATCAGTAAGATCATCATGATGTGGTTTAAACACAGGTCTAGGAGACGCGCGATAATCGAAAAAGCGTGCTGTCCTAATTTCTCAATGAGCACAGGCATTTCTCCATCTTGCTGACATGGACTTGGGGAGTGTAACCGCATGTAACCGGTGTAACCGCTCATTGACAAGATCACGCTGTCGGAATGATAAGTCAGAACCGAATCAATCGAATATGTCATTGAATCTCCCGGCAAACAGATAACTCACCTCTCCACATTCGGCAGGCTGCCATCATGATCACTGCTGCAACGCCTCCAAACACGCCTCGTATGCCTAATCCAGTATGCCCAAAGTGCTCTCGGATATCGGGTTACATGATCTGATGCAAAGACGATGCACGCACTCCATTAGATCCGGTTAATAGTGACTAGTCCACTGAATCTGACCGATCGATGATGCATGCTGGTCGGACAGGCCGATCCTGATTGATTGGTCTGGTCTAAACATATCCAAAAAAACGAGTCGGACACGCTTGAATGATATCACCCCACATGAAGCCAAACTCCAGTCTTCTTGTTGCATCATAGTAGGCACTGCCGGAAGTGATTTGGTTTTTAATATTAGAGTAGCTACGTAGTTGGTACCCCGATCAGCTTAATATTTATAAACACTCGACAACATACCCGGGCCGTTGAGTTTTCAGTGCTAGCGGCGACCCGCAGCGGCTTCCTCTGCTGGTGCCGCATGAACGCTCTGCGTGCTCGCTCCATAATGGCAAATTTTTGCAAAGTGCCCATCTCCTCATTGCCCCTGCCGCCGTCAAGCCACATCGTGACGCATAACCTTACCCCAGATCCACTTACTACCCCGAGTCCAGCAGAGTTCTTCTCTGATGTCTTGCCTAACAAACCAAGTCTACAGAGGCGTGCAAGGCTACTATCCAAAGAAGCGCACTTCTCGTATGTGAATCCAATGCCACTAGAGTTTCCCTATGAAATCACACCGCCCGACCCACCTGCCGTCATCGAAGACAAGGCTGGTTACATCGAGCAATGGCTCAGTGAGCGCGAAGCTCGTCATCCATCTCCAGTTAGCAGTCAGATCCAGCCTTCATTAAACAAGTATACCTCCAAGCTCAGAGATAGGAAGAGGGAGCTTATCGGGTTGTCTGAGACATGCCTCAGAGACTGCTTGCCACATCTAGACGTTGGCGATGCCTTTGAAGTGCTGGGGAAACCAGCCCTGGCCCCTCTTATAGAAGAGGAGGTTGCTTCGACCTCTTCGCCAGAGGCTGAGGCTATCCGACAGGAATTGGTGGATGTCTTGAGCGGCCATGCCGTTCTGATGGCACCCGAGTCCAGCTCGGCGGGTCCTAGCTTTGCACCCTGGTCCGCCAGATACAGTGGCCACCAGTTTGGCGTCTGGGCTGGTCAACTTGGTGATGGTCGCGCCATTTCAATTCGTCAGTTATCTATCCCACGTCTGCTCCAGGACGTCTTAACAGGTTGTTAGATGTAACACCGCACCCCGAAGACGCTGAAACCACATACGAACTACAGCTGAAGGGTGCTGGGCGGACCCCCTTCTCCCGCACTGCGGATGGTTTAGCTGTGCTTCGCTCATCCATCCGAGAATACCTTTGCTCAGAAGGTGCGGATGTTCTTGCTGGTAGTACCGGGCTTGCACTATCCAAATCATAGCCATGCATGCACTCTCGATCCCGACTACCAGATCATTAAGTCTAATCTCCCTCCCTGACTTACCAGTCATACGAGAGCGCACAGAAACCGCCTGTATCTTCACACGCGTTGCGGAAACATTCATACGTATCGGCAATTTCGAAGCCCTCAGCCCTCCATCCAATTCTTTCTTCCTCGGCGGCGGTCAGCAAGACGCAGACTACGAGGCTTTGCGACAGTTGGGTGAGTGGGTTGCGAGGAGAGTGCTAAAGCTGGAAGGCATCAACTGGGAGGCTGGTGATGCTTGGGGTAAAGAGCTCCTGTTTGATGTTACAAGACGAAATGCACGTATGGTGGCTGCTTGGCAGGCCTATGGATTTATGCATGGTGTTATGAACACGGACAAGTGAACTTCTCTTCCCACTTCTAATTTTTAGGCGACTTACTATTTGGTTTCAGTATATCAATCCTTGGGCTGACGATAGATTACGGGCCATATGCATTCATGGACGTCTTCGATTCTTATCATATCTGCAATCATAGTGACGGAGAAGGTCGCTATGCATACAAGGTGGGTCAAACACTATTCACGCTCGCTCGTACGCTGACGCCCAACCCAGTATCAACCAAACATGATGTTGGTCTTTTAAGTGACAACTGTTTTCCGACATTCTAACAACGCACTTGCAGCGTCTACGCTTGTCGTGCTCTCCTCGACGCACTCTCCCCACTCATCGGCGCAGAAGCCGCACAAGGCAACAAAGCAGTCCAACCCGGCTGGGCATCTTCAGCCACACCTGAAACACTCGTCTCATGGCGCACAGCCGGCAAAGACCTTTCTAAAGTAGAAATGGAACAGATCATCGAAGAAACCTGTGCCATAGAATACGGAAACTTGATGCGCAAGCGCCTGGGGCTCCGTCGTCAGGAGAAAATGGACCAGCGGGAGATCGTGCAACCACTTTTGGACATGATGGAGGCGCAGCAGTTAGACTTCCATGGAACGTTTAGACGGCTTGCGTTTTTCCACACTGGGATGATGAAGGAAGATAATAGTGATAGATTGGAGGCATTCATCAAGGGGATCTTGAGCGGGACGCCTGATCGGGATCGTATGGATCATGGGAAGGTTACTGAAGAATGGATGGCTTGGTTGGACAAGTACAATGCGCGCATTGAAAGCGAGCGCCATGGAGAAGAGTGGGCTGGTGAGGCTGACTTTGACAGTGCCAGACAAGACGCCGCAAAAAGTGCGAACCCGCGTTTTGTACTCAGACAGTGGGTGCTTGAGGAGCTCATCAAGAAAGTCGAGGGTGACCATGAAAGTGGGAAACGTATCATGGCTAAAGTGATGCAGGTGAGACACCCACCATGTATATGCGGTTGATAGCAGCTCACTGTGACCTTCTAGATGGCATGCAAGCCTTTCGAACCGTGGGGAGCAGAAGGTGACGACACACCAAGCGATGATCTCCCAGCAGAGATAAGAGAGGAGAGACGTCTGTGTGGGCTAGGAGACAAGAGATTTTTAGGCTTCCAATGCAGTTGCTCAAGTTGAAGTTGATCAGAGGATATCTATTATCAACCAACAACCACACGGGTTACCGATATGAGCCCAATAACTATACGGCGATGTTCTAGCGTGAAAACAAGAACCGACTGAAGAGGAGTCCTTGTTTATATCAGTCACGGTAGTCCTATTTGTTTTTGCTTCAGAGTGAAGTCCTCTGTACATCTTCCGCCTTCTTCTGTATGCATTGGGGGGAATATACTTGAGTTTATGTGATCCGAACTTGTACCAAGTACGTCCTAAGTTGTCAATCGTGGTCCACCTGCAAGATGTCATCCCTGCAGGAACTACACATGCTCGTTTAGCTTCGGAATTCGCTTGCGGCAAGTTACTCCTGCGAAGGACATCATAGGCTAGCTATTTCAGCAGTTAGAAATCATATTTCAGTCCAAGGCACCCCGAAGCACTGGCAGAAGCTTGCTAGCACCCATGCGACCAAAGAATCGGAAATCCAACTCCCAACATTAATTGCAATATTGTGCTAAAGCTTCTCACGAAGCTTGACTTGATCACCCAAGCAACGCCCATCATGCATCAGTCACGGACTTTGACGTCCTGAAGACCCAGCACAAGTAACAGCGCCGACATTTTCAAGTCTACCTCATACACAATTGAAGGTTCCTACGAGATCTAGACACAGACGGTAAAGCCAGTAACCATAAATATAACAGATCTACTACTTAGGGACAAGTGCAAGATGGATAGCAAGTAGTAATGCACAAGATGTAACACAACAGGGAAATCAAGCTAAGCGCAAAACAAACTGTTCCAACGCGAAAGGTCAAGGAGTGACAAAGTGGGAGGGTGAACGTCGATACCGGACCGTAAAGCGCCATAAAAACAGTATGAAAGTGGGATGCGCGGGGAACAAATATGAAATAATGTATACGTACTCAAGATAGCGGTATGTATTGGTGCGAAATGAAGTATGCACATATTAATAGAAGGCGAAGCGTCTTGTTTTGAAAGTGGATCATCTAAGTGGCACTTGCGTTGGAGGATATGGGAAGGCTGCCACGCTCACGGCGTCAACTTCATCACAAGACATGATTGTTGAGTTGTGAGAGTAATTCGATGATCGCATAGACGACACGCGTAGACCTGCTTCCGCTGGCATGTCTAGTGCAGCGATAAGACATTGCATAGCGCGGGAATTGTTGGAGCTGGCATCGCTATTTGAGCGAGCTTCAACTTCAAGGAAAGGTCTCGGAGTGGGAGTATTTGAGTCAGCGAAGGGGTTGGATTCGGGCGTGGTGTTAGAAAGGAGTGTGCGCTTTTGGGGTTTCTCCTGCGCGTTGAAGAACGGGTTAGTGACGCGTCGGCTAACGCCGCTCTTGACAGAAGCCGCATCCGCGAAAGGATTGCGCGAATCGCCTGCTTCTGACATCTCTGAACCATATACATCAATATGGCCAACTTCTGCACTCTCCCAGCGATGTGACCCAGACGCGGTTGCGGGTGGAGTGAACTTGGCCACGCTCATTGTAGGTGACATGTTACTAGATAGACACGAGCGCATGGAGAGGAACGAATCCCCGCCAACAGTATCGCCGTCCCATGAAATGGTTGGCACACCATCAGCTTGGGTACGGCCCATAAACCGCTGTACAGGTGGAGGTTTGGTGACAACCACGTAACCTAAATCTGCAGATTTTGATGCCATTTCCTCAGCCAAGCCAGGATGATACTTGGCAAAGTGCTGCATCGTGCCTATGGACTCGCGGTTTCCATGGTCATCAGAGGACTTTTCTCCAGAGGTTGTGCTGGGTGTACGATTGAACATCGCGCCCAACTTCTCCATCGGCCCAGATGGAGGCCTTGGCAGCCTATACTGTTGAGCCTCCTTGTCTTCATTTAGGCGGTCCCAAGGCTGTAAATGAGAGCGCCGGCGGGACAGGTTATTCGCAGCATTGCGGGACTGCGAAGCGTTCCCACGACGCTGCGGCTTTTGTCGTCTTGAACAGTAGACCGCCAAAGAGATTACCAATACGAGTAGGATGAATGCGCCGACGCAGGCACCAATAACGGTGCCCAATGATATGTCATTTCCAGAGGAACTGGGCGAGGTAGTCACAGCAGGTGCAGCTGATGACGAAGTCAGTGATGCGGACGGTGTGGAGGAGGCGAGTTGAATGCCCGTCGAGGAACCAGAATCAGGTGCCGGTGTGGTGTTTTGGATGAGAGCAGTTGCGGTCGGTAAAGTGTTAGTGTTTATCACGGATCCGGAGAGACCACCCAGCGAGCGAGGTTGGTACATGGTTGAATGGTATGGTGTTGATTACAACGGAAATGACTGGAACGACCGAAGTCAAGAAAAGAGTGTACCGCAGAGTTCCTGTACTACGGAAGGGAATGAGAGCAATGGCTGGAGGATACTATTGAGAATGAAATAATGTTGTGAACGAATAGGCTTGCTGCCGAATAGGTTAATAACACCTAGCACACAATCGAACGATGATACTTACAGTCAGTCGAGCGAGCAAAAAATTTGCACGTCGCTGCTCGTTGAGGCACCGCCTTGGTCGTTGACGCTGGCAGTGTTGAAGAACCGTAGACAACACTACAAGTTATTAAGCGCTAAGATATGGCAAGATTGATATTTTGTTTACTATGAAACGTAATGCTGCAGCCGGTCCGTGGCAGTCGGCTCTTTTATGCTGAATCATTAATGTCATGGCGATAATCAACTACAAACGGGAGAAACTGTTGACTACTCTAGCATGGCGACGAACTGCGACGAACCACACGAAACGCCCAGTTTCCGAAAATCGTTCTTTTCATAACTCCAATCACCCACGTCCCCCACTAACTCAGAACGCCAGCTTCTTCAACGCGATGTAAAAGGAGCTCGTATTCGGGGAAGAGCAGCGTCGTCATCCTTTTCGTGAATGCTAGCAGGGTGGGATTCCTTAGCACCATATCCGCCCAGTACGGGTTCCCACTCGTTGCCAGTGTATTGGCGAGGAAAGCATAGACGATAAGATCAATGCATGTCGGTTGTTCGCTGTCGTGGAAATACAAGTGGCCCGACAGCCTTGCTTCGAGAGCCTCGAAAGCCTCTTTTTGCAAAGACTGAGCTTCTGCCTGGGAGTGACGCCCTATCCCAGCGTTCCAAATTGACTTCATCAGCTTCCTCCTAAAAAACCAAGATATGATCGGCCGCACGGGCCAGGCTATACCACCAAATGTCTCTTCGGCAGTCACTGCATAGTTCTCGTCTATGTACCACCGATCTCGAACGATGGCAGAGTATAGCAGTTCTTCAATATACGCCTGCCATGCTCTCGACTCACCCTTTTGAGCAGGAGTCAAGCCGGCGGCGGCGTCCGGGTCTTTGATGAGCCCGTTCTCGATGAGATAGCGGATGATAAAATGAGAATCCGAGATAGTGACAGTTTTTTTGTCATGCTTGATATCGGCGAAGGGAACTTTGCCCTTGGGAGCTTTCATTGGGATTGTCTCGCCCACTTCGTATGATATGCCGCTAAATCTGAGGAATGTTTCTAGCTTTTGGCAGAAGCCAGACGAGCTAGGTGCATTGGGCGGCTTGGCGACACCCCAGAGTACGACATGGGGGCGTGATTCAAGTTCGGTAGACATGATCTGTAGAGATATATTGGTTTTGAGTCAGAGGCCAATCAGATTTCAGCGATGGCAAGACAAACCTATTGAAGGCGACGTTCAGACTTGTAAGTCGAGATACTCAATCTTCTAGTAGTTTTATAATATTAGTGTTGCACATAGCTTGTCTTTGTCATTAAAGAGCAAGGTTTGCTCGCCCAGGCCTGCGGGTGAATCGTGGGTGGGCGGTCCAGGCTGTGGTTGATTCACCTGCCGCACAGGTACGGGCAGTACAGTCTATTCCGAAAGTCTTGACTCATGTGTTTCAAAGTGGCGGTTCAAAAATAGTGAAAATGTTAAAAATTAATTTAAATCAGTTTCAAGCTTTGTAGGGCTCTGAATACACTAAGATATCTCGCACCTATTTCTCACTCGGACTTCCCATGGTCTACCAGAGGATCAGTCCTGACCGGAAAGAACGAGCTCTGTACCTGTATTTGGAGGAAGGATGGGAGATGATCGAGCGCTCAGCACATGCTGTTGCCCCTGAAAAAGTATAGAGCAGTGGGAGGCCAATTATGATCTACATGGATGTATTAACCCTCACATGCGCACACCAATCATAGGTGCGGTAAGCCCGCTGGCTTACCTGAGTTCCATAAATACTGTCTGCGGTACCGGGTAATCAAGCTCAAGCGTGAGCTTTATGTAAACTGTTGAGGTGACCCAGAGGTCCCACGCTTGTTCGAAGTGAGAAATGGCAGTAAGTACTAAGCAATGCTGCTCTCGGTTCACCAGCCATCCTGTTCTCTCTCTCTTCTCACCCATCATTTGTTGATATCTCTTTCAATTGGTGTATGCGCTCGTAGAATGTGTGTTCTGTTGTCTCTCGGATTTCGTGGTGCTGACTTCTCGTGTCCATCGGCGTGAATAGCCTTTCCAGACTTTTGGACGGTTGCACTTTGAATCTCATGTTTAATATTTATACCCATTGCAGTATCTTTCGGCTTGTTGCTACCCGTGGTGATCTGTTTCCGACAACTGCATCCTCAGCGGCATTGAGATAGCATGATGATCCTCTGTGGTTTCATTGCGAGGATACCTCTTATCACAGCAGTTTGCAGTGCTTGCCGGCTGCTGTTTTGATGTCTACCGCCCAATCTTTTGTTGCCCTGCCTGCTGCACTAAGAAAGACGCTACTGCAGTCGTCCTGGCTGATTTTTTCAATCAGCGCACCGAGCTTCCCTGACGGGTACTGACTTCTTGTTCGCACAGTTGTCCAATGCCTCATCGCGTATTGCCTGTATCTATGATGGGCCACTCTCATCACTGTGCATTTCTGTGACGTGTATGGTGGAAAAGTCGCCTCGGCTCTCTGCCAACCACCGTCTCTCGCCGTGTTTCTCGATCAATATGCGAAGCTTCTACTTTGGATATGCTGTGGCTAACCTTGCCTTTGTCGGAGAAGTTGTCCCATGCCCTTCGCGCTCTGAACCACCCTGACATATCCTTTTGTGGTCGTCAACAGCCTGAATGTCCGTTCTTTGATAGAAGCCTGATCTTATCGCAAGCCGTACAATGGGCTCGCTAATGGAAACGCTCTATCAAGCTGGCGCTAATATGCTGGCAAAGACTCATTGCGCCAGAAGAGACACCATCGTGACACTTTTGCCCTTTCTCGATATCTCTCAGTTCACGGATGACGAAATCGTGTGTCATATATTATGTTCCGACTTTGGGCCCACTATCATAGACTGCATCTCACACTCATTATCCTCTGCCAAAGAAATCAAGGAATCAACGTGGAAAGGTGCAACGAACCACTTTGAAATCAGGGTAATGAAATGTAAGAACGCACATTAGAGTAGTTTGTTTGGCTTGTAACTATAAAACGTATGGGGGAGAATGAACTTGCAGGCTTACTATTGCTCATGAACACCACAGAAAGACACCAAGCAAAGAAAGAAAATGGTCGGACAAGTACTCAGAGTTGGGGACTGGCGGCGAGCCGCCACTATGATTAGGTACTACGAAACGTAATGCTGCAGCCAATCCGCAGCAATCAGTTTGCTGAATCACGACAACAAGTTTTGGACTTGAAGTGTACATTAATGTCATGGCGATAATCAGTTACAAACGGGAGAAACGGTTCATTACTCCAGCATGGCGACGAACCACACGAAACGCCCAGTTTCCGAAAATTGTTCCTTTCATAACTCCAATCACCCATGTCCCCTGCTAACTCAGAACGCCAGCTTCTTCAATGCGATGCAAAAGGAGCTTGTATTCGGGGAAGAGTAGGGTCGTCATCCTTTTCGTGAATGCTAGCAGGGTGGGATTCCTTAGCACCATATCCGCCCAGTACGGGTTCCCATTCGTTGCGAGTGTATTGGCGAGGAAAGCATAGACGATAAGATCAATGCATGTCGGTTGTTCGCTGTCGTGGAAATACAAGTGGCCCGACAGCCTTGCTTCGAGAGCCTCGAAAGCCTCTTTTTGCAAAGACTGAGCTTCTGCCTGGGAATGACGCCCCATCCCAGCGTTCCATATGGACTCGATCACCCTCCTCCTAAAATACCAAGATATGATCGACCGCATGGGCCAGGCCATGCTCCCAAATATCTCCTCGGCAGTCACTGCATAGTTCTCGTCTATGTACCACCGATCTCGAACGATGGCAGAGTATAGCACCTCTTCAATATACGCCTGCCATGCTCTCGACTCGCCCTTCTGAGCAGGAGTCAAGCCGGCGACGGTATCCGGATCTTTGATGAGCCCGTTCTCGATGAGATAGCGGATGATAAAATGAGAATCCGGGATAGTGACAGTTTTCCCGTCATGTTTGATGTCGGCGAAGGGAACTTTGCCCTTGGGAGCTTTCATTGGGACCGTCTCGCCAACTTCGTATGATATGCCACTAAATCTGAGGAATGTTTCTAGCTTTTGGCAGAAGCCAGATGAGCTAGGTGCATTGGGTGGCTTGGCGACACCCCAGAGTACGACATGGGGGGGTGACTCAAGTTCGGTAGACATGATCTGCAGGGATACATTGGCTTTGAGTCAGAGGCCCATCAGATTTCAGCGATGGCGAGACAAACCTATTGAAGGCGACTGTTCAGACTTGTAAGTCGAGATGCTAATAGTTTTATAAAGTAGTGTTGCACACCAATGTGCAGAAGCACCAGGTTTAACTGCGGATTTGTTCACAATGACGCGAACGGTTTGGCATGTCAGACTGTCTTTGTCATTACTCGGAGATCCTGCGGCCGCAGTCAGTAAAGTCGGTTAACAATGTTGACAATGACAAAGGTACTACTAGCCGCCAGGCCCATGTGCATGATAGGTACCAATCTGAGATTGTACCTTGAAGCGCGTTATGTTTCACTGGAGTCTGGTTCACTGGTGGGTCGACCGGGATCACCGGTTACCTGTGCACCTTTCGAGAGGTGTGACGCCGCTGCGCCAGCCAGTGTGACATTCATCACGTGTCAGGTGCCTTGGCGGGGGCCTTAGCCTGAGGTCATCACGGCATCAGGGTCTTTTTCCGCTGGCCAGCCTGCACCTTGCACTGGCAAATTATGGACAGCGAAGCGGAACCTACAGCCTAGTAACCAGATCAACGAGTCTCGGTATGTCTCAACTACAGCCACCTTAACAGTACTGATTGAAGTACTGCCAGTCTGCCACCATAGATCAGGAGATAGCCGCGAGGCGCACGCCACGCACTACATTTCAATGGAGTCGTGTCCCTAGTTCTAGGAACTCACTATCTACAATGACCGACATGATCCTGAGAAACAAACACCGTGTAGCGACCAACATGCATGATGGAGCCCGTGTTTTCAAAGGTTTTCAAGGTGACTATCACCAAGTTTTCATCAAAGTTCCAAGACTACTATTACCTGATCAATGGTGACATTTAAGTGGTGTCATGTTCCTAGCTCTAGGATTTCACTATCTACAATGACCGACATGATCCTGAGAAACAGGCATCATGTAGTGACTAACATGCATGACGGAGCCTGTGTTTTCAAAGGTTTTCAAGGTGACTGTCACTAAGTTATCATCGAAGTTCGAAGACTATTAACTGATCAATGATGATCACACACGTCGAAGTCCGCACGATGTAAAGCTGTGAAGCATCGGGATTAAATTCTACAGGATCACAAGGTTGATCAACTCGTCAGGTATTATTATGTATCACATCCTATCACATCGGAGCATTCACTATGTGAGGGGTTTTCATTCCACAGCGACGGACATCAGCGGGCATCAAATGACAGGGGCTCCATTTAGTGATTCATCCTGAATCGTGCGATCCTCTGATATGTTGCTGTTGGTTAAATGTTGGCCACCACTGGCGGCCACCCTTTTCGGCTTCCGAGTCGCGGGTTCTCCATTACCGCAACTCCGGTGATTCACCTACTGGTCCACCGTATTGACGTCGAAGAGGACGGCAAAGCGCTGCGAATATTTTAATGCCTTGTCATTTCCCCCTCGATAAGCAGCCTTTTGGCGAGAGTTTAGGGGTGTCTCCAAGAATGGCCGTCAATCATTCATGAGGGAATCAGTCCAGGATGAACTCAATTGACTTGGATCCGAGAGTTAGGCAGATTGCTTCCGGTCTGGTCCGGTCTTCTTCATTCCACACACGCGCGTGCTGTTGCAGACATGTCATCTTCATTCGAGATACGTGGACCGTGGACCTCGGCTTTCCTAACCCGTCTGGTGACAATCAACCGCACATGGTTACAAAGGAATCTCACTCGCTCCTAGCGCTTGCCGGGCTTGATATCGTTGGTTATCGAAGGGGGAATTGCTGCGGCTGGTGAGTCGTCACATTGTCATGATACAGTCTCGCAACGCAATGCAAGTTTCGATACTGTTTCAATGGTCAGCATCTGGGTCTGCGATCCGGAATAGAAGCTACAACCTCTAGCAGCTAAACCATATTGTGAATGAATGGATATTTTATTTGGCCATCTACGCTCATATAAGTTCAGGTACGTAAGTACTACCTTTGGCTCAAGTACGACACTAAGTTATCAACTAGTAATGATTGACCAACGATAAGTAGGAGTAACTGATGAAGGTCCGGCGTTGAGTGCACAAACACATTTGTACTCTCCCCCAAATGTGATCCGCAAGCCGAATGCTATGACCCTACATGCATGACATGTGCACAAATAATAATACAAAGGAATAGGTAGATACAGTTCCAAAAGTGTATGATACTCTTACAACTTAGCTTTCAACGCCTTTCCAGCGTCTCTCACAGCATCTTTTGCAGTCTCTACAACCGACGCTTTGTTCTCAAAGTTGCCCATTATTTGTTGCATACCTTCAGCTGTGGTAGTAGGGTGTATAGCACGACCATCATCTACAAGGCGTACATCAGTCTCCTGTTCTAGAACTGATTTCGCGTAACGTACCAAAGTTGGTGAAAACATCCCATTTGGAGATGATATCTTCCGGTGTGAGCACTTTGTTGGTAGGGAACCCGTAGCCGCCAGCACGCTGCCACCGAGTCTGCGCTGCCCATCCACCAGAAATCTCAAACAATTGTCCTGTCGTCTCGGTGTTTGCTTCGCTCGTGAGGTAGCCGACGACTGGTGCAATGTAATCGGGCTGCGGGAAAGGCAAGGTGAATGGAATATCTGACTAGTGAAAAAATCAGACCTTGTATGCATCGACCATTTCTTGTGGCCAGATGGTCATCGTCATGGCAGTGCCCGCAGGAGGGAGCGATGACATTGCTCAAGATGTTGTATTTACGGCCTTCAAATCCAAGCGTTTTGGTGAAACCCATGATACCAGCCTTAGCTGACGAATACTGTATTGATGGCCATCAGCACTAGCATGAAGACACTAGAAGAAATGCCTTGCATTCGTCTGGCCGAAGTTACCATCTGCGAACAAAGGACTTATGAGAGACATGGATATACCAAAAACAAACGAAACGTACAAATACCGACTTGTGAGCAGGTCGTAACAATACGACCGTATTTCTGCTTCTGGAAAATAGGCCAAACAGCTTTTGCGCACTTCACCGAATATCAGACACGATCAATTAATTACCTGAAGATGAAAGTGATACCTTGTATGTACCACGCAAATGCACTGCCACGACAAGATCCCACTCCTGCTCGGACATGGCGGTGAATGAGCGGTCTCTCAGGACACCAGCATTCGCTACAAGAACATGTACGCCTCCAAATGCGTCCAAAGCTGTCTTGACAATGGCCTCGCCATCTTCTGCCGAGCAAACTGCAGGAACTGCTTTGCCCCCAGCTGTGAAAGCCTGCATCAAATTGGGGACATCGGTTGAAAATGACAACCTACCCGACTTGATTTCGGAGCACACAGCATGCGCTCCTTTCTCACTAACGTCGTTGACAACCACATTTGCACCAAGGCGCGCATACATGAGTGCATATGCGCGTCCAAGACCAGCACCAGCACCCGTGATAATGACAGTTTTGTTGTCGAAGCGAACCGGTGGTGCTGACTGGGGATTTGGAGGCATCGCAGAAGCAAGTTCGAGCTAGGGAACAATATAATCAGAAGATATCCAAGACAAATTCTTTCTGTCGCGTACAGTGCTATCAACATCGGACACGGACTCCGGGCTGCAAGAAGGAAGATCAATTGAACCCAGGTTTCCTACCGTAACGAAACGTACTTACTGGCTCACTTCCGAGAAATCGGTCACTCCTGACCACTTGAGTTTGACCTGCAACTGAAGTTAGTTACTGCAGGATGCATGTGTCCAGCCGACTGACAGCTGAAGGAGTAAACGTATCGTCCGTCTTCCAGACGGTGCCTTTGCTGCGTTCCCATCGAAGCTCTGTGACAAATCCAGCGCCAATCTCAAACACTCTGCCAGAAGGGTTCGGTCCATCAGGATGGCACACAGCAGCGACGAAAGGCGCCACGAATTCCGGCTGCCAAATGAGATTGATGCATGAAGGAATGACGTCCTCAAAATCCACAAACCTTCAGATTCGCGAGCATCTCCGGAGACATGATTGTCGCAGTCATAGCTGATGCAGCAACAGGCGCAATAGCGACGGCGCTGATGTTATATTTCGCACCTTCTCGTGCCAACGACTTCGTGAATCCAATTAAACTCATTTTAGCAGCACTGTAGTTCGCCTGGCCAAAGTTCCCTGTACAAAATTCTAAGATGACGCGCATACAGTCACACAGCAACTCACCGTGAATACCAGCTGCACTAGCGGTGTTAATAATGCGCCCGAACTTCTGATTCCTGAAGTGCAGCCAAGCAGCTTTCGTACACGAAAATGCACCCTTGAGATGCACAGAGATGACCTGGTCAAACTCGGCATCCGTCATGTTCTTAAACCTACCAATCCCATCAGCACTTCCAAACCACGTTACCAAGACATAACTAACCCTCTGTCCCTCAGAATACCAGCATTGTTAATGAGGATTGATACACCGCCAAAAGCACTTATAGCGCTCTGAATCACCGCAGCACCATCAGTCACAGAAGAGGTGTTTGCAATGGCGCTCCCGCCAGCTGCAATCCAACGCGACGTCACATCTCCGGGCCGGAACAAGCGAATGGACGAGCGCACCTTTCTTTATTTCATCCACAACTTTTTGTGCAGCCTCTGCATTGAAGTCATTTACAACAACGTTCGCACCGCGCGACGCGAATAGCAGCGAGTATCTGCCCCATTCATTTCGGTCATAGCCCGAGCAGGAGACGAACGGATTACTTACGCTTTCCCGAGTCCACCACCTGCACCAGTGATTACGACAGTTTGGCCTTTGAACGATAGAGACATTGTTATTGCAGTGTATGACAAGAGGAAAGTGTGAAGCGTAACAGACAGGTTACAATATTTAGCCAATCTTCAAGTGATACGTAGGTGTGTGCACACGAACTAGAATTGGCCTAGGAGCCGACGTAACAATCACGTGAATCCTGAAACATCTCGGACCGGTACTTACACTCATCAACGTGATTGATGTGACGGCGACGTGGCAAGCCGCAACCTCATGCAATGGACGAGAGAGATGTATAAATAATGATGTATATTGAGGAATGAGATTGATGAGACGCGCCCCGCGCAGCATACACGAGCAAGTATATACTGTCCACGCAGGCCAACCAAGACAAACTAAAAATTAAGAAGCCTGTTGACAAATCGAGATCACAAGGAATATATAAATCGATAGATGAACAATGCCTGCAGAAGAGCGGCGTGGAATAAATGCCGACAAACGCCAGCGGGGATAATTTTGAAGATATAGAATGCAACTGTGCAAATAACTGGTGTGAAGTGAATTGAAAAATAAGGACAATGGCAAATAAAGTGCAAAGCAAGAGAGAGAAAACAGAGCGGACGGTATGCAGCGGCATGGGATGAATGATGGCTGCTAGAGTGTGCGGGAAGGTTCATAGGCAAAACGGACATGTAAACCTATTTATGAATACGATGCGTTTCGGCGATGGGCACAGTAACGGAGTGCAAAAGTGATAAGGAAATATGAAATGAAAAATAATGAAACGATATGGAGATGCTGCAAAAATGGGATGCATGGGAGAGCAGAGCAGAGCGAGAAAGACATAATAAGAGACATGGCTGGGTGGAATGCGTAATCAGACAGTTGAGATTGCAATGATGCCAGAGTGAAACAGTATGTCAAGCACAGAATGAGATGAGATGCAGGCAGATCGGGAACCCATAAACTTTTGGACGAGAGGAATATTCAAGCCGTGACCTGGGAGTTATCTCTAGCCGCAGGGCATTAACTACGCCAGTCCTAGGCTTCGTCCACGTTCGACTTCGCCCACTCGATTGCAAACAGTGACGCCTTCAGAAACTTCTTGTTGGCGTATTTCTGGCAGACATACTGGCTCGCGAAGTTGTCTTCAAGTAGCTTCTCGCATATCCATTGGTGTCCGGGCTCGAGGTGCTCCGCGACGAAGCTTGAGTGGAACACAAACGACTCATTCTAAAAAAGGAAATCACAAACAAAAAAGTCAGTCACATGATTCACAGCCATCATAGACACGCGTTTGCATCGTGCCCATGATACAAAAACCAACAGAGGAGGCGGTACTCACCCAGTCGCCCCCCAACATCCTCCTAGCACTGTACATCCCCACTGCAGCAATGAGACTCGGCTTACACCGCAAGAATCTGTGATCTAGGAGCGTCACCTCCGTCAAGAATTTGCCGAGCGTCCTCGTTTGGATATCATAGTTATCGGCCTTGCTGATACGACGCATCCAGCTGTAGGGTGAGCAGTATTGCGAGACCTTGAAGTCGAGCGTCTGCAGCACGATGCGCTCGCCTTTGAGGATCTCCTCCTTCGTATAGCCGTTCTCGGTAATGAAGACGAACTCGTCGACGCTGGGTGCGAGGATTTCTTCGTACTTGGCGGCGATGAACATAGCAGTAACGCCGACAAGCTGAAGCTTGACTAGGGACACGACACGTCTTGTGAGGAAACGATCGACGATATTTATCGCGATCCAAAGCGTCTCCGGTAACATGTGCCAGCGCAGGTGCACTTGGAGGAGCCAGTCGACCAGTGTTTGGCGCATTGCCCAGGTGATTTCGTTCTGACCATCCATATAATCAGGATTCGGCATCACATCATCCTGGAAGTAATGGTCAGCACATCCAAGAAACAAGGGAAACAGACGTGACGCACTTCGAGGTCGTTCATGTATTTAAAAATTTCCTCCGAGTACTCCGAGACCATCGTCGTGTCGAGATAGTCAACCTCATCTTCAAACGTCTCCTGGATCTCTACGATCTCCCGATAATGTCTCATGGCACGCTCTGTATCCACGTCGGGCCATATACGGGGCGACTTCGCAACCGCAATGGATGATTTCTCCTCTTGTTCTGGAGCAACTTGTTCCTGTACACCTACCATCTCATCTACCTCCTTCTCGTTTATGATGCTGAGCTCAGGGTCCTCCTCGATATCTTCCACGTCCATGTCGTTCTCCTTCTCTTCTTCAGCTGGAATGACTACTTGTACAGCGGGTTCTTGCCGCGATGCGCGTTTGAATACGGATGTCCGTGATGCACGTGAAGTAGGGCGTTGTGCGACGCTGTCCGTGCGACCTGGCCCGAGAGGGACGCGTTGTGGACCGGTGGCAGCTGCTAGCGACGACGACCGTGTACGCTTGAGCCCCGCGTCATCTTTCACAGCATCCTTGCCTTTACCAGCAACGTCCTGAAGTCGCGTAACCTTCAGAACGTTGGGAAAGGTGAAAAATGAAGGACACGACAAACCTTGCGGTTGATCGCGGTGGTGGTGACCTCACCAAGCGCTGGGCGTTGTGGACCATTCTTTAGGCCATTTAGGACGACAGAAGCGCGAGTTGCAACTCCCTGGGCAGACGTCTGACGGGAGTGCTTGCTGGTGGCATTTTCATCTGCATTCTTGCGTGTGACGCCGATGCGACGAGTCTGAAGCTGTGCGATGGATCACCGTGATCAGCGATCAAAGTTGTAAAAAAAATCTGAGACAATAGACTACGTACGCGAGTGTTGTTGGCCATGATATCTATTGAAATACAAGGCGACTTTATTGCGAGCGGCTAGAGCAGTGGGCAGTGGAAAGATACAGAAGAGATTGTGAAGAGAAGAGAGAGAATTGCCCTACTGCAAGCTTAACCTAGGTTTAACTGTGTCGTCGCGTTGTGGTTGAGGAAGAAAGAAGTGAATTGAATGCAAATTGAAAGGACAAGTCAGCCACCAGCGAAGGGACTTGGTCGTGTTCAAAACAACCTTGTAAGTTCAAATTCAGTCCATCGCGTAGGACGCGAACCACACACGTGACTTGAAAAACAATTCAAAACAGTCGCGTCGCGCTCGTGTCGTGACGCGTGCTTTCACACCTTTGTACGTACTATACACAATAATAACACAAACGTACACATACATAACGACTTTCCATCAGACAAAGAAGAGTTCGATCTAACCCATTACACGGCTTCCGTGATATGTCAACGTGAGCAATGCAGTGCCAGCGTGGCTGTTGTCATGTGGGGAGTCACGCTGTACTTATGAACCTCTGATATTGGCAGCCTTCCAAACGCGTAGAACTCGTGTTTGGCATGTGAGATTAAGAAATCAGTCGGGGCTAAACCTACAACACAACTGTTACATTAGTATGAGCTCTGCAACCCAAACGAAAACTTACCGAACTGTACTGCGCTTCTAATTCACCGTTCACTTCTTATCTATCATGTCCGCCCACCGCTTTTGCTTCCCACTCTCCCTCCAGTCACCGCTGGAAGGAGTAGGCGCCTTCTCCGGCATGCCTAGGCCCGACCTGTTGGAAGTGGCGCTGACTTCTAATGGTTCGACCAACCCTGAGCCGTTGTTCCCTGAGCCTAAAGCCGTTCCTGGCTGCCAACCCTGCTTCATTAACAGCTGACGACCAATATTCGATTCCGGCAGTGGCTGGGGCGGTGCAGGGGTTTCGGGTATGCGGGCAGAACCAGAAGAAGCAGTGGATGGCGAATCACTTCTAGGACTGGGTGCACCTGGAGTGTCAAGCGGCGAACTGGGGAATAGTGCTCGTCTCTTTGCGGAGCGGTCCACATAGCTCGAGGGTTGGCTGGACGCCGATGGTGACCTAGCTGCATCATGACGAGATAACAACGTCCGTTTTAGCATAGTCAGCGCTCTCTTGGCATCCCTCCCCTCCGAAGGTACTGGTCCGACTTCCTCTCTTGCCCGTTTAACGCCTTTCGAAGTAGGGAAAAGCGGAATAATATTGTCGCCGCTCTCGCTTGGCGCACATCCTTCACATGACATGCGATCAGAATGGATATGCACAACAAACGTGGTGCTTCCAATTGTCAATGCGTCTTTGTGCTTTAATGCGCGTGGAAAGCTGGCTACTCGTGAGGGGGAAAGCCGGACCCCCAAATCTTCACCCACGTTCACCGTCGGACCAGAATATCCACCAGGACGCAAAAACGACCCATGTTTGGAACCCATATCCACAACTGCCCACTCTCGCCTCCCGGCGTCCCAAAACACCGTTGCGTGTAATTTGGAAACAGCCATTTCCTTCAACCTCACACGAGGAGTTCCGCTTCCAGCTGGAGCAATATCTCTCCCAAACTGCACTTCTTTGTGCTCATCCAGCACCGCAAGATGTTGGACCTTGGGAAGGACGGAGCTGGTTTGCACAAGCAAGCGAAGTAGGGACCATGGCTTGAAAGTTGATGAAAGAGATTCATTCAGGACCGTAGTAGACTGTGTGACTTCTGTATTGCCAGGCCATTCGTATGCAGGATCGTAGCCTGTTTCTGCATGAGTGTGATTTGTACCGCTCACCTCTCCATCCTCCATCTCCACGGGTCCTTGGCGTCCAGCAGTGCACTGTCACTATCTTCAGTCAGTTGGTTGGCATTCGTGAAGGTAAATTTCGTGCTTGGGAGTTGGAGGTGAAATGAGATGAATTCGAACTCCGATGTTAACATTCACTTGCTGCCATGTTCTAGGGTCATTACGCTAGTGAACTTTAGGAGACTGAGTGCACCACATCTTGTGCATTTGTCCTGGACCGGCACCGTGCATTAGCCTACCTCGCTTATTTCTTGTAACATTGCGAAAGCATGCAATCATTCACAGAGGTACGTGTGATTACTTCCGCAGTCAAAACCCCATGTTTTAATTGCATGCAGGACCACTCCAAGGCGCTCCTCGCCAAAGAATGGCTGGTCAAAGTTGACTCGCGGACTTCTACGCCTTATCTTTTTGTGTGTGCCTGCTCGAAATTTTGAGTTCCGTGTAAAATAACGTTTGCCCCGACGTGTACGGTGGTCTCACAGAAATTTTCCTACTCTTCCAGTCGATCTAACGGCTTGCATACTCGTCACTGACACCAAGACCGCGTTGGCCGAGGGTGATTCTCTTTCTAGTCACCGAGATGAATGAATAACTCACAAACCACATCCACCCAATCCACGATCATACTGTTTAAATGCACCCATGATATTGATCGATTCAATTTACGCCACTCATCAATCTGAATATTGATAGTCTTAACGAGCAATCAATTTGCCCGGCGGTGGCGCATGTGTAACAAGCTCTCCATTTCTCCTCTCCCGGATACGGATGAAGAAGAAGCTTGGCGAGACCGTCATCTAACGCTCTTAGGTTGCGCACACTCACTCGGTGGCTTTCTGGAGCTCACGTTGGAGTTAGAAAAACCTACCTTGGGGGTAACTTTATCAGCTGGTTGTCGAGATGTGATTCGCCCTGACACGTTGCTATAGGATTTGGCGCTCGAGATGGAATGCAACAACTGGAAGTGGCGGTGGGAGCCCACCTTTCTCGGACCACAAGTATCGGCCGAGATCATATCAAAACACCTCATCATGCCCCTGATAAGTGTTAATCACCTCGCGTTCTCGTCCTCCGATGTTTTGGGTGATCTCGCGCCGGAAAATCTCGAGAAGGTCCGTCTATGCTTTCGTCACTCACCTTTCCATTTGCAACAGTTTACGTTGTGCCTAGGCAACGGATAAAGTTGGACGTACTGCGAGGAGGACGGTCGACACACATATTAGGAACGCGCTATCGAGGTCACGCGTGGCGACGACCCTTCGGCGTATGACGGCCATGTTCAACTTCTTACCTGAGCTTCGTAAGTGATAATAAATGCTCGACACTACCCTGGCATGACACGGGATTTTCTCGATAGCTGCGATAATTACTGACGCGGGCACTCCGGACCTTCGCGCGCCCACAGCAGATAAAATTTCGTCGCCCAAAATAATAGCCCGATATTCAGAGCATAAACCACATGTAGGTTTCTTTGATCGAAGATCTACTCACCCTGGCCTAAGCAAAGTCTGATCCAGGATTACGACATGGAGCCTCTACAAGAGCCCACGCCACCTAAAATGCCACAGCTGGAAGATTCTGCCACCGAGTCTGAGTCTGAAGGGGCGCCAAAGCAGCGGACCGTACTCGCCTCTCCCACCCCCAGCCAACTCCCGGTCTCAGGGCAGCCCCGTTCGGCTAGCCTGTCTAAGGATGTTTCCCCGGCCCTGCCCGGCCGCAGCCGCAGTCGGACAGAAGTCCCCGTATCAGAGTCCGACTCTTCGCTCGCGCGTCCAAATAAGAAGCTCAAGCATCCTGAGGGTTCAGATAACGACGATAGCGAGGAAGAGCGCAAACGACGCGCAGCAGCAATCAAGAGCGGAGCTGCCGCTAAGCGAGGGACAAGACAGCCGCTGAAACGAGGAGGCAAGCGTTTCTAGTCCCCGTCCTCGTTTTTATTTCAGGCCACCGAGAAGCCGGACATGCCAATGGGTAGATGGTTTTCCTCGTCGGGGGCAGTCACCGTAGGACTGATTATTGGTATTTCGGATACCCTGGACATTTTATCGCTCTTATTCCGTAGTGAGTACGATTCTAATGACAAATACCTAATATGTTTCTCCAGGCCCCTCAAAGCAGCCCAAGGCCAGGCCCCTAAGGCGTGCCACTTTCTTGGGGTATATTCAATACCCTGACTTCCTTTGATGGATCGACATCATTAACCCCTTTTCTGTATAAAAGATGTGGAGCTATCTTTACAAATGAAAGGACTCCCAAGGATGCTAACTGTGCCGTAAGAATACAACGGTTACTGTACGTGAGTAGTACCTTTCGACAGATGCACACAGCTAATAGCACAGCAACTAGCAGTCAAGTGTCCGAGTGGGGATATCTTAATTAGTGGCGAAAGCAGTACGATGGCGGGTAGCAAAATAAGTGGAGGCGATGACAACCACCTCAAGAGTATGGTAGTTGTATGCTGATTGCATGCTGATGTCACCAATGGCGTCCCGTTCGATGGCCGTGTTCATCTGAACCTCCACCCTCGTACTCCTGGCAGGCGTCGCACTTTGTTTGGAATAGGTTGCGAACTCTGCGGTGATCAGAAAATTCCTGGAAGCGAGTAATATCCATAAGAAGACTGGCCAAAATCAGGAGGTGCGTGTTTTCGCACCATGTTGCACCCGCAGTTCCTGGCGGTTTTGTGCATATGTGCTGCACTTAGTTTGCAATTCGGCCGGCCACAATCGTATGTAATTCCAGTCTGGTAGATTCGGACGTAATGCTAAATGGCGCCATCGCGGTTGTCAAGAGGTCAAAGCTCGCAGAAAGCTCGGAGTAACGCACCCCACATCCTCTGTACTGATCACCGAAACTGCAAACAAAGGGACATCGGTCATTGACAAGCATGACTTTATGTGGGATTGGAACGGACCATTCCATGTTGCACATTTTGAAGTATGTGGTGGGTGACTATGGATCCTTATGGATAGAAGACGAACGCGAAATGGTAGTGAGGGATGAGTTTAACTCGGATTGACGTGGTATGCTTTTATACGCGCACAGATTGACCAATACGATTGGATACATATGGTAAGGCATCCTTCGGTGTAGCGAAAACCCATTTACGAAGTAATCGTGGGAGCGCATATCAAACCATGGTATGGTGGAAGAGAGTAGCCGGAGCTTTGTGACGGGCGCACCTGTATTGAGA